CTGTATCCCGGCTTTCTTGGCGCTTGCCTGTGTTCCGTTCCCCTTCATGTTCTACAAGTATGGACCCGCCATTCGCAAGCGCTGCAAGTATGCTGCCGAATCCGACGCTTTCATGCGACAGATGCTGGCGCAGCACATGAAGAAGGCCGAGGCCGCACCCGAAGAACCTCAGGAGGAGACCAAGGAGGAGCATGGATTCGACCGCACCGAAGCCCCGGCCGCCGAGACCCTTAGCGCTGATTCCGACTCGAGCCACAAGGAGAGATTGACGGACCTGCACCGCACTCGCAGCAAGGCCTCGACTCATACGGTGAACTCTGTTCGCCAATCGCTTTACGAGGGGAACCCCTACGACATCGACCGGGTTCACACTCGCGAGTCCTTCAAAGTTTGATTCCGCCCAGCAGATGCAGTTTTGAAGGTCGACTTTCCACCAGCGACTCGATCTGGTTCGAGCGCCTTTCAAAACGCCCTCAAAACGCACCTCAAAAAGCACCTACCCACTTCCCGATTACTATATAATCTTTAGTATCTATTACTTTTTTTGAAGATGTCGATGTGAGCCGTGGATGGCTGCGTCGAGTGAAATATGAAACAATCGGCCTCATTTTCTGGGCAGTGATTGTTCGATGATTTGCATGTTGATATACCCCGTGCTTCTATGTATATGCCACTTACTGTTTGTTGATAGAGGGTGGAGTTTCTGTTTGTTTCAGGCAGTTCTATAGAGATTCTCCGATCTGAATAATGATATTAATTGAATGCCATTTATGAAAACGTGCATCAATACCGTAGCTAGCTAAATGCTATACAAAACTTATGGGTCGTCCGGAGATAAGCGATTCCCAGCGATCGGATCGCTTCGCCGACCCTCGGCACCGGCTGTTGCTTATGCGCTCCCGACATTTGCCTTCCGGAGTTTCTTTCCCCCCTCCCAAAATGATTCATAATCATGTTTTCTCTTTATTATCGCTGCTGACAGACTATAGCTTGCTGTGCCTTGTTCGCCCTCTGACAGCATTTCTCACGCCCTGAAAACGCTTGCATGTTTGACTGAACAAACCTATCGGTGTGAGACTCGTGGTCTGCGCTCATTGATGTGGCCGGTCGCCCAACCCAATACCAGGAGTCTCTCTCGCGACCTTAATTGAATTGACCTGGCCCTCGCCGACACATTCACTCACCATTGTACGATTTATACATGCGAATAATGATATAGAACCTTCTTCCGAAAAACGATATATCCTACACCATGAGCACCATCATCTTTGCCAGACCACCGATCCACCGGTCGCTGCAACTCTCCCGATCGCTCCGACCACGGAGATATCAGTCCTCCTCCCCAGCATCCAAACCAGACCCCTCCCCAAAAGCCTCCTCCTCACCACCCAATGCACAAACAGCCGCCTCAGCCTCGGGCGCCCCGGTCGTCCCGACGCCGACCGCCGCACAGACGGGCTCGCGATCACTGCTTCAAATCATCCAGGCTGGCCCTGTGGGAAGAGTGGCGCGGGCATACTCGCGGGTCCAGGAGCGCCGGCCGTATGCGACGCAGCTTTGGAGCTCGGTCATCATCTATCTCTGCGGCGATCTGAGTGCACAACTTCTGTTCCCCGCGGATCCTGCCCCGGCGACGGCGACGGCGACGGCACAGTCTTCGGAGGGAGAAAAGGCGGGTAGCGAAGGAAAGAAGGAAGAAAGGGCTGGTGGAGGATATGATCCGCTGAGAACACTGCGACATCTGACGGTCGGGGTGGGATCGAGCATTCCGACTTTCAAATGGTATGGCACATTCTGCATTCACTGAAAAAAAAACACACACTGTAGCATGCAAGAGCTGACTAAATTATCTGCGGGCGCACCGAACAGGTTCATGTTCCTCCACAACAACTTTAACTACTCGTCCAAGTTTCTCTCAATCTTGACCAAAGTCTGCGTGCAGCAGGCGGTTTTCACCCCGGTCTTCAATACCTACTTCTTCAGTCTCCAGTCGCTGTTGACGGGCAAGTCATTGGAGGAGACCTTTGAACGGCTGAAGCTGGCTCTGCCGGTCAGTATTTCAAACAGCGTGAAGCTGTGGCCGGCCGTCACGGCCTTCAGCTTCATGTACGTGTCACCCCAGTTCCGCAGCATCTTCTCGGGTGTCATTGCGGTGGGATGGCAGACGTATCTGAGCTGGTTGAACCAGAAGGCGGCGCGAGAGGTCGAGGCAGAGATGGCCGAGGCAAGTGCGCCCGTGAGCATTGGCGCTGGTGCGGCGACGATTCAGGCATGATGGGGCCGTTGTTAGCCTACTACATTTCCTTTTTCTTTGTTTCTGTTATCTGGCTCTAAATCGGGATATCCTAGACGTTTTCATGGCGTGCGGCATTTGTCTATAGATTAGCATGAAGTGAAAATGCGATAGAATATATATAGACTTCGAACAGCAGCATTGTCTGCTCGGTATACTCGATGCGAACAGAATGGAACTTAATAGTAACTTGGTCGGATCAACCCATTCGATGGAGGTATCGAGGGTAGTATTGGGGTTGGTAAAGGTGGAAGGATGACGTGAGGGATGCTTCACAATCGGCCCGCTCTCATTCGCCTCTTCCTCTTGGTGGTCTCGCCCGCCTGCCTCTCGAACGCAACGCAAACCACATCGCATGGCATGAACGCTTCCCACGCATTGCAGGCATGCCCTGCCACACACAGTCTCCGATACTAGTTCCCGGTGGCTTTGCGGATAGCGACAGCAGCAGCAGCAGCAGCAGCGATTACGGCTCCGACTTCTCGCCCGAGGAAGAGGCGCTGCTGGAAGAATTGCTCGCCAGAGTCGCCCCGAACCACGCGACAGTCCCCGACTCTGTAGTCGCAGCACCCGCACCGTCACCTCCACCCTTGCCAGTAGCCATCGAAGTCTCTGCGACTATCGCAGATATTGAGGATCAATATGCAGGCTCGTCGTCTCGCCCGTTGCCTCGGGTGTATGGGAGGGAGAAGCCTGCCTGGCAAACTCGCCGGACTTGGCCGTACGGCGCACGTCGGCCAGCGTCGATTCCAGGTCACCGTGGTACCGCGTCTGGTAATGCTCTCTTCTGCTCTTGTCCCCCACCTGGATGATTGTTTCGCCCGTGTTGTGATCGCGACGCTAACCTGTGGCCCTCCCCGAAGCGTTTAGTTGAGCATCCGAATTCCTCTGAAGGCAGAGAAAAAGAGCGCGAGCGCCAGGCCGCTCGTCACCTCGAGACCACCACCAACGCAGTGAATACAGAGGAGGATACGCGATCTCCCGTGGAGCGATTCCGACGGCCCCCGAATAAGGCCTTCTCCGTCACGGACCTGATCTCCCCAGCATGGTGTGAGCTGCAGTATTGGTACTCGCTTACGAAACATGGCCGGAAGCGTCGAACCGCGGCGATGAAGCTCGGAAGTACGATACACAAGACGCTGGAGGATGAGATCTACACGACGGTGCCGGTCGAGATCACGACCAAGGAGGACGCGCTCGCCTTGCGTATTTGGAATATCATCCAGGGCCTGCGGCTGTTACGAGAGTATGGCATCACGCGCGAGCTGGAGATATGGGGCTTGGTGGATGGCGAGCTTGTCACTGGCGTCATCGACCAGCTGTCTATCGAATGTCCAGATCCAGCCCTCGAGGCCACGGCCGCCTCGTATTATGCCGACATCGAGGCATCGAGGGCTATCATGCCGGAGTATCAGATGTCCCTGACGGACTATCTGCTTGCACCATCACGTGGCGGGAAGAGGCTCTCCGATGTCTATGGGAGGGAAGAAGAAGAACCAGACGCTACCACTGCTGAAGGAAACAGTAGTCAGGGGTCTTCTGAGCTCCCTAGTATACCGCGGATCTACCTGACCGACGTCAAGACGCGAGGCAGTGCTTCCGTGCCAGCGGTCAAGAGTTCCTCGTTCCGTCCCACGCAGCTCCAACTCCAGCTATACTACCACATATTGAACCGCCTCATTACCAGCGACGATGTGACCATTGACGTCCTCGCCGCGCGGTACAAGCTCGATGCGCAGCGTCCCTTTACCGACGCCTTCATCCACGAAGTGGGCGATCTCAACGACCAGTACTTCGACGCGCTCTCATCGCAGGAATTCGACCCGGACTTCATCCCGACGCAAGAAGACGCCGACGCCGAGGATGCCTCCTCGTTGTCACTCAAAACTTCATCCGCTCCACCCGCCAGTCAAGATTCCACCAGCATTCTCACCTCCCACAACAACCTCGCCTCCCTCTGGAACCTGATGAAGGAGAACCTCCGTCTGACCTTCCTTCCCCAATCCCAACCATCCGTCTCCGTGGCCCCATCCATCCCCTCCGAGTTCCAGCCGGCCACGCTCGAATCTTACCCTACCGTCGTCTCCCCGCTGCTCACGGCGAAGTACATCTCCTCGAAACCGACGACCGAGATGGAGAAACGCGTCCTAGGCAGTCGATCCTTCCTCTTCGATCCGAACTCCTTGACCTCCTACGTGGCGGACCAGATGGAGTGGTGGCGCGGCGAGCGGGCACCGCGCGGGGTGGAGGTCATGGATGCGTGGAAATGCCGCATCTGTGAGTTCCGGGATGAGTGCGAGTGGCGACAGGAGCGCGAGTGGGATTACTCGCATCGCCGGCGGCAGAAGCTGGACATTGAGATGAACGCTACCTGAGCTGTGTCTGAATGTATCTTTATGCCTTTTAGACCCAGTATGTGTCTCTGAAGGATACATCTGGTCGGCGTTCTCAACATGGATAGACGTACTGTTTTTGAAATCAGTGATTGTTTGCATACTTGCATAGGTGGGCAGGTTTACCAGGTATAGAGGCAGGAAAGAGGTATAATCCAGTATGTACTGTGACCCTAATAATGAACCGAAACCAAAGACGAACCCATACTTAATAATCTCATCTCAAGTCCAAAACCACGAAGTCGTTAAAAACCCCATATATACAGAATCAAACCATATCCCCAAATAACGGGCCCAGGAAAATCCTCCCCGATCTAGAAAGGATACTTCCTCCCCCCCTCCTCCTCCTCCTTCTCCAAATCCAACCCCCGGGCCACCTGCTCAGCATGCTTCCGATCCAAGAACTCCAACAACACCTCCTCATACTTCTCCTTCCCCTTATACCTGGACACATCCTCCCCCCAACTCCGGATCGCGGACGCCAACCGCCCCGGAACACACGGCTCCTCCACAATTTTCGTGATGGGCTCGAAATACGTGCGGATCGTAAACACCACGCCCCCCGACTTCGGGAGCCTGCGGAGGGACTGCCGCTCCGAGCGGAAAAAATGATGCTCGATCGCCTTGTTCTTGGCGGCGGTATTCCACGACACTTCGGGGGAATCCTCATCCCCGATGCTGTGCGACCACGCCAGCGCGTCGTCCACCTGGATGAAGTAGTTGTTGCGCACGACGGGGTCCTGCGGCCGCAGCCGCCGGAAGAAGTTCATCATCCCGCGCTCCAGCTTCTCGGTGTACTGGGGCACGGCGCCGTGCGTGTGGATCTCGGATAGGCGCATGCCGTATTTATCCTCCAGGCGCCAGAAGCCCGCGAGGAGGACGGCGCCGGCGAGCAGGTAGTACTCGCCGTCCGGGCGCTCGATCATTATGGCGAGGTCGTCTTGGACGAGGCGGGCGCAGGTTTGCATGGGGTCTTCGGGGAGGGGGCGCTGCGTGGTGTTGAAGGTTTCGTGCGTGGCCAGGTTGGTTAGGCCCGTGGCGGTTTTCTGGAAGAGGGTCGGGTAGCGTTCGGGGAGGTAGGTGGTTCTTTTGTCAGGGTTAATGAGGGAGTAGTTTGGGGGACCGGGGGGGGGTGGTTAAGGTGGATTGGGAGGGAGGTTTGTTGGAGGGGCAGACGTACAGCTCTTCCAACAGCTCGATGGCGGCGTCCATTGCATCCGGGTGCGTGCGGCAGCATTTCGAGCCTCGTTCTTCGATGCGCTTGGCTTTGTCGGCGTGGTAGCGGAGGTAGTGGTTGTCCAGTTCTGCATATCCCTCGGGAGTATGGGGTTAGCTTTTGTTTGTGTTTGTGTGTACAGGTGGGACAAGCAGACTGACCGATCCATTCGTCCCATTTCATGCTGCGGAGTCCCATTGTAACGAAGTATTTTCTATGTCCGTTTCACTTGGGTCAGTTTGAAATTCTGTAGGCAGGCAGCCCTTGACATCCAAGGTAGGACAATCGACTCACGGTCCGTATCGGAATGGGCGGTAGGGAATGGGCTTCGTCTTGTGCACGTCCCAGTCGGGGAAAGGTGTCGCAGGCGGTCGTTGGAAGTCTGAAGGCGTCCATACTGTTGTGCGGTGTCGCTGTCAGCAAGCTGGAGATTTTCTGCGATTGCGATTGCAACTGCAACTATAACTGCGTTCGTTGTAGCTCACCGCCAGGGATCCGTTTGACATCCTCATTCTTGTTCTTGGACGCTTCGAGACTCGGGGTTGATTGTCTGGCGCGACTCGACCCGATGGTCTTCCATGCTTCAAGGAGTTTGTTGAGCAGGTAGACCCCGATTGTGGTTGCGAGGCAGATGATGGCCACGTTGGGGGCGTGTTGTTGGATCGTCTCTATAAGTTCGGAAGACATCATGTCGATATGTTCCTTGAAAGTGGTTGTTGGTTGTTCACCATGGTAGGAATTTCAAAGTTCGAGTCCAAATTCAGCCAGGGACAGTCATATTTATACGGAATGCGCATATACAATGAAATCAAGGGCGGCTCAGTGCACATGGCAAGACTTCATCCAGCCAGCAGTTGTTACCGTTTTGGTTAATGGAACGCGACTGATAAGTTAAACCGAAGATAGGCTTCAGCGATAAGATCCGTTGTCTGGTGGTTGACCCCTCACATAGTCTCATGCCCCGGTGCATCAGAACCCCCAAATGTGTAATCGGCCTGGCCTGGTCGTTGCAGTGGCGGTCTTATCTCTCCCCGTTTCTCTTTCTCCCTCGCTACTTATCGTGTCACTCACTTCAGCCCGGACACCACCGGGGGATATCTTTTCCCAATCAGGCAAAGACTCGTGTTGCCCACAGAGGAGGGCGAGACAAGCCTGTGTGGCTGCTCCTCCTGCAGGGTCGCATATGACTTACTAACATGGGCAATCCGGGGAGAATGGATGCAGTGATGATGTGTTTTGTTTGTTCATCTACAGTAACTGATCTACTACTAGTCGTGGGGAGTCACCGCCTCCTCTGCACGCTCATGCATTTCAGTACCGGGGCTTCGCATGCGCACTGCGTCGTCGAAGCAGACAGTATTGTCCCCAGTGGCGTCGCAGAGCTGGCGGCACTATCGGCAGATCCGGAGTCCAGATAAGACGGCCCAGAAGCCCTGTTTTAGAGGAATCGAGGAAGTCGTGACAAGCCAGCTTCTCCCAGTGCGTTTCATCCTGGACGTAGTCCGGCTCAAGCTCGGTAGCCTCTCTGCTGGGGAAGTGGGAATCAACCAGGAAGGAGCACTGCGAAATGTCCACCTAAACTTTCGCATTAGCGACCTGCAGTAGAATGCGGGCAAAAGTCTGGAGTAGTCTTACGTATTTTCCAAGGTCTTCCTCGTTCCGATCATTCATCCCCGCTGGGATCGTCGAGGTGCCCTGCAAGAGAGAAGCCAAGTCCTTGGCTACGGGAAACCGGCCAGGAAGCAGTCCGCGGAACTCGCTGCGAATGAATTTGGCTTGCATGTCACCAGGCAGAAAGAAGGACGAAGGGAACCTGTACCACTCTTTGCCCAGACACAGCGAATCACCAGGTTGAGCCACTCCTGGCTGCTCCAAGGGCTCAAAGACCTTCAGTGGGGCATTATAAGCGGTAATCATGCCCAAGGTTCGCAGGAAGCCCGCGCTGATGGCCACGAGGAACATTGACGCCACGGCTGCGAGCTTGAGCTTGGGTGCGAAGCGCCCTGGCAATTCTTTGGGATCGCTGGTGCCCAGATACGACAGAATCATATGCACCGAAATAGATGCATTCAGGGCAAGGAATGGATACGCTGGATACATGAACCTCTCTTCCTTGTGGGGTTGCGCCGTGAAGATCGCAAACCACATGTAGAAGGGCGTGATGAGAGCCAGGCGTCTCAACAACGTCTGCTTGTCGGTTGTCTGAGAAGGGAGAACCACCTGAAGAGCCAACAATGGCGCCGCAGCCATCGCAAACACAAACCAGATATTGAAGTTCAGCAGCAGGTTCCTGATATAGAATGTCCACGGCTCAGTCCCGAAGATGTCGGGCCCACGACCCTCTCCGCCAAAAACATTGTATGCGACAATGTTCCACGGCACGATCACGAGCTTGCGCAAGAATACATGATCGACCATGACTTCAGCAACCTGAGAAGCATTAGCGCACTTTGGACACTTCGCGATTATGGAGTGCATATAACAAAGCATACCAGAACTGTGAGGCACCTGATAGCCCCGTCAAACATCCCACGAAACAATCTGGGCAAGTTTCCGCTAAAGAAGCCAATGACCACCTCCCTCAACAACAGGGGGATGATAAGAGCTCCGGCAAATGGCCAACCGACGACCGCGCCGATTCCGAACCACATGATCCCCTGGGCCGTTTTCTGACCACCTCTTGAATCCAAGAAGGCCGTCAACCCAAGCATAGACATGTACATCGTGAAGCTCGATGGGAGAAAAGCCGTGGATGCGTGGAAAATACCAGGGCTGAAGAGAATGGCCATCAGGAAGACGAGGCCGATCCGTGGGCTAAGCGTGCGGCAGATGGCGGAGTACAGTCGCGTTTGACAGGCGGCGCAAACGATAGCGAGGAAGAACCGGACCGCATAGAACTCGGAAGATTTATTCTTGAGAGCAAACGAGCTTATTTTACCGACGAATGCATGGGCAGAGACATAGAGCCAGCTGCGAATGGAATAGACTGGAGAGTATTCCCACGTCTGCAGTCCATAACCATGAGCCAGGTAGTGGGTTGGCTCCCAAAAATTGAAGACCTCATCGCAGTCCTGGATTGGAGCATATAAAGCAGCGAGAACGTTTGATATGAGACACAAGTAAAGGGTGACGTTCAAGGGCAGGTAAAACGGAGACGGCGGGGGCCTGCCGAGTGCGTTCGTCATATTAGCGCAGCTTTCGAGCGATAGGAAGATGATGCCAGCTGGTGGGACGGTACCTTTTTTTGCTGCGCGGAGTATTTGTTGCGCCTGCCAACGCCGATGCAGCATCAACTTCCCTCGTAGGTGCCATGGTTTGGCAAGTACTACATCCAGGAGCAGAATTGGGCGATGGGGGAAGGTTTCACTATACAGAAGAAGAATGACAATGGTAGATTATTGTTTGTGGTCTACTCCATATACTCTGTAGTCTATAGATATCCGATGCACTTGGGGCGCGGGAAGAAAGATCCGCCAGCGCCGGGCGTCTTATCGATAAGCGACTGTTCGGCTCGCCGGGGCGATTCCGTCGAAAAAAAGTTCCTGCTGCTCAGAGCATCCCCATCCGCGAAACAGATTGTCTCATTCCTGGATCATATCCTCGCAGACATCAGAATGAGTGACTCTCAGCCTCCTTCTCAGGTTCTGGTTCCTACAAAGGACCATAGCGAAGGTCCTCAAGCCAAAAAGCCCTGCATGAATGACACGCCACCCATTGCTTTGACACCGGCAGATGATGGGAGTGATTTTTACAACACACCCTTGAATGCAAGCACCCCGGTGACGAACAGCGACCTCAACGACAAGCAAGACACTGTCAACGGTCCTACAAGCGATCCGATAGCATCTGCCACATCGCATCTCCCAATTCCAGGATTGAGCCTTGTCAACGACAATGTCCCGGAGACTTCTTCAGAGACCCAGCCTGCTCAACCACAACACACCAGCACCGGTCAAAATATCGGTGCTACGGTCGCGCCTACTACTGTGGTAGAGCAGACTGCTCAGGAGTCTGCCGGAACGCACCATGAAGCCATGGATTTGGACAAGGAGGTTCCCGGGGATGCGGCCCCCGAACGGGAAGAAGGATCTGCTGCGAACGCTTCCCAGGAGGCAGAGGAGGAACAAGAGGATGAGCATCCCGAATGGGAGATTGACTCTTCGCCGTACGAATCTTCCGATGATTCTTCGACCGATTCCTCCGACGACAGCGATGACGACGAAGACTATCCGATTCTGAGCCCGGAAGAGCAGGCGCGAATTCTGATGCAGGCAGAGCTAGGCTCGGATGACGAAGGCGATGGGAAGGGTAGATCGGGCAGCCAGCTCAAGACCGCGAACGAGCTTCCGGAAGAGGTTCTGCCCATCCCCGACATAACCATCTCTCCGGAAATGAAAATCGTGTATCTCGGAAAGGTGGAAACCATGGTCGAAAATACCATCCTGATCGTGGCCAACACCTCCGGCGAATATCAGGTGCTCGAGTCTGGCTCCTTGCTATGTCTGGAGGACCGCACTATCGCTGGTGTAGTCGCCGAGACGCTGGGCAGAGTCGAGAACCCGCTTTATGCGGTGCGCTTCCCCACGGCAGCCGCGATTGAGGAGCGGGGGATCACGCAAGGCAAGCCGATCTACTACGTCGAGTCGCATTCGACCTTTGTCTTCACTCAACCCCTCAAGGGTATCAAGGGAAGCGATGCTTCGAACTATCACGACGAGGAGGTCGGCGAGGACGAAGTCGAGTTCTCCGACGATGAGGCGGAAGCCGAGTACAAGCGCAAAGTGAAGCAGGAGCGCCAGAAGAACAAGGAGGGCAAGAGCGGCGACTCCGCCAGAGCGAAGCGAGGACCCCCAGGCCCCTCGAAACTCAGCCACAGCGAACTAAACTACGACGACAGCCCGGCGGACGATGGCTATACGCCCCTGGCACGTCCGAAGAACCTACACGAGATGATGCGCCAGCAGGAGGCCCCCGTCGAAGCGGATGGTCTCTCTGGTCACAGCAGGAACAACTCCGGTTTCCGTGGTGGCCGAGGTCGAGGCCGAGGATCTGATCGCGGTCGCGCTGGTCGTGGCCGCGGTGGAGCCGGAGCCGGATCTCGCGATGCTCATCACGAGCGTCCCGACCGTTCTTCCTATTATCAACAACAGACGCAGGGTACTCAACCCCAGCCTCAACCCCAAGCTCAGCATCAACACGCTGCCTACCTCCAGCAGTTGATGAGCGCTGGCCAACAGCCCAGTGCCTACCCTCCCCAGCAATACCCGTTCGCATTCCCGCAGCAGCAGCAGCAGCAGCAGCCCTACCAACATGGAGGAGCTTTGCCGGCTCCATTCAACTTCCAGGTCCCATTCCAACAGGCCTACCAACAACAACCGAACCCTTACCCACAGCTCCCCCCTAATATGCAAATCAATCCTTTACTCATCGCTGCCCTCCAGCAACAGCAACAATTACAGCAACAACAGCAGCAGCAACACGCCCCGGGACAACAACCACAGGCGCAAGCCCCCACCATGAACTTCGATCAGGTCAAGGCTCAGTTGGATCTGTTGCGGCATCTGAGCAACAATCAACAAGGCCCTCCTCGTCAATGATCGTGTCTCATGATTCTGTTCGCTTTTTGGCAATTTATTCATCAAAATAAATCTATGGTGTTGGGTTTAGCTGCACTTTCAGGATTTTTGGGCATTCCTTTTCATGGCATGGGTAATCAAAAGTTTTCACCTCCCGTTTACCGGTTCAACATGTAGCGTCTCTGAATATGTACAGTGTGCAGACTGGTGCAGTCCGAATATCATGAGTAGGTTATGAGTTCTAATTATACACGTCACTGGCGTAGCATCTTATGGTAAAGCACCCCCAATCCCGTAATGATCATGGGCATAGTACTTCTCTCTAAGACCACGAAAATACTTTACGCCTCGCTCTGCTTGGCACTCTTTGCTAACGCCCAAAAGCTCTCCAGCTTCGCTCGAGCCAAGACATCCTTTGCTTGGGAATCAGTCTCGCAAACGCGCGCCCCCAACCACTTCCGGAATGCTCGGGCTTTGACCTGACCCTCCCACAGCAGCTCGCAAGTATTATGGCTTAAATCTTTCAACTCGCCGGTCTGCTCATCCTCGGCGGCTAACCACGCTGCCTGAGCTTCGCGATTGCCCTCTCGTACCGCTCCGGGGCCCGCATTTTCCGTCCAGTCAATGCGGTTCATCATCAGTTTTCTGTAGTTGTTGATCGAATGAGCACCGCCCTCGACAATAACCAGATTGAATCGAGGATGCATGACGCAGACCCCCGTGAGGGCATTCTGTTCGGCATTCTTGCCGATCTTGAATCGGTGTCGTCCGTTGGCGAGCGTGTCGATACGATATACCGTCATCAGCACACCACGTTCCGCATCAGCCTCTTGTTGCCGCGCGAGCTTCTCGCGTCGCTCGTCCTTGGTCAATTTGCGCTCAGCGTTGGCAGCCTCGTGCTTGTCCTTGCGCTCCGCAATCTCCCGGTTGACGCGTGCTTCCACGGCGGTGGGGTCTTTGACTGCCTGCTCGCCCAACACTCGCATCAGGTTCGATTTCTTGACCTTGGGGGGCGGCGCCGGCTCCAGACCCAGTCTGATCTTCGCCTGTTGCTCCTTGAGATCTGCCATTCGTCGCTGGCGACGGATCTTGGCCTGCTCCTTCGGTGTGAGGTACATGGGTTTTTGTTGTGGTAAGAATTTTTCCTGGGGAGGGTCGAGAAGGACGGGATGTTGAACGTATTGCGTGATGATCGTGTCGGGTGTGTCGATCTTGAGCTTCTGCTCATCCTCGATAGCCGAGTAGTCCTCGCCATCGACCAACCCTTCATCCCACCATTCGATCGCTGGAGGCGCTGGTACCAGGAAGCCCTTCTCAACGTCCAAGTCTTCGTCGATACCGGCCTGTCGAGCTCTTTCTGCGATCCGCTTCTTCATAGCCTCCAGCTGAGCCTGTCGCCGTAGCGCCGCCGCCTGCTGGATGTACTTGCCCTTCTGGTTGAAAATGAGCTGCCGGGATTGTCGGGGCTTTGCGATTGTGGCCTTGGGACCGAGGCTCGGATCGAAGTATGGGTTGTTCTTGATTTCCTCCAGAGACGGGCCCGAGAGATCAAGACCGGCTCGATCAGGCCGGCCTGCCGTAGCCGGAGACTCGGTCCTGCGGCTTTTCGACTGCATGGATTGCCGTCCTTTGCCACCTCTGAACTCAAGGGTATCCGATAACAGGGCGGGGTGAAGACCGACATCGAGACCACCGCGAGCCCGTGACGAGCCATCATCTTCGTCTTCGAAAGGAGGCGGCGGCGGAGGAGGAGGTGGAGTAGGAGCTTGGGGAGCTTGCGTAGGGACAATTCGTTGTTGGGCTGTCGCGTTGGCTCGTCCGGTCGCAGCAGCGACTCGGGCCTTCATCTGTTCTAGCCTGGACATCGCAGGGCTGGCCGCTGGGGGTGTTGGACTAGGACTGGAGGCGGCTGGCGAAGGAGACGGGACGATGCCCTTTGCGGCTTGCAGTCGAGCACGTACTGCCTCTGCTTTCGCCCTGGCCTCTGCGACCATCTTCTCAATGTCAAGCTTGCCCGCAGCAGGCGCTGCTTTGACGGGCGCGGGAGAGCCATGATTGGAACGAGGTCTTTTTTGGATGTTATCTTGATCATCTTCGGGGTGAGAGCGCTTCAGCGCATTTCCTGACGCGTCAGCCATGATAGGGCAGAATGAGGTGTCACCCTGAATACAGCCGGCGAGAAGCGATGGGGGGGAGCTGATGACCAAGAAAGAGGGAGAGAGAAGGCACGAATGAAGTAGACTAGACAGAGAAGCTCTTTGGAGCGGGCGGACCTGCAAGACAGCCACACAGACAGACAGACAGACGGACGGAGGAATCACGGGGTGGGCCTTCCGCCGGGCGGTGCCGCAGGGCAGAAAAAAAGTTGGGTGCAACTTTTTCGCATCGTCGCGGCCGACGAACCCGCTTTTTCGATCGATCTCCCCAGGCCAGCAGCCATTCAAGGACGAAGGCATCGCACCACCCGTTGCTCCAAGAGCTGCAGGGGGACATCATGGCGACCTTCGCACGACCGGTGGCTTCCACCATTGCGGGGATTGACTTTGGCGTCTACACCGATGAAGACATCAAAGCTCTCTCTGTAAAGCGAATCCAGAACACCCCGGCGCTGGATTCCTTCAACAATCCTGTTCCTGGTGGTCTCTATGACCCAGCTCTGGGTGCCTGGGGTGATCATGTGTAAGTTCAAGATCCTTTCTTCATCTCTTACTTGGGATATCAACTTCGTCGTGTCATTTCGCTCTCCCCCAAATTCCCGGAAATGTATGCCAATAGCGGGGTCCTGAACTGACGGCAACCAGCTGCACAACATGTCGGCAGTCTTCCTGGTCTTGCACAGGCCATTCTGGTCATGTTGAGCTGCCAGTCCGTGTGTACAATCCCACCCATTTCGAGCAGATGTACCGTCTTTTGAAGGCGCAATGTGTCTACTGCCATCGCTTCCAAATGTCTCGCTTCGAAATCAACACGTATGCCTGCAAATTGCGACTCTTGCAGTATGGCTTGGTAGAGGAGGTTGCTGTCATTGATACGATGGCTCATTCGACGGGCAATAAGAGAAAGGCCGCCAAAGACGGCGAAGGATCCAGCGATGAGGACGAGGACGATGACGACAAAATGGCTCGTAGAACCTCCTACGTCAAGAAATGCATCCGACAAGCGCAAGCAGATGGAAGACTAAAGGGTCTTATGGCTGGTGCGAAGAACCCCTTGGCTGCGGAGCAGCGCCGGTTCCTCGTGAGAGAGTTCATGAAAGCCATCGGCACTCCAGGCAAGTGTGCCAGCTGTAGTGGGTACGTTATCACTTCCATATCTTCCACACGTCCTTCTTTCTAGTCAGCTCTCGGCTGACCAAAATCGCTCTGCAGTATCTCGCCGTCCTATCGGAAAGATAAGTTCTCGAAGGTTTTCCGCAAGGCTCTACCTGAAAAGTCCAAACACGCTATGCTGCAGGCTGGATTCCAAGCGCCCAACTCTTTGATCCTCCTTCAGGAGGCTCAGAAGTTCAACAGCAAGGATAAGGAGGCACAGGCAGACGGAGCCTCGGACACCGCATCTCAGGTTCATGGAGCCGAGGAGGAAGTTGCCCGTGGAAATGCTGTTGTCACTGAGCTCGAGAACAAGAAACAGACCGCCGGTGAAGGCCAGCAATACATGCCTTCTCCCGAAGTTCATGCCGCATTGACCTTGCTTTTCGAGAAGGAAGCGGAAATCCTGACTCTCGTGTACAATTCTCGACCATTACCGAAGAAGGAATCCCGAGTTAGCGCAGACATGTTCTTCATCAAGAACATCTTGGTACCGCCCAACAGATATCGTCCCGCCGCGCAGCAAGGAGCTGGCGCTATTCTGGAGGCTCAGCAAAACACCATCTTTACGAGTATTCTGAAGAACTGCGACATCATCAACCAGATCAGCAAGGAGAGACAAAGCAGCAGCTCTAGTGCTGCTATGCGTGTTCGCGATTACCGTGACCTGCTTCACTCCATTGTTCAGCTTCAGGATACTGTGAACGGACTTATCGACCGTGACCGAAATGCCTCCGCTGGACCAGCTGCCGCCGCCGGCCCCAACGGTATTAAGCAGATTTTGGAAAAGAAGGAAGGTCTCTTCCGGAAGAACATGATGGGAAAGCGTGTCAACTTTGCCGCTCGCAGTGTCATCTCCCCCGACCCGAACATTGAGACCAACGAAATTGGTGTCCCCATGGTTTTCGCTAAGAAGTTGACTTACCCCGAGCCCGTGACCAACCACAACTTCTGGGAAATGAAACAGGCGGTCATCAACGGTCCCGACAAATACCCGGGTGCTTCTGCCATTGAGAATGAATTGGGACAGGTCACCAACCTCAAGTTCAAGAGCTTGGACGAGCGTACCGCTCTGGCTAACCAATTGCTTGCGCCGTCGAACTGGCGCATGAAGGGGTCTCGCAACAAGAAAGTCTACCGTCATCTTACCACTGGTGATGTTGTGTTGATGAACCGTCAGCCTACCCTCCACAAGCCGTCTATCATGGGTCACAAGGCCCGTGTTCTTCCCAACGAGAGAACGATTCGCATGCACTACGCTAACTGTAATACCTACAATGCGGATTTCGATGGTGACGAGATGAACATGCACTTCCCTCAGAACGAACTCGCCCGGTCAGAGGCCATGATGCTTGCGGATGCAGACCATCAGTATCTTGTCGCAACGTCCGGCAAGCCTCTGCGTGGTTTGATTCAGGATCACATTTCCATGAGCACCTGGTTCACCTGCCGAGACAGTTTCTTCGATGAGGAGGACTATCACGAGCTCTTGTACAGCTGTCTTAGACCCGAGAACTCTCACACCATTACCGACCGGATTCAACTCATCGGCCCTGCGGTCATTCGACCCAAGCCTCTCTGGACCGGCAAACAAGTCATCACCACCATTCTCAAGAACATCATGCCCCCGGGTAGAGCCGGTCTCAACTTGAAGAGCAAGTCCTCGACGCCCGGTGACCGCTGGGGTGAGGGCAACGAAGAAGGCACCGTCATTTTCAAGGATGGAGAGTTGCTTTGCGGTATTCTCGACAAGAAGCAAATCGGTCCCACTGCTGGCGGTTTGGTTGATGCCATTCACGAAATTTACGGACATACCATTGCGGGTCGCTTGATCAGTATCTTGGGTCGTCTTCTGACCAGGTTCCTCAACATGCGCGCTTTCACTTGCGGTATCGATGATCTTCGTTTGACTAAGGAAGGTGATCGCGTACGCAGAGAAAAGATCAGCGAGGCTGCCGCCATGGGTCGTGAGGTCGCGCTCAAGTATGTCACTCTCGACGAGACTACAGGCGCCGACCAGGACGCCGAGCTGACCCGGCGTCTGGAGGAAGTTCTTCGCGACGATGAGAAACAGAGTGGTCTCGATAGTGTTTCCAACGCCCGTAACGCGAAGCTGTCTACTGAGATTACCCAAGCCTGTCTTCCTAATGGTCTTGTTAAGCCATTCCCCTGGAACCAGATGCAGTCGATGACAATCTCTGGAGCCAAGGGTTCTAGCGTCAACGCCAACCTGATTTCCTGCAACCTTGGACAGCAGGTTTTGGAAGGTCGCCGTGTACCTGTCATGGTGAGCGGTAAGACGCTGCCCTCTTTCCGGGCGTATGATACGAATCCCATGGCTGGTGGTTACGTGTGTGGCCGTTTCTTGACTGGTATCAAGCCCCAGGAATATTACTTCCACGCCATGGCTGGTCGTGAGGGTTTGATTGATACTGCCGTCAAGACTTCCAGATCCGGTTATCTGCAGCGTTGTTTGATCAAGGGAATGGAGGGCTTGAGGGCTGAGTATGACACTTCGGTCCGTGAGGCTTCCGATGGATCCATTGTCCAGTTCTTGTACGGTGAGGATGGTTTGGATATCACGAAGCAGGTTCACCTCAAGAACTTCGACTTTTTGGCATCCAATTACCTCTCCATCATGTCGCAGGTCAACCTGACCAGCGACTTCCACGGTCTGGAGAAGGAAGAGGTCGTCAACTGGCACAAGGATGCTGTCAAGAAGGTTCGCAAGACGGGCAAGGTCGATGCTATGGATCCTGTCCTTTCTCTCTATCACCCTGGAGGTAATCTGGGCAGTATTTCCGAAGCATTCTCGCAAGCACTCAAGAAGGTAAGAGTCCATTGAGAACCAATCAGCTGTCCAGGATAACTGACACATTCATCATAATAGTACGAGGATGCCAACCCCGATGGACTGCTCAGGGATAAGAAGAAGAGCATCGAGGGTGTTATCACCAAGAAGTCATTCAACACTCTGATGAACATGAAGTACATGAAGTCGGTTGTGGACCCTGGTGAGGCCGTCGGTATCGTGGCCGGTCAGTCTATTGGTGAACCTTCCACTCAAATGACTCTGAACACCTTCCACTTGGCTGGTCACTCCGCGAAGAACGTCACGCTGGGTATTCCCCGTCTTCGTGAAATTGTCATGACAGCTAGTGCCCACATCATGACCCCTACCATGACCCTGTATCTGAACGAAGAGCTCTCTAAGGAGCACTCTGAAAGATTCGCCAAGGCCATCAGCAAGCTCAGCATTGCAGAGGTTGTTGACAAGGTTCAGATCAAGGAGAGAGTCTCTTCCGGCAGCATGAAGGCCAAGATCTACGACATTGAGATCGCGTTCTTCCCTCCTGATGAGTACACCGCCGAGTATGCTATCACGACCAAGGATGTGCAAAACGCTCTGCAGAACAAGTTCATCCCGAGACTCGTGAAGCTTACCAAGGCCGAGCTCAAGAAGCGTAATGACGAGAAGACGCTGAAGAAGTTCTCGACCGCTCAGCCTGAAATTGGTGTCTCCGTCGGTACGGTCCAGGATGCCCCGAGCGGCAGGGATGCCGAAGAAGAGCCCATGGATGACGATGTGGAAGACGATGAGGACGACGCCAAGCGGGCCCGGGGCAACCAGAACCGCAACAACCAGGTCTCCTACGAAGGCCCGGAGGATGAAGAGGAGAGCATGGTGCGCCAGCAAGATGCCATGGACGAGGACGAGGATGACGAGGGTGACAACACGCGCCAGAAGCGTGATGTCGAGATGGATGATGCCTCTGACTCCGACTCCGAGGAGCAAGGCAAGGACGCCAAGCTGCGTGAGGAGGACATCAAGAACAAGTACGGCGAGGTCACTCAATTCAAGTTCAATCCCAAGAAGGGCGGATCCTGCACCATCCAGCTGCAGTACGACATCGACACCCCCAAGCTTCTGCTCTTGCCTCTGGTCGAAGACGCTGCCCGCACTGCGGTCATCCAGTCCATCCCCGGTCTGGGCAACTGCACATTCGTCGCGGCGGATCCCGTCAAGGGCGAGCCCGCCTATGTCATCACGGAAGGTGTCAACCTGCTCGCCATGCGCGACTACCAGGACATCATCAAGCCCCACTCCCTCTACACCAACTCGATCCACCACATGCTCACCCTCTATGGCGTGGAGGCCGCGCGTGCCGCCATCGTCAAGGAAATGTCCGACGTCTTCGAGGGTCACAGCATCTCCGTCGACAACCGCCATCTGAACCTGATCGGTGACGTGATGACCCAGTCCGGTGGCTTCCGTCCCTTCAACCGCAACGGTCTGGTGAAGGACAGCTCCTCGCCCCTGGCCAAGATGAGTTTCGAGACGACCGTCGGCTACCTCAAGGAGGCGGTGGTCGAGAGAGACTTCGACAACCTCAAGAGTCCCAGTGCCCGCATCGTTGTCGGTCGTACCGGCATCGTGGGTACGGGTGCGTTCGATGTCCTTGCCCCCGTGGCATAGACAACACCTCCTCGCCCCTCGCACTGTGTATGCATTTCTTCTCGTTGTATATGCTTGCCTATCTGACTTTGCATGTAACTCTACGCACTTCTTGTTTTTCACCCGTTTCGTCGTGTCTATGACGTGTCCAACGATTTCTGTGGAGTTGTCTTTCAGCGGAATAAGAAAAAGTCCTTCTTATTAGTTCCTTAAGATATAGCATTCAATAAAGAGTATGAACCTTTTTTGACCCGAATAACAAACAAGAAAACTCGGCAAATACGTTTTAGATTTCTTTTCTTTGAGTAAGTAGCTGCTCTGTAATGTACTGTACATTTTATTATCAACCCTTTCCAACACCGAACCATCCGTGGTATCATGCAATCTATGCAAGCATTTTCCCCCCTTGACCGTGATAAAAACAAGAGGTAAACAAAATGGGCAAAATAAGTCAAGGTTGTAAAGGTGGGCGGGGGGAAGGAAACCCAATGGACGCGCCTGCAGGTCACTGAGCATCCAACATCATTAGATCTTCATCAATATCATCGTCGAACTCATCGTCCGGCGGGGCAGCGGCACCGCCGCCGCCGCCACCATAATAAGCACCAGCACCATTGGCGGCCCGCGCATTGGCGAGCTCCTCTTCCCGCTGCAGCCTCTCCTCCTCGATCATCTGCTTCTCGCGATGCTTCTCCAAGTCCGCCAGGCTCCACGTGGAGATGCCTTCCTGGTCGCGCGCCTTGAACGGCTGGGCCATGGTGCGCAGGAAGTTCTTGGCGGTGGCCACGGCCATGTCGGTGCTGAGGTTGGTCTCGCTTTCGAGCATGGCCTGGCTGATCCACTTGGGGAGCTGGTTGCGCTTCTTCTGGAAGCGCCGGTCCGCCAGGACCATGACCCCGTAGTCGTCCTTACCGCGGAGCACGCGGCCCAGGCACTGGGCGGCGTGCCGCATGGCGTCGAAGGAGAGGAAGTCGTTCTCGCGGATGCGGTAGTTCTCGCGGAGAAACTCGAGGCGTGCCTTCAGGATGCGGGATTCGGTGTACTGGAAGGGCACGCCAATGTTGATCACCGCACGGCCGTAGTGGTGGTCGAAATCGATGCCCTCGGAGACCTTGCCGCGCGCGACGCAGAAGAGGAGGGCCCCGCGGCCGTTGCAGCACGCCGTACGGTAGGTTTCCAGCGCCAGCGAGGACTCCTGCGCGTCCGGGGTCTCGACGAGGATCAGCTTGTAGTTCCAGATGGAATCCAGGATGCCCATGCCCTGCCACATGCTGATGATGGATTCCATGTAGAGGTAGGACGGGAAGAAGACGACAATGCCGTCCGGGGTGATGCGGGAGAACTCCAGGACCATGTTGCCGTAGTTGCGCACGACACCGGGGTCGTTGCGGATCTGGAACGAGGAGGAGATCTGGGCTTGGTCGGATCCGCGCGTGACGATCATGGGCAGAAAGGATCGGCGGGCGAGTGTCATGCTGTATGATTCCTGGAGGACGGTTTCGAAGCCTAGCATCTTCGGGTACATTTGGAGGGGCGACAGGGTACCCGATGTGATGATGACGGAGCTGAATCGGTCAAAGACAGGTTTGATCGCTATCGCGGCATCTAAACAGGTGAAATGCAGCACCGGGTTGGGGACTGTGGCTGCCTCCGACTCGAATGGCTCTAAGATCAGCAGAAAGCCCTTTTCGTATGTGGCAACTAAGGTAGCGAAGGTTGCCACCTCTTGTAGCGGTTGGTAGTCCTCGATGTTAATGAGTTCGAGCGTGCGCACGAGTGATGTCAAACGCTCAGCGCAGAATCGTAATGGCTTTCGCTCGATGTACGTGAGATCCTTGACGTGCGTCAAGAATGATAGTGGTGTTTCGGAGATAGTGTGTGTGACCTTCATTCGGGTCTTCAGGTATTCAATGAACCGTTTGAGGAAGGTGACGAAGTGTTCGGCGCGACGGATATTTCCTGGTACAGCTTCCTTGAGCAAGTCATCCGGAAGGACTGGATTTGAGATGAATTGATCTTCCTCTCTAGCTTGCTCTGCTTCCCGAAGTCCTTCAACCAGCTTTGTATATTCGTTTTGGAGCTTCTCAGCATCCGAGCTCTTCATCTCGCTGATTTTGCGTTCGAGGTTGTTCGCGCCGCGTGTAGCCTTCCGCAACGAATCCTCAGTCAAGTCGATACTCAGTGATTCAATACAGACGTTGTCGATGTTGTGCGCCTCGTCGAAGACAACTATACAGTCTTTAGAGAGCTCTTTCGACACCCTTTCGGCAATCTTCGGATCGAGGAGATAGTGGTAGGAATAGATGATGACGTTACAGAAAGGCATCTATGAAGGAGGCGGGCAACATTAGTATAAAATCCATTCTACCGAATACTGTGAGAGCATACCATGCGACGGGCTGAGAAGTATGGGCATTGCTTGTGTTCTTCGCCATATCTACTTAACCCATCAAGGGTGAAGACACCCGGAGGTACGAGGTTGTGCGGTTCGAGAAGGTCAAGATTCTGTAAAACGTCAGTCAATCGTCGCGAACCTGTGAGAAACTCTCCATACCTCATGATAAACGCACAACTCAACATCATCGCCCCGCTCCTTCTTTTCCTTCACGAATCCCGCAGTTAAACTCCGACATCTTGCGTCGACCACTGTACCACTCTTTTCTCGCTTGACCGACGGATGCAGACATAGATTCTTTCGACTGGTTAATCCAAGCGCGCGGAAATCTTCAGTGTATCCCAGCTCCTTGGCGCGGAAACTCATCAAGGCCTTCAGCTCGGCCAGCGCCTTCTCGATCTCGGACATCGTTCGAGAGCAGTAGATGAGCTTCCTATGCTCGGGATAATGCTGCTGATATGCTACGATCAACGATAGCAGCGAGACAGTTTTTCCGGTTCCCGAAGGCATCTCCAAGACACAGTGACCCCCGGCATCGAGGGTCTTCTTGAGATCGCACATATAGGCATATTGCTCGGGATAGATGCGAGGATAAGGGAAGAGCACGGGGAGATCACTAGACGCCGGATGAGATTAGAAGCTTGTTTCTGCAAGATCCTCTGAGTGGGGAAGGCAGGAGTGCCAGTGAGACTTACTCAATGAAAAACTTCATTGTGACGGAATGAGCGCGGTGCTCGCGACGAGGAAGAGGAAGCTGACCAGAGCTCTTTTCTCCGTCGCTTCTATCTTTTGCCTCTTCTTCTAGACCGCGCCGGCTTTTGCCCGATCGGGGGATCGATGACACCAGGTCACGTGAGCTGCCCGATAGGGACGCCGATAATGGAGTTCATGCCGCTGCTGGATTTGAGATGAAGACAATTACAACTACAGCCCGATTGATGGGGTATCTTGAAGTGAAGGACTGTCCGGCGTGAACTACTCCCTGTTTGTACCCAGCGGATTGGCCTGAATCCCCCTGGAGTGCACCTGCTGGTCAACATCTCGAGTCAATCACCTTCCAGCAACCGATTTCGTCATTTTCTTTACACCCCGCTATCCCCCACTTTACTATGAGCAGCAAAAAGTACAAGTCTCAGGCCTCAAGCAGCCGGGCTGCTGCTAGCACATTTGGCTCATTTGGAGGATTCTCCAGCGCATTCTCCAGTCAGGGAAGGGAACCATCATCGCTTACATACGTCACAGAGCCTCCGGATCTATCCCGCATATCGGAGGCGCAGTTGACAATCGCATTTAAGAACTTCCTCAAGAAGGATGAGGTTACCCGAACAAAGGCTCTGGACGACTTGCGCGACCACGTCCTCGCTGTCGAAAGTCGCAATGAGACCCTTGATGACGGGTTCCTGGAAGCTTGGGTAGGTTTACATTGACTCCACACGCCGCACTAGAGCAATCGGTTGATCGTGGTTCGGTATTTCGGCAGGTCAGGATCTACCCACGCGCCTCGATAGATATTTCTCGGAGAGTGAGACAAACAGCGCACTCGACCCAGGGATCTATTGCGTCTCTCGTCGGAAAGCGCATTGCTCGCTTCTTGCCCAAGGTCATTGGAGCATGGCTTGCGGGACTTTACGACAACGATCGGCCAGTCCATCGCGCTGCGCTGGAATCATTCACGCGCGTATTCTCGACCGACGAGAAGAGGAACGGTGTATGGAAAGTCTACCAGTCCTCCATTCTGGATTTCGTAGATGATGTTATTCTCCAACAGACCCCTCAAACGTTGAGCGATGAGAGGACTGTGAAGGCAGATGACGCCACAGCCAAATATGCACGAGTGGCTGGAACCGCGCTCTTGCTGTTCAACAGAATAATCGGTACGAATCTTCTGTGATCCGTTTAGACCTCACCTGACGGTCTTCAATGCAGGAAACTCCGCACAAGAGGACCTTGAGAAGGCAACAGCCACAATAGAGACACTTCTGGGAAGTAAGTCCCTGTGGGCTCTATCGTATCATGAGGATGCTTTCGTGCGCCGGTCGCTCTATGTCCTTGCGCGCACTGCAGTCTCCAAGCAGCCGGAGGAACTGGATTGGAAACTCATTAGTGCTGCTCTGATTGGCAAGTCCCTGCACTGTAGCCAATTGGGCTCCGCATCGGAACTCTCTGAGACTATCCTGCATGTAACCTCCGCAAGGCCTCAATTGTGGACGGAAGATTACTCCGGAAAGTCCTCGTCCTCCAAAAGACTGCTACAGTATCTCCAGAAAGGTTCTCAGGGTGGCGTAAGCTCCTTCTGGACCAATTTTTACGAGCTGCTGCAGATTATTCCAACCAAGACTCTTGCCCAGGTTGATTCGAAGTCAACCGATGAGAACAACGTCGGAGTGACGAGTGCCCGTGCTCTGACAGAGTCGTTCCAAGAGGGACTAAACTCTAGAGATGAGCCTCGGCAAAACCGAGCTGTTGGCTGGAAAACTTACATTGATACTGTGATGTGGCTAACAGGCCGGCTTGGTCAGGATGAGGGAACGAACTTGTTGCGCGAAAGGCTCCGACCTTTGATTGTACAATATGTGCAACCCGAGTCAGACCAGGCTCAATGGGGTCTACCTCCTCAGTTAGCAGAGCCTATCTGCACAGATGCCCTTTTTGTTCTGACTACGCTAGGCTACAAGCATGTATTGGAGCAAACATGGAGAGAGCTGTCAGACAGCTTGCTCGAAGCTGTCAAGCTGTCTTCTCCGGAACAATCGAAGGACTTCAAAACTTCCCAGGACGCTGTCTGCGCGCAAGCAGAGCGTTTTCTTGCTCTGGAAGCCTCTTTACTTTCCCGAGTAAAAGGTACAGACCGTGAAGCTGAGGTTTCGGGTGTGTTTAATGCCACTAGCCTCCCGTTGCTTGATAGCTGTCTGGAGGTTTTGCGCTCGAGGAATGGCAAGCCGTATGGAGCGGCTGCTGTTGTCGAACAAACTGTACTCAAGGTAGCGCCGATTGCCAAAGCCTCGCAGTCACTGTTGAGCTTTGTCCAAGATGACGCACCGGAGCTCCTGTCTTCACCTTCCGCTGACAGGCTCATCTCGATCATACTGTCCTGCCGATCCTGGGATGGGTTTGGCCCCAGCTTCGAGAAAGTTTTGGAGAGAGTTGCCCAGTTCGACCCGGAGACCTCGAACGCTCACACTGTACAAAAGCTACTTTCCACACTCGATTTCCAGGAATTGGACGAAAAGAGTGGACTCATCTCTCTGATCATGCGAGCCCTTGAAAGGGCCTGCAATGGGAGTGATTTACACTGGTCAATTGTGATCGCAGTGCTTCAGAACGAAACCTCCCACGGAGGACTGTCAGACACGATCTTCCTAGCAATCATTGATGCCTTGTCTGATGATACCAAGGTTTTTGATACCTTGCATGGTCTCTCTCAAGTCGCGCGGGCTGTTCCTCTGGCATTCAAAACTTTCCAGAATGGGCCTCACGGCTCCAAACTGACTGGAAAGCTACTCTTTCTTTCTGAGTCTTCATCCGAAGATGTTTCAAGCGTAGCAGAATCGTTGGCCAAGACCTTGAAGGAGTCGATCGTCAGCGAGACGAGTGCGAACAAATCGAGCTTCGAGATTCTACAGCACAGTTTTGACAATGTCAATGACCAATCGCTATCGTGAGTATCAACCAAGAAAGAGAAAAGAGGACGATCAGAATTAACTGTTTCTAGGGTCGAGTCACTTGTAAACATCGCCGAAGAGCTGCTGCGTAATGCCAAGGCAGAAGAGGTTGGGAAGATTGCAAAGGATATTCTGCCCTCTCGCGAGTCCTGGGCGAAAGCTCTGGGTCCATTCCTCGAACTCCCTCCAAGACCTTCAACTGCCATCACAAGCCCACTCAGTGGTACTGTGCATCTAGTCAATCGTGATTTGTCGGACACACTACAGCAACGTTATGAAAGTCTTCCTCGGGATTCAAACAACTCCTCCTCAGCATTCCGATTGGCCCATTTCACTGTCAGAGTCCTTTCTTCTTTCGGTTTAATCCAAAACCTGGACAAGGCTGAGGTGGAGACATTGTTCTACAACATCCCCCTAGCACTGCAGCTCATTGATGATGATTTGAGTATCGAGAACTGTAATGGCATCAGCGGGATCTCGCTTCCTGAACAAAGGGATGAGTATATGGATGTTGTCAACGACGGTTGGAAGGTCGTCAGTGGCTGGGCTCGATCCCACGAAAAGGGTGCAGCCGAGGCTGAAGCGACCATTTCCTCTATGCTCACTGCATTTTGGATAGACAAGCTCGAAGGTCTAGAAGGTCTTGCACCACTAGACTATCATATCGGAGTCGCTTTTGTGAAGATCATGGACACCGCCGACTCTTCCAACAGCGTCAAGTCGCCGGAAGAGGTGACCCAGCTTTGCAGGGATATGCGCAAAGCGAATGCCATCCGCTCGGCTGCTTGGGTAGCTACGTTGCGCCATGCCATTCTATCGAATCCTGCGGGTACGCGGCTGTGCAACGAGTTTGTCGCAGACTCGACTGGGCTGAAACCTCAGGATGAGAATAAAGACGGTCAGTACGGGCTTTTCATATGTCTTGACTATGCTGATAATCGTTAGGGTTGCGAAAACTGGTTCTCCTTAACCTCCTGCTCGCGGGGGACCAGGACGTCGCGGCGTCCATACCAACCCAGCGTTTGATGTTCCTGATCAAGCATCTCACCCAATGCCTTCAATCTGATGCTCTATCCCTTAGCCTCAAGGCCGAAACTCTTCAGACTTTAGTATTCGTACTCACATGCATTCAAGAGATGTACGGCTCTCACTGGGAAGATTGCCTGGAGATACTTGACGCGACCTGGAAGAGGACTAGTGGTGGCGATGAGGCTCTTCCTGTGCTCTTGTCATCTTACAGACTCTTCGCTAAATTACAATCTATCGTCAGTGATGAAGAGAGTAATGATGATGTGAAGGATGCGTGGTCGGAACGGAAATCGAAGCTATTTAACAGCTTGACCTCGACTTTGCGAAAATTTGGTAAGTCTATCACGTTTTGCATCTGAACATTGTTAATGATCGTCATGTAGATTCGTCAACGATCTTCGATCAACCCCGAGACATCACGGTTGATTTGCTCTGTCGCTTTATCAAGACCATTCCGGTCGAGGATCTAGAGGACGTTAGCAGTGTCTTCTCGCTTCTGACGGCGCAGAGCCGAGCTGTACAACGCACTGCCTACACTCTGCTGCACCGGTACATTCCCAGCGTGCAGGAACAGGTATCTTTCGACGTGGCTTTGTCGAAGACGACGGTCCGACTACCTGACGAACTCGTGTCTCTGTTGCTTGGCGCACCGACGATGGACTCGATCAATAGATCTTATGGCGATGAGAGGATTTGGACTGAGCTCCGGTCCTATCTGCTGAGTTGGAAGATAGTCTTCGATCACTTTGTCAATGCGGTACGTTTCCACATGCGAAAATGTCACTCATAGCAGGCAGCATCTGACTGATTCAAATAGTCTCTCACTGTCCAAGAGAACTATGTTGCTAGTATACGAGAGAATGAGAGCCTGGACTCATTGCTGGAGCTCACGTTCGACTTTCTCCAGCAGTCCCATGGCAAGATGATCGATGCGTCCAAGTTTGACATCCGCTCCTTTGAACCTGATCAGTCTGAAACGCCTGAAAAGGAGATCCAATGGCTTCTTGTCCACTTGTACTTCCTGTGCCTGAAGCATTTGGCCAACATGACCAAGGGGTGGTGGATTGACACGAAGAAGCGCATTAAGGGACCAGTGGAAGCTTGGACTGAGAAATACGTATGTCTTACCAAATGCAATCATGCTGCAGATTACTGACTCACCCTTCTAGATCTCTCCATTGGTCATTGAAGAGTCATTGCAAGGAGTCACTGAGTGGACCCAGACCCAAGATCCCAACGAAGAACGTGCGCTGCAGGTGAAAATTGCGCCGAAGACCGCGGAGATCATCGCCAGTATCCCGGTCGATGAGGATTCGCCGCCAGTCTCGCTGTCGATCTCGCTGCCACCTGCCTACCCGCTTCAGCCCGCGTTGGTAGTCGGGCGGAGTCGTGTTCTGGTGGACGAGAGGAAGTGGAAGAACTGGCTGACGACCATTCAGGGTGTCATCATGTTTGCCAATGGCAACATGGTAGATGGACTGCTAGCATTCCGGAAGAATGTGCAGGGGGCGCTCAAGGGCCAGAGCGAGTGTGCTATCTGCTACAGTGTCATCTCGACGGACATGCAGACGCCGAACAAGCGCTGCGCGACGTGTAAGAACACGTTCCATTCGGTGTGTCTGTTCCGGTGGTTCAAGAGCAGTAACCAGAGCACGTGTCCGCTGTGCCGGAACAACTTTGTGTATGTCTGAAGTGGTGTTTAGTATACACTGTACATAGAATTGTCTATCGTGATAAAAGTGGTATAGATAGAATTGATTACCATACATGTCTCCATATGAACAGCCAGTTTCTCCGCATTGACAGTACATGCCTGACAAACCAGGCAGGATTGACTCCGCTTCCGCCGGGGACGAAACGAACAACCGCGGAACCTCGCCCGCTTTTCCATCCCAAGTTTCCCCTCCTTCCCCTCCTTCCACTCCGCTCTCCCCCTCATCTCATGTCGGCTTCACAGATCCCCAATCTCAACACCTTGCGTCGCGGCGGCGGTCGTCTTCGCGGTCGCGGTCGCGGCGGCGGCGAGTCAGGTTCTGATGCTCCCTCTCGACGAGGAGGCTCCAGCACCAAAGACCGAGTGGTACAAGGCACGGACAATGACGCCAGCGTCTCTCGCCTCAGTGCCGTGAACCTAGGCTATCTCGACGACCCATTTGCATCAGCCTTGACACCTCCAGGCCAAGAGACCCGACGCCTGCCCATCATCAATCGAGGTACGCAACCCTCATTGACCAAAATAGACTATCCTTCAATCTCGCCACACAACTAACAACCGTCTACACAAAAAGGCACCTACGTCCGCACCACAACAATCGACCACCTCCTCACGCAATTCCTCCACCCTTCCACAACCCCCAATCAACCAGATACCCCCCAACAAACTCCCACAACACCAACAAAGACCACCATCCCCACCCTTCCCCGACCAAAGCCCAAACAAATCATCTCCCTCGGCGCCGGCTCCGACACCCGCATCTTCCGCCTCCTCGCCCAGACCCAAACCCACCCCGAACAAACAATAATCTACCACGAACTCGACTTCCCCAGCAACACAGCATCCAAAATCCGGGCCATCCGCGCCGCCCCCCACCTACAGCGCGCGTTAGGCGACTCGCAAACCGTCACCATCTCCCCCGCCGCCGACGCCCTGCATACCCCGCACTACCACCTCCACCCGATCGATCTCCGCCAGCTGGCTGCTTTAGCATCATCGTCGCCTTTGGGGAAGGGGGACCTAGGGAATGAGGGGGCGGACCTTCAAACCCTCCTCCCAGGCCTCGATCCGACTCTGCCGACGGTGTTGATTTCCGAATGCTGCCTGATTTATTTGGAGCCCGAGGAGGCGCGACGGGTGGTCGAGTTCTTTGTCAGAATTTTTGATGCTCCCGCCGGTGAAGGGAAAGCTGGAGCTGAGGCTGGAGCTGAGGCTAGAGCTGAGGCTGGGGCAGCTGCAGCAGTTACAGGAGTGAACGCAACCCCGCCACTAGGCATCATCCTCTACGAACCGATCCGGCCGGACGACGCGTTCGGGCGCACGATGGTGGCCAACCTGGCGACGCGGGGCATCCAGCTGCAGACGCTGCACCGGTACGCGAGCCTGGCGGCGCAGCGGGCGCGGCTGCGGGCGCACGGGTTCGTGGACGGGCAGGCGGCGGCGGATGTGGATTTCCTGTGGGAGCGGTGGGTGGCGGAGGGGGAGAAGGAGCGCGTGGCCGGGTTGGAGATGTTGGACGAGATGGAGGAGTGGCGGTTGTTGGCGCGGCATTATTGCGTGGCGTGGGGGTGGAGGGAGGGTGTAGGTCGGAAAGTGTTTGAGGGGTGGAGGGGGTTGGAGGGGCAGCAGGGCGAGGATTAATCCTTGAGGTTATCTGGATCGTGGTTAAGTTAGGTATAGGTATGGAGCTCAGGGCGAGGGTGCAAGGGTTTGTTTGAGCTGTGCTGTGTTGTGTTTGACTGCGATGCACCACATTATACGTTGCTGGAGGCATCACCTCCCCTGATATGACTGGGTCACGTCACTAAACTGCAAGCCACGATGTACAGTACCTACTATATTCCAGCCCAGCTATATATAAACACCAATCAACCAACTTACCCGCCAAACCATAATCCCCAGATCCCAATCACCAATGAACCGAAGACCTACAACTTCCCCCTCTCCAAAAACCGCACCGGCAAATCTACAAACCGCGCCCGCAAAAACTCGGCGACATTCTTTCCCAGAAAATCCACTGTCACCGTCGCGCACACCCCACGATCCAACAGGTTCCTAAACAGGAAGTGCACCGCCCGGAGATTGGGCAGCTCGAACCGCTCCACCCGCAGGGAAGCAGCACCGGCGGCGGCGGTATCAGTGTCAGTGTCAGTAGACGTGTACTGCGGCCCCAATAGCTCCTGGACCGTCGACACGGTCAGCACCCGTCGCAGCCACTGGAACTCGTCCGCATGGCGCACCCAGAAGCCGCAGTTGGCGTCGGGGCCCTTGTCGCCGGAGCGGGCGTGGACGATCCAGCCTAGGGGGCCGCGGATGGTTGGGCCGTAGTTTGTGGTTGAGGGGATGGGGGTTGGGATTGGGGGAGCGGGGGTTAGGTCCGCTTGCGCGGCGGGAGGAGGGGCGATGTCTACGGTTTGAGGTCCAGCATTAGTGGCACCCGTCTTCCAGGGCAGGTGCAGGCGGTGCTGGACGGCGGTCTGCGGCAAGAGACAGACGAAGTATTCGAAGATCGGCCGGGGAAAGCCTTGGCGGGTGTCGAGGTGCCAAGTTGCGCCGGGGTAGCCTTGCATGATGTTGTCGGTGATGGGCCGTAGGAAGCGGGGGGGCGCGAGGGCGGCGGCGGTGCGGGCCTGCGCGACAATGCGGAAGGTCACGGTGGCGCTGTCCTGGGTGCGCGGGTCATCGGGCGCGGACCCCAGGGTCGAGAAGGTCAGCGCCGTGAAGGCGTCGGAGTACGGGGCGAGGACGTGGCGGATCTGCGCCTCTAGCATGCGCGCCTTGGCGGCGATGTCCAGCCCGACCAGGAAATAAACCGCCTCGGCTTGGAACCCCCCACGCGCGGAGATGCCCACCTTGGTCGTTGGGGGCGGGGGTGCGGACCGCACGCCGCGCAGGGCCACGCGGTTTGTGCCGCGTTGCTCGAAGGAGATGTCACCGAGCAGAGCGGTGACGTCCGAGTTGAGGTAGCGGGGGCCCTGGATCTCGTACAGCAGCTGCGCGGAGCAGGTGTCGACGGTGACGGCGCCCCCGGTTGCGTAGGTCTGCATCGTGATGATCACTTGCCCCTCCGGGGAGATCTCCGCGATGGGGTATCCGATGTTGGTCCATCCGTCCCCGCCGAGGGATTCGAGCATCTTGAAGCCGGTGAAGTTCCCGCCGCAGACGTAGTTGCTGCATTCGATCAGGTGGCCGGCTACGAGGGCGTTGGCGAGGCGGTCCAGGTCGCTGCGTTGCCAGCCGTGGAACCAGTATGCTGCTCCAATGACGGCGGATGCGTCGGAGACGCGTCCGCAGAGGACGATATCGGCGCCATTGGCTAGCGCGGCTGCAATCCCCAGTCCCCCGAGGTAGCACTGCGCGAAGATCGGTTCGAAGGGCCACTCGGACAACGGCTGGCCGGTGTAGATGCTCTTGAAGTCGGACTTGCCCGACGAAAGTGCCTCTTGGACGGTCGACAGGACCTGGTCACCCGATATCCAAGCGACCTGCAGCCGAATGTGAGCACATTCCCTCGAACACAGCAGCCACTGCAAGTGGAGGTAGTAACCTTGAGGTCTAGTCCTTTCGCCTGCACCATCTGCACAACCGCGTCGTGGAGACCCTCCGTATCGGCGTTCCCTGCATTGACCGCCAGTTTGATCCTATGCTTGGCAAGGTCCATCAAGGCCGGCTCGAGGGCAAGCAAAAATGACGCCTCGTATGCATGTGCCGGCCTAGTGGTAGCCGATCCTCGGCCGGGTTGCACCTGTTCATACCGCGCCCGGATCTGGTCCACTCGCCGGGCTGCCCCAGCGGTCATGTTGGCCTCGCTCAAGAAATCGGCGGTGATAACGTCCACCGGGTCTCGGGGATAGCTGCGTGCAAACTCAGCTATGGCATAGTGTCGATCCGAAGCCGAACCTGACGCCCCTGGGGTAACTTAGTATACAGCGAAAGGACGGTCCCTCTCATGGCTCACCAGCGATGCGAACGGAACGCGAAGCCATTATCACGGTAAATTGGAAGTGGTGGTGGTAGTACTGGTCACGGGTACAGTAGACAACTCCTTTGGCTGGAAGTGAGCTCCGAGTAATTTATCACAAAAATGTGAGGCGAGACAAAGCAAGGGCACCCAGGTGTGAATGTGGCACCATCTGGGTTGAGCCGAGGAGATTCGGTCGAACGAAGGGCGGGGTTGACAAGGATTCTCGCGGTCATTTCAATCTATGAAACAAAGAATGGATGACGATTAACCGAAAAGTCCCGCTACAGGGCAGAAGGCAATTTCCCAGTTACCTGAACCTAATTAACGGTCAAATAGTCAGAAGCATTACCCACGCTGGAAGTTAAAGCCAGGATCGTGGGCAAGATGATGTCACCCACAACGTGGTGATGTACTGCGAACCATGGTATATCTACACATATCCAATCCAGTGCATAATCCCTATGGCCATGAACAGCACCAAGACTATTGTCTTGGCGGTTTCGATATCATCCCGATGGCGACGAGCCCAGTTTCCCAGTTGTGCCACCCCGGTAAACTTGTTGTTATCCCTCACAGCGGTCCAGAGTGCCGGCAGCCCATCAAGACTTCGGTAATTCCACTCCTTCTGGTAGGCCCGCATCTTGTTCGCCTGCACCTGTTTGCCTGCCCAGTGGCCCAGTGTGTCTCGGTCTTTGAGATATGGTTTGGATTCGTTGGTGTCGGGATCAAGCTTCACGGACAGCCGCGGAACTCCATAACCGCATGACGATTGGACCTGTATTTCGGATGAAGATGACGTTAGTGAGGAGCTTTTGTGTCAGCCGAGTTCTGCACAAGCATGCCTAGACTATATACTGCAGGCGACTCCGACAGGTTCAAGGCTACAGGTATCTTGAAATAGGCAAAGAAGAACGAGGCAGGAGATCCAACCTTAAACACGTCCAGATGGATGATCGCCCGTGCTCCAACCACGGCCTTGCCTCCCATACGGTCAAGATATTGTGGAAACTCAGGCTGGTCCCATTCAATCACCGAACCATTGCAGAAGAAACGCACGATCCCGGGTGCTGTGTCGAATGAGCAGAACATGACCGTAATGCGACCATTTTCACGCACGTGGCTAATGGTCTCACTTCCGGACCCGGTCGCATCTATGTAAGCAGCCTCGTTCGGGCCAAGTATGGCCAACGAGGCATCTGGCAGCCCTTTGGGAGACAAATTGATATGGCGACCTTGCAGCGGGGCCGAAGCGACGAAGAAGACGCTTTGACGCAGGACCCAATCCCGTAGGTCGTCCGAGATGGAGGGATAGAATTTCGGCATGGTATGGCTTGGAAGTGAGGATCTGATCAGCTCGACTGACGCTTGAGTTGACACTCTTGGAAGTCGAAGGTGGGATGGTTGCAGAGACAAAGGGGGATGGAGATGCTTCGAAGGAATGCGCGGAGGTGTGGTGCAACTCCGTCAGCCGCGCCGCCCTCTTACTGGCACGACAGGGATTTGCATCTGCCACGGAATTGTTCGAGTCTTCCGGCATGAATGCCGCTCGATGACTTGTGACGATATTTCATATGCTGCTTGCTCATTTTGTACAATCTGACACAAAGATACCTATTGGTATTCAAGTCATATTGCTGAAGCAGTTATTTGCGGATGCAGGATGTCAGTTGAAGTCATTGCATCATGTCGAATTGCAATCGAAAACAAGGTACGGTCCACATTTGACGGTACAAGTTCTGGATTTCAGACAAGATGGATAATAACAAGTGACAAGAAAACCAGATTGCTCTGTTCAGATAAGAAGCCCGTCACTGTGCATCGAGTCCTCTTATTGCAACCAGGGCCGCTGTAGCTCAAGTGTTGTCACATGGTGAGTGGAGACTGTGGAATTAAGGTCAAGAGATGAGCTCGCGCTGAATACCTTCAACGGCCCAAGGCATCATATCTTGAACAACAGCGAGAAAGAGTGGCAGAGCGTGCTCGGTACTCGATCACCCATCCATCGCTCTTGTTGCTCGCAAGACCATGAGATGAGAATGGAAACCATCGGCCATTCTTGAACCACGCCTAGCCAGGGACAACAGGCCCGGGATGAATCAACCCGAGGCAGCGATCGGGGCACCGGGAGAAAGATACCGAGGGGTCGGTCCGGGGAAAAGCCCGTCCCGTGACCAGTCCCATTACTAAACATCCGGATTGTGCGTGATCATGGAGTGGAGGGGATAGGATAGACCAGAATCATTCTACGTATGCACGGTAAGTGGGGGAAGGAGGGGCTAGCAGTGGCAAGCTCTGATCTTCAATACGAGCCGGATGACGAGACATTTTAGTGCTTGGGGAGTTCTCGATAGCTTATCTCTAGGTGGATCAGAGTAGTACCTAGTTGTCTACTCTGTACTCTTGCTCAGAGCCACGTAGAGGGTCCCTATCTCTTAATCTACTGAGGATCATGTAGGGACGGAGTACGGAGTACGGAATACATAAAGTGGTGGTGAAGACGCGGCACGTGGTTGGGTTCTGGAACTCGGCCGACAGGAAGCCAAGCCTCTTGGTGTGTCAGTTTGAGTGAGTTCGAGTCCATGGTTGGCCTGCTTGGTTTGGTCGCCGTAGCCCGCTTGGCATTGGTTCATGTCTCATTTCTTTCAATCCTTCGGGGGCACCTTCGTCATCCATTGGCAGAGGAGGATTGAGTGAGTATAAGTTCCCATGATCCGGCTGATCTGCTTGCTCATTCAAACCAATATTGGGCCAGGTTGATCTCCTGCAGGATTGGGGCAATAGTCGAGTTTAGTCCAGAAAGCTGCAACTGGCTGACGGAGGGGTTGCCCCGGGGTAAAGAATGGCGGACTAATTTAGTGAGCAAGCGCGAGTTATACCGCATTGAGTCTCATTGACTGGTTGTTGAGGGGACGAGAGGATGAGATCCCCACCACCACCGAGGCTAAGCGGGGAGATTCCGCGCCACTATGGCTTTTAGTCTAGTGACAGCACTGAATAAGAATAAGCTGCAGGGGAGGATGGAGTGGGTAAGCCGGTCTCTTTCGGGAATTCTCTGATAGACAAGTCAGAAGGATAAAAAATAAGAAACAAACAGAAGATGTTGTACTCAGTAACCTGGTACCTTGCCAGTAGATGGGTTAGTATAGAACTGTTTAAGTTACCGAGGGGGATGAGATGGAGGGTGGGCGAGATGAGAATCTGCTGCGGAAACCCCGCACGATCTGAAAGAACCCACCCACGGAACTGGCAAAGCAGCCAGCGAGAGGTTCAGTAACGTTCAGTAACGGAGCAAAGCGGGGCGCGCAAGGCGTGGGCCATGAAGTAATCCCCTCTGGACTCCCCGGTTCGGTCGACGAAACAGCGATGAGCAATACTAAAAGCCTTTGTGCTGTTCTGTTACATACTGAGTACTAGGTACTGCACTGCATTAACCGTACTGGGAGAGCTTCGCCTCCTCCACCCCCTCTTCGGCGACATCTTTCCCCCCCTCCATCATTTTCCCTCTGAATGTTCCTCCGTTTCCTCCGTCCCCACCTCGGCGATCCTAGCTATGGTTCACCATGTTCGTTACTTTATTTAACACTGGAGCTTCCCCTCCCCCTCCCCTCAGTTTTTCTTCCTCTTCCTCCCTCTTCTCCTCTCATCTCTCCTCTCCTTTCCCTCCTTAATCATCTTAATTTCACACCATGGCTGATCTTTTCACCACCATCGAGACTCCTCTCGCCAAGTACGAACAGCCTCTGGGCTTGTATGTGTCTCCCTCTTGTGGACTCGTTCTCATGCTTCATCCCCATCACTAACCATCTGCTTTACGATCAGGTTCATCAACAACGAGTGGGTCAAGGGTGTCGAAGGCAAGACCTTCGAGACCATCAACCCCACCAACGAGAAGCCAATTGTTTCCGTTCACGAAGCTACGGAGAAGGATGTCGACATTGCCGTTGCGGCTGCCCGCAAGGCCTTCGAGGGCTCCTGGAGTCAAGTCACTCCTCACGACCGCGGCCGCTTCCTGACCAAGCTAGCTGACCTGTTCGAGCGCGATGCTGACATCCTGACCGCCATCGAGGCCCTGGACAACGGCAAGTCGATCTCCATGGCCAAGGGGGATATTGGCGCCGCTGCCAAGTGCTTGCGCTACTATGGTGGCTGGGCCGACAAGATCCACGGTCAGACCATTGACACAAACAACGAGACCTTCGCCTACACCCGCCACGAGCCCATTGGTGTTTGCGGTCAGATCATCCCCTGGAACTTTCCTCTCCTCATGTGGTCTTGGAAGATCGGCCCCGCTCTGGCCACCGGTAACACCGTCGTCCTCAAGTCGGCAGAACAGACCCCCCTGTCTGCCCTCTATGCCGCTAAGTTGGTACTTGAGGCGGGCATCCCCGCTGGTGTCGTCAACGTCATCTCCGGTTTCGGTCGTGTGGCCGGTGCCGCCATTTCCAGCCACATGGACATTGACAAGGTTGCCTTCACTGGTTCTACCCTGGTTGGCCGCACCATCATGCAGGCCGCTGCCAAGAGTAACCTGAAGAAGGTGACTCTCGAGCTGGGTGGCAAGTCCCCCAACATCGTCTTCAACGACGCTGACATTGACAACGCCATCACCTGGGCCAACTTCGGTATCTTCTACAATCACGGTCAGTGCTGCTGCGCCGGTTCCCGTCTCTTGGTCCAGGAGGGTATCTACGACAAGTTCGTCGCCCGCCTGAAGGAGCGTAGCGCCCAGAACAAGGTCGGCAACCCCTTTGAGAAGGACACCTTCCAGGGTCCCCAGGTCTCCAAGCTTCAGTTCGATCGCATCATGGAGTACATCGACCACGGCAAGCAGGCCGGTGCTACCGTTGCCGTTGGTGGTGAGCGCCACGGCAAGGAGGGTTACTTCATCCAGCCCACTGTCTTCACTGATGTGACCGAGGACATGAAGATTGTCCAGGAGGAGATCTTCGGTCCCGTCATCACCGTTCAGAAGTTCAAGGACGTCGAGGATGCCATCAAGATTGGCAACAACACTTCCTACGGTAAGTCTTCAACTTGCTAGATTTTGTACTCCTATACTGATAAACGCCTGCAGGTCTTGCCGCTGGTATTCACACCAAGGATATCAACACCGCCCTCCGCGTGGCCAACCAGATGCGTGCTGGGTATGTATCCATGATCTTGCTTGTAGTTTCGACCGAACAAATACTGACCATGAAAATAGTACCGTCTGGGTCAACAGCTACAACATGCTTGACACTCAAGTGCCGTTTGGTGGTTTCAAGGAGTCCGGTATTGGTCGCGAGCTTGGCTCGTACGCCCTGGAGAACTACACTCAGATCAAGGCGGTGCACTTCCGCCTGACTGATGCTCCTTTTGCTTAAGTGCATGAGACTGTGGAGTGACTCGCTACGGTGACGGGTCATTGAAGTTCTAAGCTTTGGTTGCACGTAGCCATGACTGGTTCATGTAAAACAATTTCCAGGATACGAATTTACGAGATTTCATAATTCATACCTTCTCATCAGTTCATAATGTCATACAAGCGTGCTTCGTAGCTGATTACACCACGAGATATTCTCTTGGTAGGAGGTGAAGCGGAAGATCCAAGGGGCGAATGAACACTCGGGGCAAAATCGACCCGAGTAACATCGGGGTGAAGATAGCCCGAGCACTAGCTCGATCTGGCGGCAGTCACCTGTTGCTCCCTACCTCGAGATATGCTTCTTCTTACCAACCACTAATAGGGCTGTCCGCAGCAGGAGAGAATCGGCGTATGCAGCCAAAGCACTCGCTCTGAGCTCCATGCATCCATCGTGGCACAAGGACATGAATACACAATGGCATGACTCTCATCCAGTCATGAAGCGAGGCTCCATCTGGACTGGTCTGCACTAAACTCTAGAGTTTATTCAACCCAACTCTCATCTCAGCTTCCATGTACAAATGTGGGCTTTGCTATCGCGATCAGCTGTTCCTGCGTCAGATCGATTGCCATCAGCTCTAATCCGAATTCTCCTCATGGCTCAAAACAGGGACGTTGATATCGCTCGACACCAGGGTTGTGGACCCAGAGGTAAGGTAGCACACAAGAAGCATTCTTCTCGTGGGCTCCCTGCTTGTTGGCATCCTATTGGGCTTTCGCTGCTGCTGTGGACTGACGAGCTGACAGTGTCTGCTTGGGTTGCTACTTCCTCGTGTTGCACAGTTCGCTGCATTGAAACCCCAAACGGCAACAGTCCCATAATGCTTGTCCTTCGAGCAAGGGACCAAGCTAGATATATCATGCCCCAGGCGTCTCCGAGAGCCCGGCTTGCACCAGGGCCGATCAGAGTCCAGGCAACCGAACCAAAATGGCGATCTCAGCGGATCTTTGCTGCGGCGTGGTCATGGCTCTGCAGAATTTGATTATGATCACACTGCTCACTCGGACACCCAAGGGCTCCTTCCTGCGATGGATCTGTTTTCCCTCGATGGTTTACCTGGCCTACCTCGAGGGGGTGCTCAATAGCCTCAGTGCGTCGACTTTTATGTTCAAGATGCGGACCGGCGGCCACTCCTTCACCTTCCTCATCCAACTGATGAATCTCCTTTATATCTCCAACGTCGACCTGACCACACTGCCAAACCGGTCCAAGGCCGCCTTCCAGCTCCTGCTCACCATCCGGGGCATTGGCACACCATGGCAGCCCAAGAACATCCCTCCTTTTCCAGCCGTGATGCAGACCGACCCTCCTCCCGGACGCACGCAGTACGTCGTCCGCCAGCTCGCCATCATCATCTGGCAGGGCCTCTTCCTTCGTCTCCTCAGGCACCCGCTTCTCCACCCCGACCAATCGTTCTACAGCCCCGGACAGGAGTTCTCATATCGACTGGACCAATGGCCCGGCCGACTGGCATGCACCTACATCATCGGGTTGATCCCTTCCTATCTGTTCCTGGATATGATGTACCGCGGCACGGCTATCCTCTTCGTCGGCACGGGTGACCACTCTGTGTCTCAGTGGCCGCCATTATTTGGGAGTCTTGCCGATTCCTACACGTGCCGTGGTTTTTGGGGGTAGGTCTCCATTCTATTTGAAAGACCCGAATGTTATACCTTTCCCTGACTCTTCCTTGCCTCTTCTCTTCGAATATCCGAGTATATTCTTGTATCTAAACCCTAATGGTACCCTCTCAGCAAATTCTGGCACCAATACCTCCGCTGGCCCTTCAGCAGCTTTTCAAATTGCGTCACCACCCGCATTCTCAAATTACCTCGGCCCTCCCTCGTCGAGCGCTACGTCAACGTCTTCATCGTCTTCAGTCTCTCCATGATCATGCACATGATTGGCAATACCATCGCCGGGGTAGAGGGCGGGTACTTTGGCTCAATACTGTTCTTCCTGTCGCAAGCCGTCGCCATCATGTTTGAGGATGCAGTGCAGTCTGTGTGGCGCGCGGCGGTGGCGCGGCGGTCTCGCACCCCGGTGCGGCTCGAAGATGAACAGAAACAGAAAAATGAAGACGTCAATGCTGATGCCACCCCCACTGCAACCCGCGGTGGTGGCGGTGGTGCTGCGGTCCCTCTGCTCTGGCAACGCTGCGTCGGCTTCGTCTGGGTAGTGCTCTGGATTGCGTACTCGTGGTCCTGGTGGTATTATCCCATCATTCGAACCATGATCAAACATGGAGACATGTCGGCGACTTCGAGTGGAAAGGAAACTGTTTCAATCTGGGAGCTGCCGACACTGATGGGCTTGGTGGCGGGGGGTGCGGTTTTGCTTCGGGTCGTGTTCAAAGCGGAGCCGTGATTGTGAGTATGGGCTTGGGTCAGGCTGGGGTTTAGGGGTTATGGGATAGTGGTCTGCGAGGGGTACCATGGAGATGAATCCGTCGGTTTCCATTTGAAAGCCAGTGGCCGTTATTTCGCTTGTTATAGCTACGTCACGCCGACAGGCAGGCTAGATTGGAAGATCTTCGTTATTGGGGAGGGTTTCAATGGCATATGAATGACAAGGTTTAAAGTGACTCATGTCAACACAAAACCTGTGCTGAAAATCAAGGCCAGCACTCATTCCATTCACTAAACCCTTCCATTCTATAAATACATGCTCGAAGGAGGAAAAGAGACAGAGAAGACAGAAAATCTCGCTCACTACCCGGAACACCGCCGCAGCTTCCCAAATAACCTACATTACTCACCCATCCACACGGTTCACAAATAATTATACCACAGTTCCCTTTGCAACTCCTCCAACCGCCGCAATCCACCAGACACCCGGCCCAACGCATCAGTCAAGAAAGCACTGCGCGTCGCGCCGGGCCGGGGCGCCGACCACGTCGTCCACCCGCGCGACATGGCGCGCTGGAACGTCGTCTCGGCATGGGTATCCGGGCCCAGGGGGGCGAGCTCGACGACCGCCTCCGGGCCCAGAGTCATAAGGTAGTAGATCCACTCGTGCAGCATGATCATGCCCTGATTCCTTTTGTCGGTGTCGGGGGGAGGAGGAGACGAGGCGCTGCCGCTGCCGCTGTCACCCTCGCCGCTACTACTCGTAGCATTGGTGAAGACGCCGAAGCGGCGGGCGCGCTCGGTCTCGCCGCGCAGGAAGCCGAACATGTATTTGAGGCAGGTCCAGACCTCGTCCATGTCTTGCATATCGGTCACGGAGAGACCGCCGGGGTTGTTGCCCTCGCCGAAGCCCGGCGGCGGGTCGAACAGGATGCTGCAGACGTCGTTGGGGTCCGGGCAGGGCTGGAACGGGGAGCGCACCTCGCCGCGCAGCCAGCTGACTTGGCCGTCAATGTCGTGGTCGCGGCCCGTCTGCATGCCGAAGAGGTGGCAGAAGGTCCAGACGCGCCAGATCGCGTTGTCGATCTTGCGGGCCGCGGGGCTGGCCGGCCGCGAGAGCGCCGTGTAGGAGGCCGTGCGCATCACGGCTCGGCAGTGGGTCATCATCAGGCCCTTCAGCGTGGCGAGCGTGCGATGGTCGCGGGTGTAGTGGCGGTAGTAGATCGCGGCCGTGAAGGGTTCTTCCTCCGAGGAGGATTCCTGCGAGTTGATGTCGCTCATCTGGCGGTGTTCCCAGGCGGCGGGTGATCTGAGGCGGATGGTGTTCTGCATCAGGGGCAGTTCGTGGCGCTTGAAGACTTGGTATGTGGCGCGGTTGACCTGGGCGAAGGCGAAGAGGTCGTCCAGATCGTCGATCTGGAGGAGGATTTGGAGGGTCATGTCTTCTAGGCCGGGCTTGGTCAGACTCCAGCGGGTGGGCGGGAATGCTTTGCTTAGGTCGTCCTCAATCTCTGCCATCATTTTTGTATAGCGTGGGTAGATGCTGGAGGTGTCCGATTCATTGTCGCCGAGGTTGAAGACGTGTATTGATGGACTGTCGTCCTGCATCGTGGCGTCATCTTCGTAGCCAACATACTCCCAAGCGTCTTCGTCCTCGGCGCCGGTCTTGCGGGTCTTGGAGGTAGGAGCGGGAGAAGCAGGGGTAGGGGGAGGATGAGTCTGAGAGAAAGGTAATGGAGGTAGAGGACTGGTAGGCGCTGGCGACGGAGGGGGAACAGAATGGGAGTAAGTATGGGTATTCAAGTGAGGAGGTGGGGGGAGAGCTGGTGAGCTGGGAGGATAAGAATGGGAATGGCTGTGAACATTGAGGCGGGGAGAACCAGGAAGGAAAGAAGGACTGAGCTGAAGAGGTGCAGGAGATGCACATCGACTTGGTGGTGCTGGTGGAGCAACGTCCAAGCCAAGAAGGGGGTCATTTTGGACTCTCAAGAAGAGGGACCGGAGAAACTTTTGGTTCGCTTCGGCTTGAAGAATCGCGTCCATTGAATAGCCATCTTCTAATAAGCTGGCAAGCACATTCTTCATACGGCTGACCGCATCTTGATATCGCTCTTCGTCCTGTTTCTCGACATTTTGCATCCAATCATGTTGCTGATCTCCTGACTCTTGTGGCTGTTGCGGATTCGTGGACATACGAACGATGATGGATGCTCGCCGATCATTCTGAGACTTGGGTTTCTTCAAATTTGAAGATGAAGCTTTAGTGGTGAGGACGCGTCGTACTCCCGCTTTGAGCGTTCGCCATATAGGCTTCTCCTCACCGTCGTCTTTAGCGGATAGCCTTTGCTCCGTAGACTTCTTCGATGGTTGCTTTGAGGGCCCGTCCGACCGATTTTGAGCTGGTGCGCTAGTATTCGGGTTGTACGGAGGAAAGAGGCCCTTCTCAGAATGGTATGGAGGGAAAAGGCCCATTGATGGTGGGGCATCAACCTGCTGTGGCCATGAAGGTTCGTTCGGAAATGCGTCCAACGCCGCAGCGGCGGCTAAAGAGAATTCTGGATTCAGTGAACGTTGATCGTTAGGTCGCGGTGTGAAAGACCGCGGAGTCAACGGCTGGGGGGTCATCGGTCGGCCCGTCGAAAGCTGAGGGGTCATGGGCCGAGTGTTCAGTGGCTGGGGAGTCATAGGTCGCATGTTTAATGGTTGCGGAGTCATCGGCCTGGCCAGTGACGGCTGAGGGGTCATGGGGCGTGGGTTCAAGGGCTGAGGGGTCACTGATCGAGGAGTAAGAGGTCGAGGTGCCATTGATGGCTGTGGCGTTGTCGATCGCGATGGCATGGAGCCTGGAGTCATAGGTCGAGGTGTCTGAGGTCGCGAGCTGTAGAGCGGCAGAGACTCACCCACGGGCGAGCCTGACTGGTATGAGGCATGGATATGTTTCTCTTGCGGGTTGGGAACCGGGGGAAGCGGCTTGTTATACTTCCATTCGGTCGTAGAGGATGAGCTCATCGTGGGACTTGCTCGCGAGGTATATGAAGGGCATGGACTGAGTGGTGGTCGATCGTACATGCCGACTTTGGGAATGCTCAGACTCGGCACGGCCAAGCGGTCGGAAGAGTCCCAATTCGTCTCCAATCCTGCCAGAAGAAGCTTGTTGTCAATGTGCTTGCCAGGCATCTTGTTGATGTGGTTGTGTTGGGTTTGGCCTGCCACGTCGTCGATGTGATCTTCGAGTATGTCATTCGGGAGGAAGTATAATGTCGATCGTGATCCGAGACTGTCGGAAGACTTCGAAGCGTAGGGGTTACCGTAGGGCGTGTGGCCGAGAGAAATAGGAATATCTGAGTATTGCGGTGGGTAAGGATCTTGTCTATAGTGAGGCATAGCAGGTAGGGCCATGATGTAGGATCGTCACCGAAGATTCAGGAGGACCGAAAACAAATAGGCTATATTAAATTGACGGGGACCTGCAGGAGGTGATATACGTCGCCTCCCCCAGACGGGATCCCTCGCCGGAGCCGAGCCCGCCCAGTACGCACTCCTTGTTCTCAGCTTTCTCCCATCTCAGCACAGATCTTGGGTCCGTAATGTTTGAACGGGGGCTACAAGTTCCACAGGAGCCATCGAAAGCTGGTAAGCCAAGTAACCTAGTACCTGGCTATGACTCGGCGGGAACGATCAACTGACCCGCTGGGACACAGGCCCCGCGAATAGCGAATAAATTGCATTATGATAGGCTGCTTGTCCTTGTTGAACGGGTGCCCGCTATGAACGAATGTGGCAGTGAGCTCGAGAAAGGGAGCATCGCAGTCTTTGAGCTCTCATCGCGAGCCTGAAGAGACTAGTTCGTAATGGCGTTGGGGCCAAATCGTGTCAGAGTCTGCAAGGCATTCCTTCATACAACACGACTGGAAGCAATTAGCAAAAGAGCATGTTATATGCAGACCGTCATACCTTAGACTTGATAATTGAGCTCATATCTATAGCCCAGTTAGTGATGGAAGATAAGTGTCTGGCGGTAAGAAACAGAGGGGAGGTTGTCAGAAAGAGGAAGGGGAGAAGCGAGGGGAGTTGTTGTTGCGCATCTCCGCCTGTCCTCCCGACACAATCCTTCAAACAACACAACTTTCGCCCCCAGGCCTCGTTCGCATCCAATTTCCCATCCAACTGACTTCAAAGAATCCAACAATACTTGCGAAGTTTCTACGAGCATCGCCATGTGGCAATGTCTGACATCAGATACTCCTTCCAGAAGAACTCGCGGGGGCTGAAAATCCCTCTAATCCGCTCGTCTTGACTGCGGTTGATAGGCCTTATGGTCTTGTGTTCAAGCGTCCAGGTCATATCACGGACAGCTTATCATGAGATACCCATTTTACCTCACCAGGTGGAACAGAGATATCGTTGTCGTGAGGCGACACGGTCTTTGCAGCCTCTGGAAATGCAACTATCGCAGGCAATTTAACGTGCCTGGGGCTATGGAAGAGAATAGAAGAGTACAGTCCTTCATCCGAACGCTCCAGGAGCTGATCATACTGGTGGTCAGCTCTACGGGGTCTCTGGGCAGAACAGCGGAGTGGATATCTACCACATGGTAGCAACGAGGGAACCCCACCTACAGAGTCTTCCCATCTCGTGGCACAAATATGATCGGCGGTCGAATGATCTCTGCTTCGAGGCGTTGTCGAATGGCCCCCAACGGATGATCACGAACAATGTTATTGCGCCTTGCACCACGCCGACGTGTCTTAGGAAGCCCTGGAGCCTGGGCTCGTTGCATGAATGGTCTACCTGAAACACGGGAGCAGGAAATTTTGCGGCTCATGGGGGACTCAGACGTAACCTCACACAGAGGCCCCTCTGCCAGACCGGTCTAAATCTCAATATGTCAGCGTACACGTAGAGAGATCATTTTGGGCCAATGGTGAGATTCACAGCGAACTACCATGGACCAACCCTTTAAGCAATAAATCTGTTATCTGCATACTCAAGCCATGTCTATGATTCATGGCCTCGCACGGTTGTCTACCTTTGAGACTTGATTGTGCTCGTTACCCATGCTTGTGCAACAAGCCCGGCTGCTTGATTTTGGCCAGTCTTGTCTGGTTTGTTTGTCTGACTAGGGCAAAGTCCATATCCTGCCTGCCCAAATGCAATTCATTGTTGGTATGCAGCAATTCGCGAAGATTAATCATTGAGGCAGCCACCAACTATAAATTCCTTGCCAGGAACCCGCGTCATCAGAATCGAAATCGGGGCATGCGGACTATCAGCATGCTCGCCATAGCAGATGACCTTTTGCCACAGGGACGCCGGCTCGCCTGGCGATTTGCTTCGCCAACACTTCCTCGAAGCGGGTACCATCCGATCACTTGAGAATAAGCCGGAACGGGAGCTGGGCGATTTGATTATCGTAGGCGATCCCGACCCAGCTGCAATAGGATCGGGAGAACCGTCGGAGGCGTGTGTGGATGATGCCCCAGAATTGACGGACACGTGGGTGAGTTACGCGACTGATGGGTGGAAGTTGATCGCTTGGCACTGTTGTTGCTCTATGATGATCTGACCAGGAGAAATCGGGGAGTTGCAGGCGGGGAAGTAGCCACTGCAGCATTTTGGCTGTATATTGCAGCGCAGCGATACCGTCAATGAGATGTTTAGGGGAATATGTATCCAATATCTAAGACAATCAGAAACTAATTGTCGACCTGAGTCATTCTTGGTGTCTATGCCCTGTCCAGAGAAGGCCAACTTGTCACGTCAGTCGGGTGATATAGTATACCGCTTGTGAGTTACCAGTCAGCAGGATGTTGTTCAGGCGGACCAATGCGGGTGTCCGGACCCTTGCGACGTGATGACTACCGGTTCTCTGCACAGGCTGATATCCGCCATCGATGACCGGCATATCTGTTGAGGATATGAATAACTGCTGAAATCAGGCTACGTGAGGCTATTTTATCGCGGAACTATAGTAACAACATGGCTGTGGCGGGCGGTGAGCAGCCTGGCTACTATCAGGGCCGCAGGACCGCCGACGATAACTGTTTATGCTTAAAGTAGCGATTGCGGAAAAGGCAACTTCTCTTACCAAATCTACATACACAGGCTGCCTCTAGTTTGCCTCGAATCGATCGATCATCAGAGCAGTTGACATCAACTCCCCCGTCTAGCGCGATCGCATTCATCGACGATCAACTGGCGATAGAGTAACGCAAGCAATGACACCCATTGACGTCACATCTACGCCAGCCTTGGCAATCGATCACATCTAATAAATACATCTCCCATCTCGCAGCTCCTTCAACTTTCTCCAATTATTACCATCTCAAGAACATCAGAATCGCTCAATCAAACACACCCGTATCACAGATCACAGATCATACATAACCCACAATCACAACCACCACCAAAATGTCCAGCACCACCAACACCGCGGCCGGCAACAAGCCCCTCGACCCCTACACAGCCAAGTCGCACGAGGACCCCCCTCTGCCCCAGAAGGTCGAAGACCTCGTCACGTTCATCAGTGACTCCAAGTTCGGCATGCTCACCACCAAGTCCTCAGAAGATGAGCTCCTCACATCCCGCTGCATGGCGCTCGCCGGAAAGGTACGCCTCTCGAACAACATCCCCCCCCAGTCCCTCTATCAAAGCTAAATTCATCTTGTGAATGCACAGGAGCACGGCGGCATCGACCTGATCTTCCACACGAACCTCTTCTCGCACAAGACGATGGACCTGACCACCCACCCCAGGGAGGTCAACATGTCCTTCCTGGACCCGCTCAGCGGCTCCTGGGCCTCGATCTCCGGCACCGCCACCATCATCTCCGACCGCGACACCGTCAAGAAGTACTACTCGCCCGCCCTGCAGGCCTGGCTGGGCGATTTGGGGGATGGCGTGCACGACGGTGGCCCGGAGGACCCCCGCATCGGCGTCATCAAGCTCGAGGCGGTGACCGCCCACTATGCGCTGGCTCGCAAGGGGATGCTCACCCGCGCCGTCGAGACCGTCAAGAGCGTGGCCACCGGGAACGTGCCGGCTATCAACAGCATCCGCGAACTGTCGCGAGCGGAGCTGGAGGAGTGTAAGTTCTTTTGCCTTTTCTCCCTCTTGTAATGATTGTAAGATGGATACTAATGCGGAATGATAGGGCGCCGCACGCACGCGAACGAGTAAATTGTCGCTGTTCATTTTTCGCTGAATCGCGCAAGCCGTGGACGAGTGAATTACCCTATGATTTCATGACCCTGATGACACATGTGCTAAGTAGCATGTCACTAGTATCATATTTGTATTAATATGCAAATGAAAGACATTATCCAAAGGAAGAAAATCCAGATACGCGGGGCGTATGCAAATAGGGCTTGGTGCAGAACGAAAGTAAACCAATCATTACAATGCTATCACACCATATAATATCAAAGAGGCCGGTCCTCATAATATGTAGGAGCGCGTGTTGAGGGTATCACTAGCTTGGACTCCAATAGACGCCGTATAACAAAATAACCCCATCAAATCTATTCTCGCCGTTAGCGTTGCATAGAAGAAAGGTCCAGACACGACTCACCAATCGTAAAGGCATCCGGGCCGGCACACGACCGTTGTGTAGCAGCATGGCGATGTTCTTATTGGGCGTCGCCTGCAATTTGCGATAGGCTTCGCGGATATGCTTGGGTTCGACAGGGGTGCGGCCCTCCTCAGGGGGGTCGAAGAGTCCGGTCTCGCGCTTACGTTTCTTGGAATCCTCGCCATTATCTGCGCCGCCACGACGGTTCTTCTCTCGATCCTCCCGTTCCTTGACCTTGAGGGCCTCCTCGGTCAGCGTTTGCACTATCTCGAAGGTCAGGAACCCGAGGATGTCGACAATATCATCGTTAGGTTTCGACTCGGTGACGATTCCGAACCCGGCCCACTCCCGGAAACGCTTGCTCTTGCGGTAGGTGAAGGACGCCTGACGGCATTCCGACCAGAACACATATTCTTCCCTCGTCATGTGCTTGGTGCGTTCGTCGGCAGCGGCAAGGCGCTGCAGGGTGGCGTAGTTCTGCTCCTCCTCTTCCTCGTCTTCTTCATCCTCGCGCTCGGGAACCTGCACGGAATAGAAGCTGTTCACATCCCAAGCGAGGCCGACGCGGGCACGCTTGTTCTTTGGCTTCGACGCGACATCCTGAGGTCCAGCCACGACGCCTCCAGCGATGGGGTCGTCGGCGGCGGCGAAGTCGGCCGCATCGGCGCCGCCCTTGTCGTCCGAGTCTTTGACGTTCTTACGAACATCCTTCCATGAGAGGAAGGTTTTCAGGCGAGACACTTTGGCCTTATCGTGCCGGATCAAGAAGATCAGATCATCTGTGGAGATAGAGCGCACACCGCGGCGGGTTGCCAGAGCGGTGCTTCGAGCAAGCTAGTAGGGAATTTAGTGTCATTCACAGGATAAAGGAAGCGACGAAGGTATCGTACAATTTCGACAACTTGTTGACGAACAATCTCCTCGATGAGAGTAGTCGTTTCAACCGAGGGTTCGGCAGTTTCCCCAGAGACGAACATCATCTGGCGCCAAGTGTTAGTCAATCGCTCCTTAAACTGTTCTTCGCTTTCGACGTCCGCATCCTCTGGTTCATACTCTGAGCCAGGTGGGAATCCTCCTGAGAGAGCAAACATGCTGAGGGTTGAAGTATTGATAAGTCCGGAAGAGGAAATAGGGTACAAATAGAGATGGGAAGGATGTGTGAAGCGATACTGTCAGGAACAGTGACATTGACTTGAGAGCAATCATGATGAACAAATAATTCAAAGCAGAGGTGAGCCAGGAAAGATAGAGTGAATGATCTCGGCATAATTTTGGCAGACTGATGCAAGTGAATATAGTAGTTCGGACCAACAACAGTTGGTATGGGCTGCTGTGAATGAACTTGATAGCAACCAAGATATGTGCAACCTAGATCCAAGAGGGGACACAGTCTGGGACAAGCGATACAAGCATGAAGTGCAGATGTGCAGCATGGAGATGTGCAGTTCAATTAATTGAGCGAATCCAATGGTGCTAACTGACACGCTTACCTGCTGGATCTCTTGACGATACTTTGGGGTCCGATCTGTAGACATCTTCGCGAAGAATCGAGAGCAGGTTGCCTGGTATTCCCAGACAGACCGCACTGAAAATATACAGCGAACGGATGATCTCAGACTCCAACAATCTAGAGGCTGATGAATAGTGCGTTCCCTAATAGGCAGAGCCCCAGGACATCCCGCGGAGGACGCAGGCACGTCACCTGACACGCGCGTGCTTCCCCCATTCATATATCCGGATCATTAGTTTCTCCGCGTTCCACCGCATTTGGCGGGGTGATAAGGGAAACTTTTACGCCGCAATCAACTTTCTCTGAAGAGCAAATTCACTCCATTGCGCGATCAAAATGCTTTATCTAGTGGGACTCGGCCTTGCCGATGAGACTGACATTACTGTCAGAGGTCTGGAGGTGGTCAAGAAGGCCGAGCGCGTTTACCTCGAAGCGTACACAAGCATCCTCCTCGTGGAGAAGGAGAAACTAGTGGGTGCCTCTGCGCGATCATACTTCTAGCATATTTGGTGCAGAGGTGGCTGACTGGGAGTGACTCATTCCAGTAGGAAGCTTTCTATGGACGTCCTGTTATTGTAGCGGACCGCGAATTGGTCGAGACTGGTAGCGATGACATCCTCGCTGAAGCCGACAAAGTCGATGTCGCTTTCCTGGTTGTGGGCGACCCCTTCGGGTATGTGTTTTCACCTTCATATGTTGGTTGATGGGGAGATTGCATGGGGATTGACAGCCAGCTACTAGTGCTACGACACACACCGATCTAGTCCTACGCGCCCGTGAATTAGGCATCGAGTCCAAGGTCATCCCTAACGCATCGATTATGTCCGGTATTGGCTGCACCGGCCTGCAGCTGTACAACTTCGGACAGACCGTCAGCATGGTCTTCTTCACTGAGACCTGGAAGCCCTCGTCCTACTACGACCGTGTCAAGGAGAATGCTGGACTGGGTCTTCACACACTCGTCCTGTTGGACATCAAGGTCAAGGAGCAATCCCTCGAGAACATGGCCCGTGGACGTCTGATCTACGAGCCTCCGCGCTTCATGACAGTTGCGCAGTGCGCCAGTCAGATGCTCGAGACGGAGGAGGAGCGCCAGGAGGAAGTCTGGACTGCGGACAGTCTGGCTGTTGGTGCCGCTCGTGTTGGAGCCCCTGACCAGAAGTTGGTTGCCGGTACTCTCAAGGAGCTGGCAGAAGTTGACATGGGCCGACCTCTTCACAGTTTGGTCCTGCTTGGCAAGAGGGCACATGATCTGGAGAAGGATTACATCAAACAATTCGCTGTGGACCAGGCGACCTTCGATGCCGCTTGGCAAAAAGGAGGCTACGGTACCATGTGAGGTACTGCTGCCGTGTAACGAATGATGTTGAACGAAATAGACATTTATCGCGCTGAATAAAAACAAGTGAGCCATCCGAACCGAGGTTTCCGAACACACCCAAAGCCAGCTTTGTGATGGAGATCAAGTCGATAGTGGATCGTCAAGCGTAAGACGTTAAGAATCACCTCTCGCAGTACAGTCATTAGGCCGCTTTCCGACCAAAAAATCTTGTAAGCCGCTGTGGGAGTCGTACCTGCATAACACAAACATCGTTAGGGGTCATGGCACCCAGCAAAATAACTTTAGTGCGAAACGTACCGTTGCTGATGAAGGCGTCGCTGGTGGCGTCTGATCGCTATCATACTCTTCGCCATTCCCGTAAGAACCCTCGTCGTCGTCCATACTATCTTCTTCCTCATCTGACAGAGGAAACCATCTCTCGGGATCGCCATTGTAGACAATATACCAACCGATCCGCTCACCCGCAGCATACTTGTCGCGCATCTCCGTGATCGCCTCTTCGGCGGCGGTATCCAACGGCGACTTGCTGAAGAGATCCTCAGGCGTCCAGCTTGTTTCGGAGCAAGGGACTCCAGCTTCGGGGATAGAGATAACTTTCGCTGCGACGTAGGCGAAAGGCTTGCTGACAGCCGCATCACTCGTGTCTTCGGGGTCGTATTGCTCGATGAAGCGCATCTCCGGCAAGCGCTCGACAATGCTGGACTCTGTCTTCTGGAACGATTCGAGAAGAAGCTCGGTGGTGGCTGGCTGCTGGATATACTCGGCGGTGGCGTCCTCGAGATTGTGCAAGACCACGTAGACGCGAATCCCCGTGAAGCCGGCGCGAGGCCAGCGGAAGCCGTAGAGCATGTAAACAGGCATGGTTGGAAGGGAGGAAACTGCGGGATGGGTAGCCGAGGGTGTTCTGCGACGGTAATGGTTGTGTGGCGAGAAGACAATGCGCTTTTAATGGTTCTGATGAGTGGAACGAGGGTGCAGCATCCCAGGAAGGTGAGAATGCAAGCTCATATTAAGGTGAGCAAGCGAGATGCAGCGCGCAATGCGCGGTTTCACAGGGTGGATATGCAGGTGAAGAGTGGTGAGGTATCGGTCCAATTGGTGACCGGAGCAATAATGCAGATGGCGCTAAGTCCGATTCTTTGTTTTACTAAGCAGGGGTAACCAGGCTCACAAGGGCATTAATTGCCCATATCTCGAAGCAACATATGGGAGACTGTATTATGTAGGAGTTGTATGTCAGAACAATGGATTTCTCAAAACCTAGACAAGAATCAGCTTATGAAGTTCGCATTGTCAGCCTCAAATTGATCTCCAATCTGAGGCGGTGAGACCTGGCAATATTGAGTCCGTCCCGCACTTCCTCGGGGACGCAAGCGGAGACAGATAGATGTAACAGCTTAAGCTGCAGCATCATTTCATTCTTTCCGGAGGACATCCACTTATCAAACTAGACAGGATGGTCCTATCATTTATCCTTGTCCAGAATCGCCAGTAAGCGCCCAGCTAATATCCCTAACCCAACTGAACTCAGGCGCTGACAGGAGACCGAACAGGGGGAAGACGCGGCTTGCCAAATGGTACGCTCCGTACAGCGTAAGTCTCCTGAACTCTGTGGCGGCTGTACTGGATCATTTACTGAAATACTTACTGCAGGACGAAGAGAAGGTCAAGCTGAAAGGCGAGGTACGTCATATCGGATTGTCATGGCAGCTTGCCCCCCGCATCCCACGTAGCGGCCCTTGAGCGATAACTTACCAACCATTGCCGAATGCAGGTCCATCGCTTGGTAGCTCCGAGAGACCAGAAATACCAGTCGAACTTTGTTGAATTTAAGCGGAGTACGAAGATCGTATACCGGCGATATGCGGGGTTGTTCTTCTGTGCCTGCGTCGACGCAACTGATAATGAGTTGGCCTACCTGGAGGCTATCCACTTTTTCGTCGAGGTTCTGGACCAATTCTTCGGAAACGTCTGTGAGCTAGATTTGGTGTTCAACTTCTACAAGGTGCGTGCGTGCGGTGTCAGCTATAGTTTAGGGGTTGGACCTGGGATGGAGGGAGGGCAAGCTGGTGGAAGCGGTCGTGCCTTTGGCTCGTCGGAGAACCACACGCGGCTAACGGAGTCTCATACAGGTATATGCTATTCTGGACGAGGTGTTCCTTGCGGGTGAAATTGAGGAGACGAGCAAGCAGGTTGTGCTCACGAGGCTGGAACACTTGGACAAACTGGAATGAGAAGAAAGCAGTATCGAGAAGGGTGGACTGCAAGAGGTGCGGAGGCAGATGAAATCTTGCTCCATGCCTGTGCGGCTTCGATTTGGCTTCAGTTGCATATATGACCACGGGCTATGGTCATCACAGGAGTTAGGGCTTTCTTGGATTTGGTTCTTTTTATGCGGGGTTTTTTTTCCCTCCTGCACTGCTACATACCTCTAGCGCTCGTCTGAAACTTCCTCAGGGCGGTATCTAATGTACAAATTCTAATTCCCTACGCAAAAGGCATGTCTTGTGTTTTGTGGCCGATTCAACATATGCAGTACATGCAAGCGCCCTTAGTGTGTTCCTTTTATCTTCGTAACCAGTTTCAGGGCCATTTTCAGGGTCCCCAGCGGAGCTTTCAGGGTTCAGACCTGCATGATTGAAAAAAACGAGGTCAAAATTGGCGAGGTCAGTTGAATGGTTGCTGCCTGGGGTTTCAACAGCCGAGAATGACTGCCGTGATGCTCGACAGGCGGATCATCCGAGACATCTCACAGCTGACACCGGACCACTCACTGCACCATGCCAGCGGCGCAATTAAGCTTATCTGATTGTCTCAGATCCAAGGGCAGGTTCGCTTCAATTCATTTGACGGCACCAGCGCTTTCAACTTAAAGCGAAAAGGGGGTTCAGCTTACTGTTTTTCAAATGAGGTGATCGTGGGGATCGATTGCGAGCAACTCCCCGGCGATGGTGACATGCTCTTGGCAAGGTATACTTAATGAGCCCTACCCTTCAGGCATGATAGACTTAATTTTGATTTTGTTCGACTTGATGCAGCATCAAACTGGAAACGCTGCCCCAAACTTCATTATGATTGTCCTTCGAATCAGGTCTTCTACCACAAGTGTAGCATGGCACACCTGACAACAGAGCCGGCCTTCCTTGTCGGAACTTCACACCCTCGTCCCTTCTTCCTGTCACATGTCTTCACGAGCTCTTTTCCACCCTTGATGATGATCCGAATTGACCTAGCACACGCTCCGCCAACTATGGGTCTGACGACCTAGAAGTAGACCCATTAAGTGGGCTATTCTACCTTCCTATACGAGTGACGACCTTCGCGGAGACGGCGATCATGGCACGCATCGCCCTCAACAATGCAATACAAACACGGTAACGAACACAGCCTACTGTACCTCGCCTCAGTTGCCAACTTGCCACACGATTGTCCCGTCCGTCTCCTTCGTTCGATGATGATCAAACGCCGGCCCGTCCTCCGTAGCAGGTACTGCACTCGCCAAGGATGATCCTCATCAATTGTACGAGCGTGCTCAACAATCATACTTTCCCGCTCATTTGGCTCTCGCTTCGTCCTGCAGCCGTGATAGGCTTGACCCTGAGCCGTTACGTATCCCGACCACGCGGATAGAAATTTGAGCCGATGGTCTTTCCATGGATTGACCCCCTCCCGCCCCCCATCGTGCTTCTCTCCCGGTTCAACCGCCTTGCCAAGCCGTGACCGGCACCCCCTGACACGTAGGCTGATACAGACCAGTGTGATGGGGGGCTTACGACGATTCATTCGGGATAGATTGCAGCTGGGTTGATTGATAGGTGGATGAATCCACTGGGCGGGTGACTATCAGACTGGGGCTCGACTCCACTTCTGCAGAAATCGATAGTCCTCGACCTCCGAGAGCACGAGACGTCACGCCACATCGGCCTTGGTTACTTGTTTGGAAGGATACAGAGATATGCGCAAGGAGATGGAGAGGCTGAGTTGAAGAAACAGATTCACACGACTTGGAAACAAATGTCTATCTTCGGTGAAGAGGAGGAAAGCTACGATCAAAAACTTCTCCTGAAATTTACCTTATCTGATGGAAGGCAGTTCTGGTGGTGCATTAGTCATGGCTGGGGAAGTTTTAGCCGACGGCTAACTTTTCTGGATCCAAAGTTACAGCGGAAATGTGAGATTGAAACCAGAATCCGAAGCGTGAAATTTACAACTCTCGAGCTTGATGCGTGGCAATAGAGCTTGCTGCTTGTGGCCGTAAGACAGGAAACTCGAATCATGAATGGATCTAGGATCGTCTGGGCCTGAGCAAGTGTGGATGCAACCTTCTTCTATGCCGCTAGGCCGACTAGCGGGTTCCCATCACCAACCAGCAGCCACTGACGCAGACTCCATCGTGTGTAAGTGTGTTTGACTTTGATCAAGTTCAAGTGGTTCTATTACATGGAGTCATGGACTATGTCACGGTCCTTGATAGAGTCACGGTCTAGCAGCAACGTCGGTGTAACAAGGTTGTCGAGCCGGTCGAAATACGCTGTGATTAATTGTGGCCTTCTGGAACCGGTACGTGGTCCGATTACCAGGATGCATTTATATGGCAACCCTTGAGTTTCAGCAAATTAGACAGGCGTGGACATGGTTTAACCATAGCAACAAGGGGGGAAGTCTGCCACTGATCCAGTGCTTCCAGATGTGGTCTCGTTGGAGCAGTCGCAATCCTTTGGTGCACGGGTCCTGTGGAGGACGATCGATAGCTCAAAGGCTTATCAACGCCAGCTGTGGTTTCGCCATGAAGACGAAGGCAAAGTGGATTAAGCGTCTGATTCAACCGCACGGAGGAGCAGGACTCCGCTGGAAGAGGCCGTTAGGCGGAGAAATTGTGGTCTCCGAGGAGTGGCTATCGTTGACCCTGGAAGGTACAGTTCATGGCTGAACTCGAAGTGGTCGAGATGCTGCGAGTGACAGCCTGAGTAGCAGCAGCCATAGACATGGGCATTGCACGATGAATATGGCCGAAGGTACAACTGCCCGGCAAGTTATGTTGCGGTGTCCTAATTCGGTGAATGCTTCGCATGCTGTTGGTATGCCGCCAGACGTTTGTGGTGCAGGAACAGCAACTGAGGATTTTACTGCACCTGCACTCTTAAGACTACGAAAAGGAAATGATCGGACCGGTGTGATTCGTGAAGCTCGCTGATCTACTCCAGCATTTTTAGAAGTTCTCCATGTACCACGTACGAGTATTTGCGGAACATTTGTTTTCATCAGGCGGTGGACAACGACTCTTCGATCGTCCCTCAAAGTCTCCATGGCACATCCAGAGAGACTGCGAGTGAAGTCCCTTTCAACTCGTGGCCCGACCGTCCTAGTCGAATGCCCTGAATAGCAATGCAGGGTTCCCCTTTACAGAACCCTGCTGGATGTGGGGGAAATCAAGATCGAAGACGTTTCAGCACTTCGGACTTCGCCCGTATACCTTTCAACAGTGCGATTTACTGCGGTATGGCGCGGAGACTAGACCGAATCTTTACAGATTGTTTGTTGTTGCTTGGTGATGATGACGACAAGGGGGTTGGCAACGTATGGATTCGACGGCGTGGATCCCGTTTATCCATCATGACTTTTTTGCATGACGGAGAAATGTACGCGTCGCCTGCGGCAGGACCACCAATCAACGGGCGCAAGGGCACGGCCCGACTGAGGAGGACAGAGCTTCCAGACTCTCTCGCGCCGGCGACAGGGCGCTGATGGCCAAGTGAAGCATGAGACTGCTGTTCCAGCGATCAGCGAAACGAGGGGCTACGCGGCCGATCTGCTGGGTTCGCGGCAGCGAGGCTTGGCACTTCTCCAGTTTCTTGGTCCATGAAACCGTTTATTGGTTTTCAAATTTCTGTCACAGACTCACAGTTGCATTGCTGGAACAACATGTGCCCCACCAGGAGAATTGGCACTTGCGGCTACACTTCCTTGGATATCCGTCCCCCTGCCCTCGCTTCTGAATGGCACAGAGGTCGTTGAACTCTTGGCGACGGAGTAACTGCGGACCATGGCTGGTCAAGTAGGCGAGCAGCTCAAACCGCCGACCCCTGACTATCTTTGCTTTGTATCGAGGGAGGAAAAAGGATGGTGAGGGGGGCAGGACGAGAGAACGTCAGCCGGTGACGTCTGGCTCTGCGTGATCTGTGCCTGCTTGTCTCGAACTGTTGCTTTTGGATCTGTATCATATGTATGCTTTTTTATTCTGGTTATGTGTCGGATCTTTCGTATGTATGTCTATCATCATACTGCAATAGCGGACAATATTTTCCGCTGATTGTCGCACTCTCTCCTCCCCCTTCATTTGGGGGGAAAGCTGTTTTGAAGAGGCAGAGACGATCCAGAACGTGAGTGGGGAACGGGGGGAACAACAATGGAAAGAACAATAGAATTCCATTCAAGGTCTTAGCCGTCATGGCTGGACGGGGGTGTAGACGAGGGTGTAACAGTAGGCTGTATTGCAAATACAGCAGTTACCTCATCCTACCGAGTACGAGTACGGAGTAGATAGCTCGATTGATGGCTTGCACTGGAACAATGGTTCCCACGCGTACCTTTTTTTCTTTTCCTTTTCCTTTTCCTTTTCCTTTTTCTTTTTCTTACGTTGCCCTTACGAACCTTAAAAAAAAAAAAAAAGAGGGTCAATTTTTCTGTTACGAAATCAATCTAAAAATGGAGAAGACAGATTGCCGTCAACCACTCACAATCTGCTCGTCATCTATTCGAGAAGCAGTGAATTTCCTCTTTCTGACTTCTCTCGAGTGGATCTGGGAGTAATTGATTGCCGCATCGGCACTAGTAGGCTTTCTGCTTCTTATCCTCCACCACATACGACGAGTCCATTGCAAGTTGACTGTTGGGTCTGGATGCGCGTTGATCTACCCGCACTCTCCTTTTAATGTCCTGCCATCGCCAGTTCAACATCGACTTTCTTCTCTCCCTTCTCAGCTCCATCTCGTGTGATCTTATCTTTATTTGTCCGGTCTGACCTGTCTTGCAAGACGCTTCTTTCCTTGTTTCACTCCGGTCTTGTTCATATCAAAGACTCTCGTTACAATCACTACCATCGCCGCCGCCGAGGCCTTCAATATTTTGCCGTGGCTTATCGTGCCCTAGACTTCAACTCTTTATAAACACATTCTGATTCAGATTTCTCCTACTCAACCATGTCTTTGGTTCACTCCGACAACCTGGCTCCTCAGCCATGGACCGACATCTTCACCGAGGATACATGCATCGATAGACGGCAGTGCCACCGGACGGTGCCGATGAAGGTGCTTGCCCTGGGTGTGGGAAGAACCGGAACAGCTTGTACGTGTCATTCCACAAGCCACACAGTCAATGACCGGCGCCACTAACTTTGCACCTTCCCACAGCCCTCCGCAAGGCCCTTGAGCGCCTTGGCTACATGAAGACCTACCACATGATGTCCGCCAGCATGGAGAACCCGCCAGACTGCTTGATGTGGCACGATGCTCTGAGCGCCAAGTACGACGGCGTGGGCGAGTTCGGTAGAAAGGAGTGGGATCAGCTTCTGGGTGACTGCCAGGCCGTCTGCGACTGGCCTGCCTGCGCCTTTGCTAAGGAGCTGATTGAGGCCTACCCTAACGCCAAGGTCATTCTGACCACCCGTGAGGTCGAGTCTTGGCACGCGTACGTTCCATTCCATCCCACCTTCCAGCCGGGCACCCCGCTAATCTGTCATGCTACAGTTCCGTGATGAAGACCGTTTGGTGGCGTGTGTCGGATCCCGAGCACCGATTCGTCTCAAACTTCAGCTGGGCCGCCAGCATGTACTACCCCATGCTCAACAAGTTCTTCCAGACCTTCTTCCGGGGCGACTTCCCCAACCAGGGCAAGCAGGTGTACCTCGACCACGTGGAGGAGGTCCGCAGCCTGGTCCCCCCGGAGAGACTGCTCGAGTACCAGATTGGCGAGGGCTGGGGCCCGCTCTGTGAATTCCTGGGCGAGGAGGTGCCTGACACCCCCTTCCCCCGCGGCAACGACATGGCCGACTTCTTCAAGCGCTGCCGCTCCCGCAACAGGCGCCAGATGCTGAACGCCGCCCTCCAGGCATTCACTATGGGTGGAGCTATCCTGGCCACCGGCTTGGCTGCCACCATGGCCTTCAAGCGCTTCTCTCGGTAGAGGGTAGTTCGTTACTTCTTTGTGTCTTCAGCCTGTGGTGTGCGCTGGCCGCCGATCGCCGCAGGTTTTTGTTATGTGTGTTTTGATTATCATATACCGACGAGCGTACCGACCCTCAGATCCAGGGTTGGATTATTGTTATAATGCGTGATTCTATCACTTGTGAGATGTTTTTTTTTTCTATTTGTGTTGGGCTATGGTGGGACTTTTATGTACGGATTGATTAGACGGGATATTGGCAAGGGAAAAGCATTGGGCGGATGGCACTTTTGGATTTCGCTCAACTATGAAGGTAGTCGCTGATATCACTGAGCGCCGACTGGAATGGAATGAACTCAATATTCTTTACATATCGCATGTTTGCCTCTATCAATCACTGTACTGGCCCTGCAGTACATACAGTACAGTGCTATATATCGTTCATTTGTTGAGGGGTAGGACAAATGGTCTCGGCATGCATGCAGGCATGCAGCGGGCCAGTCCCCGGCGAGCCCTACAGGGTGCGTGCATCCTTCCTGGCCTTGGCAACCAGCCAACGACGCCCTGCACTTGTTGCACCTGTGGAAAGTAGTCATAGCTAGAGCTTATCTAAAATGCCAAGCGACTCGAAGCATGCTGACGTCCGCTGTACCCATCACTCAGTTAGGTAGGACAGCTGCTGCTCAGTATAAACAGGTCAACGACTACTGTAGCTTTCTCTTTTAGCAGATACACAAGATGGCACATCGGTAGCAAGAACAATACATCCACCTATCCGTGGTCTGATTCAAGTGCAGTCCAGTAGCATCCATAGCCCAGACGGGCTGCTACCTTCTTCATACCACCCACCGTACCTCATTCAGAAAGAACAAAGACACCCAGGTAGTCTACAGTCCTATGTAACGCCAGCGTCCCCAGCGTCCTCAGACAAAAGAAACAGGAAACATCGACGAAACACTGCAACAAACCCTTTCCATTACATCCTCTACCTTAATCTCAATGGCCTAGAGCGACAAAGAGCAATTGGACTCGTCTGCTGCAACTCGGGTTCTCCACTTCCGCATTCGCTCGCCAGCCCAAATTCTTTTTGCCCCGAGGCTCTAAGCCATCGTCCCGTGGCGGCGTGACGCGGCGGGCGGCGGGCGGCGGCGCGCTTCCCCTTGCGACCGGCTGTTCGGTTCGAGGCTTGGCGGGCGCCTAGATTAGTCTAGAGGCTAGAGGGGATGATGACTGAGCGGGATCTGGGAACGCCGTGCATACTGACTACGTACGTGGTGGATTTGTTTGATCCCTGGAAGGAGAAAAGAAAAAGGACAGAAAGAGGGTTAAGGGTCGGCTCGGTTGGATTTTGGAGGTTTGAGTGGTGTTACAGAATACACGGACACGGGGGGAGGGGGGCCCGGCCCGGCCTGGCCTGGGTTGGGTTGGGATAAAACTTACCCCGGGGATCAGGCGGGAACTGGTATTGTTTCGGTAATGATTTACTTTTCCCTACAGTACGAGTAAGTTATTCGGATGAGGGCCCGGTAGGTTCGGGTTGTTCGTTATCAACCAACCTTTCTGTGTCTGTTGTCGGAGACCTCATAAACCTCGCAATGTTCGGATGTATCGTTGTTGGATATCGTGGTTTGTCGGTGAAGAGCTATACTGGTTGAGTGTTTCCAGGTCCTCATTGGCGCTGATTTGGGTTTTGCTGGTCAAGTCACCGAGTTGTGATTTGATTCTAAGCGCTGAAACGCGGGGAGGGGAAATCCTGAGATTGAGGTGACGACGACGACAACAGATGAAGGACTATTCTTAGGTCCGAACCGCGCAAGACAATCAACTGATTTGCAGGACGGAGGGCTTCTCCTGAGAATCGTCTCGACAAACCCTCCTCCACGAGCCTTTCTGCTTCTTTGGTGAAGGAAGATCTTCAACGTGGATGATGCTTGACTATCACACCTAAAAATGGCTCTGCGGAAATGATCGGTCGATGCGCAACGAAGGTGCATTCAATCTCACGGATCATATCGTCGATGCTCTCCGAAGGAAACCCGACGAATCCTGATCCCACCCACCAGCTGCAAGAACGCAATAAACCATGACCGACGTACGTACGACCAAGCAGTAGTGGATCCTGTCTCGGCAGTGATTAGGTACGTTGGCGATGCTTGGCAGCCTCCACTTACGTCGCCGGCCCAAGAAGTTGATGCGCTCAAGCATTTGATCCCAGTATTCGCGGCCTCGCATTGGCCTGCCACTCTGGAGCTTTGCATGTTCGTGCGTGGGCGTTTCGGACGGACGGTCACAGGCTCTGCTTTCCCAGCGTATCCGCTATAAACTTCTTATCAAGTTGGGAAACATGACTTTTTACTAATCATCTCTCTCTCTTCCCCTCTGCGGGTTTCTTGTTGGCTGTTCTGGCGTTTCGTTTGGCGTGGTTGAGTTGGCTTGCATTCAGTCGCTCTCTGGAAGTTGAGACTGTATTCTGCTTTGGACAATCACGAATCTTCTTTTCTTTCCTTGTTCTCGTCGTCGTTTTAGTCATCGCATTCCTTGTTTCCCACACATACTGGGTGCGACGGATGCACCACTGAAGGATCGATGATCGGCTCTATACGCAACCCGAGCGGCTTTGCTCTGTCCTTCCTACTGATCTCCCTGGCTATACTTTATACATTCATACCATCAGTCTCTGCGGAGGTGGATTCGGTCTTCAAATCGGTAAGCACGCTTGTCGGTGGCTGTTCGCATTTATATTAGCTGTGGCAGCAGCGTGCACGCCATAAAGCCAAGATGTTCGCCATGCGGATCACTAACCTTGTGTCAACGACCATCGCAGAGACCCGACCTCTACCCGCCTGTCCTCACCTTGGAACATCGCAACCCCGACAAGCTCAGCCCGGGCTATATCTTCGTGGGCCCTTATGAGGCAGCCAACTCGGGGCCGTATATTTATGATGACGAAGGGGTATGTGTCCGTCATGAAAGACCGACCAGCCACATTTGCTGATTACTTGTAGAATCTAGTCTGGAGCGGATGGGGTAATTCCGGCCCTGGAAATGCCCATGGCATGCATGTTTGCCAGTACCAGGGTAAAGACCATCTCTGCTTCTTCCAGGGCGTTCAGCAGAACGGTTACTGTCGCGGCCATGGCGTGATCATGGACAGCAATTATCGGATCGTTCGCACTGTGGTCCCCGGCGGAGGCATGGCATCCAGCGATATGCATGAATTCAAGCCCATCAACGACGGCAAGACTGCTCTGTTGACCGTCTACCAACAGCGGCAGTTCGATATGAGTTTGTGGAACGTGAAGACGGGCATGGGATGGCTGATGGAGAGTGTCTTCCAGGAAGTCGACGTCGAGACTAACGAGGTGCTATTCGAGTGGAAATCGCTTGACCATGTTGACCCGTCAGCGGCCTACACCTGGCCCAGCCACACGGACACCTCGGGCACTGGGCTGGACCCGCGCTCGCCCTGGGACTACTTCCACATCAATTCCATTGATAAGAACAGCGAGGGCGACTATCTGATTTCCTCGCGCCACACGTGCGCGATCTACAAGATCTCCGGCCAAGACGGCTCGGTGATCTGGCAGTTGCACGGAGCCAACCCCTCCTTCAAGAACATCAACTTCAGCTTCTCGCAGCAACACGATGCCCGCTTTCTGAGCGAAAACGCCACCCACACGCTGCTGTCGCTTTACAACAACGGCTTCAATGGCTTCAACCGGACGCACGACTATTCCTCGGGCATGATTATCCTGATCGACCACCGCGATAACACCGCGACCCAGCTGCTGGAATATGCACCGCCGGGCAAGAACATGATCAGCTCCAGCCAGGGAAACTTGCAGGTCCTGCCGAACGGTAACGCGTTCATCGGGTGGGGGAACAACGCCTACATTTCCGAGCATGACGAGCAAGGCAATATTCTCCTGTGGGGATACATTGACAAGGATCGGATCATGAACTACCGGGCGCAGAAGTTCCAGTGGGAGGGTAATCCAACCGATGTGCCGGCCATGTGGACCTATGCGAAGTCGAGCGAGACCTACGCACCGACGACCTTCTATGTCAGCTGGAACGGGGCGACCCGCGTGAAGTACTGGCGCTTCTACGGCGCGCAGAACGCCACCGGCCCGTTCATGTTAATCAAGCAAGTCGCGAAGGACGGCTTCGAGACGAGCTACACGGCGGGCGAGTTCTACCAGTGGACCTATGCCGAAGCTGTCGACGTGGAGGGTCAAGTGCTGGGCAAGTCCCGGAACCTGTTCACGTTTGTCCCGTCGGCGGAGTTGCAGAACTTCTGTGCGACCGATGCGTGCGAGAATGCCCAGTCGTATGGCATGCCGAATGAGGAGGGCGCTGGGCCCGCGATCCCGCCGGCTGGGATTATCACCGTGCCTTGGGTGGATCCTGGTCGTCCGGACACTTTGTACGACTGGGGACAGACGGAGCAGTCTGAGGGCGAGGAAAAGGAGGCGGAGGCGCACAGTTCAGATAAAACCTACAGTAAGTTTAACCTTCTAGTTGGCAAGATGGCCGAAAATGATGCTGATATGAGTCCAGACAATGTAGGGTGGATTGCGCCGGGCTTCGGGTTTCTGGTTACGGTGGCGGCTATCTACACAATTCATCGGGTCTATCGGCGACGGCAGCAGGATCTCAGCCGGGTCAAGGAGCGCGCCTCCACGGAGCATCTGGATCAGATGGAACGGGCCCCGCACTCAGTGGAAGCGGACGAGCTTCCCTGGTGGCATTGGCGTCGCTTCGTGGGGAGACAGCTGCCGCGGTATACGCCCCTGACCGAGGGTCAGGGCTCAGCATGGCAGCAGGGCGGGCATATAGAACGGTAGCAGCTTTTGCTCCCATCTTTTAGGGTAGATATCAGAATCGTCCGATATGATCCATGATTCATATGGTAGGATACAATACGAGTCTTGTCAATGATCAGTCAATCTGGTGCATTAGTTATTCGGATTGTGTTGTGTATATTGGGCAGAGTGCCTCGGACTTAAGATGTGATGACAATACCTTACTCCGAGGTCTGAGCCACAATCCGTTCGTCATGGGGGCTGATGATCAACCCAACCCCGGAATAGGCCTTGCCTCGTGCATAAGACAGAATATTTGATAGGGAACGGAAGCAGGTCACCCATGCAGGCATACGTATGGACTTGCGTAAGAGGTTGGACGTTCAGTTGTGTCATCCCTCGGATGTTGATTGGGGCGAACAGTTCGGGGTACAGACCGCAGCATATTCATACTGCCCATACGGTAGGTTCTCAACAATTTGAGCCAGCACAATTGCAGGTGAAATTGGTCTTTGTTCTTGAATCGATTATTACCGACTGTCCGCGGAGATCGCCTACCAAGTCTAGAGGGATACCTCTGCCCGCTTTGTTGAACCGCTTGATGGGATTGTTCTTGTAGAGATTCTCCAGCAGATTCGCATCAATGCTTTGATAGACAATAGGACTCAATGATCATCACCGGCATTGGCACTGAGCCCTGTCACTCTATAAATACAACTACAGTTTACAACTACACCTACACATCCAGCGTAGCAGCTCACACTCCAAGTAAGTACTACACGTAGGCAACTGTCCCCGGTAAAATCGCCAACAATGCGACCCGCCTTCCCCGATCACGCCGTCCGCCACGACGACGGCATCTACGGCCACTTCACCAAGCACTACCTGAGCCGCCACGGGTACTGCGACCGCGACCACGAGCAGGTCTTCGTGGTGGTGACCGTCACCCAGGAGCTGATGGACCGGCACGACTGGGCCTTCTACGAGGAGCAGCTGCGGCTCGAGATCGAGGGCGAGCGCATCAATAAGCCCACCGCGCAGGCCGTCTTCGGCAAGATCCAGTGCGCGGGCGTCGCGCGTCACTACAAGGAGTGCGTCGGCGCTGAGCGCGTCACGGGGCCCGACATACTCGCCGTGGAGATCGAGGGCTGCGTCGAGCACAACACCTCCGAGGACTTTTGGGTGCTCCAGGAGTGGTATGAGAACACGCTCATGCCCTACTGGGGCCATCCGCCGCTCGCGGAGCCCGTGGAGGGCGAGGCGTATTGGCCGTTTTTGCGGTTTCGATGGTGGTTAGGTTTTTTTTTTTTTTTTGTGGTTGCTTTTGCGGTGAGGTGAGAGGTTAAAGAATATAAGAGTAACAAAAAAAGAGAGAGGGGATCCTCGTACTCAGAGGGGATTCCTCTATATCATAATAATAATCAATGGGTTGTACACCTCACATTGTATTGCATAACTCAGCATTGGTGACGAGAGTGGAGACCAGATGCTCGGGTGCCAAGCCTGGCGGGTGGAGAAAAGCGTCGCAAGCCTTTTTCGCCTGCGCTGTAAATTACTCTCGGCCGTATTGGGTATTGCGATTTTGCAGTTTCTATCTATCCCTTTACTGTCTTGTCACATCGCTTCATTTCACTCCCAGTTCAGTTCAGTTCATTTCCACCCCCCGAATCAAGCAATTGAAGGCGATGGGGGAGTTGTTTCGTGTTTGATGATCGTGTGTTTAGTCTTTAATTCTATTCTTTCTTTCTCGCGCTCTCTTTAGCACTGGACGTTTTCTTTCTCTTTGCATCTGCTCTGCTGCATCATCAGCATCGTCACTGTCACTCTTTTCACCGAATTGATTTCCTCTCATTGCTGCAGCTGCAGCCAGCATTTACCGTCCGGGTCTCCGACTGACTTATAGACTATAGCAGACTATAGCCCACTGACCCATTTGGCCCCTCCTTGCGTCTTTTTGGTTTCTTTCCCTTGACATTCCTGCTATCTATCCTCCTATCACAACTCGTGCCGATGCCCGTCCCACGAACCGCATCCCAAGGAACCGGCCGGCGACCATCCTTGACGCTTAACGCCGCGCCGCCTCTTACGGCCACTTCCACATCATCCTCCGCCATCGCTTCGCCTCTCCCACCAACAACCCCCAATCCCCTCTCTGCGACTTCCGCCTCTTTCGCCCAGTCCACCAAGAATCGGCATGCTGCCCGTCATACCAGAGCTATCTCGTGGACTTCCGGCCACGACCAAGGCGGCGAACCCTCGTCCTCGACCTCTGCCAATTTTCCGCTCCACCAGCAACACCAGCAACAACACCAACAACAACGTCGTCGTCGCGAATCCAACCTCTCGCTAGCCGACGTTTCCGAAGGCTCCTCCGGCCGCTACGAGGACTACGACCACGATTCCCACAACATGGCCTCGAGGAACACCTCTCTCGACTGGGGCCATGCCCGCAGCCGCTCCCACAGTCAATCACAGACCGCGATGTTGCGACCTCAAGAACTGGCCGATACGCCCTCCGCGGCGCCGGCCTCGCGCCCCGCCCCGGTGACCTGGATGTCCCTGCCGAAGAAGGGCCAGCTCGCTTTGCTAGGGCTCTGCCGTGTCTTCGACTTCTTGCAGATTGCCTCCCTGCAGGCCTACATGTTCTATCAGCTGAAGTCCTTCGACGAGAACCTGTCCGACGCCGATGTATCCACCCAGGCCGGCATTCTGCAGGGCGCATTCACCGCCGCGCAGTTTGCGACCGCCATCCCCTGGGGTCGGGTCGCCGATGCGGAGTGGGGTGGCCGGAAGTTCGTGCTGCTGGTGGGCTTGCTGGGCACCGCCTTGTCCTGCCTGGGGGTCGCCTTCGCGACCTCGTTCGCGCAGGCCGTGTTCTGGCGCTCCTTTGGCGGGGCCATCAATGGGACTGTCGGGATCATCCGGACCATGATCGCGGAGAATGTGAAGGAGAAGAAGTACCACTCGCGCGCGTTTTTGATTCTACCAATCGGGTTTAATGTGGCCGCCTTGTTTGGTCCCGGTGAGTGTGACGCCATCTACTAGGATTCTTGGGAGGGTTGACTAATGGTTGTATGATAGTGATGGGCGGGATGCTGGCCGATCCGGTCAAGGCGTATCCCCGGTTATTTGGGCCCGACTCGTCGTTCGGCGGTGCCAACGGCGTGCAGTGGCTGATCCGCTACCCCTACGCTTTGCCCATGCTGGCGAACGCCATTTTCCTTTCGTTCGCGGCAGCGTGTGTCGCCATTGGTCTGGAAGAGGTAAGTGGCTGGCTCTTGGCAGTGTCGTTCAACACTAATTGTTGCAGACCTTGGAGGCTTGTAAAGGCAAACCCGGGTTGGGGGTCTTTTCGATGCGCATTTTCGCGCGCGTTGTTCGCGTCGTGGTGCCCTCGTCTTCCCCGCTGTACCGCCGGCTGCCGTTCGCCGACTACGAAGAGGCAGGCCCTCTACTGGGCCGCCGGGATACCGCCGAGAGCTACGAGATGGAGGAGAAGGCCACCAAACATACTCGTCAAAGCCGCAGCTTGCCCTTCCGTCGGATCTGGACCAAGAACGTGCTGTGCACGCTCCTGGCGCAGGCCTTCTTCGACTTCCAAATGGGGTATGTTTCTGCGGCTGTGTTTGCACACGACATCGATCTGACCATGACACAGTGCCTTCAACAACCTGTGGCTGTTGTTCCTCTCGACGCCGCGCTACGACGCCAACGACCCCACGAGCCCCCTGCAGAAGCTGCCGTTCATCTTCACCGGCGGCCTGGGGATGCTGCCGCAGAGCGTGGGCTTCGCGACCGCGATCCTCGGCATCATCGGCATGCTCCTGCAGTTCACCATCTACCCCAGCATCAACGGCCGTCTGGGCACGGCCAAGAGCTACCAGTACTTTTTGACGTTGTTCCCCCTGGCGTACGCGTTTGCGCCGTACATCGCCCTGGCGCCGTCCACGGTGCCGCCGCCGGGCCAGGCCAACGGCGGCTGGGTGTGGTTCTCGATCATCGTGGTGCTGTTCCTGCAGGTGACGGCGCGCACCTTCACGCTGCCGACCTCGATTATCCTGCTGAATAACTGCTCGCCGCACCCGTCCGTGCTGGGCACTATTCATGGGATCGGCCAGTCCGTGTCCTCTGCCTTCCGCACCATCGGGCCGATCTTTTCGGGGTCGTGGTACGGCTACGGGCTGGAGATGGGCATGGTGGGCTTCGCCTGGTGGCTGGTGGCGCTGGTGTCGGTGTTCGGCTGCGTGGCGGCGATTTTCGTGTACGAGGGGTCGGGGCATGAGATTATACTTCCGGGGGAGGAGGAGGAGGAGGAGTAGTGCCTCGGTTCTCGAGTGTTTGGTCTTTATCTTTTCGCTGGTTGATATTCCCTGTATATAATTACATGCGTCCCGTGTCCAGGATGATAGTGTTTTGGATACACTGGCTGCCGCATGCTTGCATATTTTGTTTGTTTATGAGCGTTCGCTACTGATACCTGTTACATTATGCTTGTTGCATGCGTGGATGACGGAAAAGGGGACGAGAGGGAAGGATAGATGACGAATACAATAGATTCAGTCAAACACGAAGAGGTATAATAATCAAGCGTAAGAAGTATGCACACGAACGTAACCATCACCACCACCACCACCACCGGTCCCAGAGACAATAGCAAAACTACCGCCTCAACGCAGCAAACCGCCTCGTCAACTCATCCAACTCCGGTATCTCACTCTTCGCTTTCGCCCCCGGCACTCCAGCAGCCTCCCCCACCGTCGTCGTCGAGGGTGGATAATCCGCAGCCCCGGGCACCTTCACGCGAGGATGCAAATTATCCACCCTGGCACCCGGCGGCGCCACACTCACGAAACTCTTCCCCTGCTGCAACCCCCGCGGCGGCGTCGCCTTATTCAGCGCGAGTGTCTCCGAAGCCCGCCGCGCTTCGCTCTCGATCGGCGAGCGTTGTCGGCGTGTCGGCGTCGACGGATCATCCCCGGGGGCATGTTCATCATCACCATCATGCCCCGGCAGATCATCCCCAGAACCATCCAACCCGGAGATCGTAGGCGCATCCCCCTCAACAAGATGGGCACCCCAAGAAACCCCATACGCCCGCGCAATCTCCCTAAGATAACAATCCACCAGCTCGGCCGACGGCGCGCGCACCCGCAGCACCTTCACCACGCGGGCCGGCACGCGCACCCCCGGCACGGCGTCCTCCTGCGCCAGCGCCATGAACTCCTTGCCCCACCGTTCCGCCAGCAGATTGCGGAGGATGGTGAGCTCGCGCACGTCGTGCGGGAACCGCGGGTACGCGTAGAAGATCACCGCGGCGGCTTCGTCGAGGGCGGGGTCGATGTACTCTTCACTTGTGGGGTCTTCGGTGGTGGTGCTTGGCTCGGTAGCTGGATCGGTGGTGCTTGTGCTGGAGGGGTTGGGGTTGGGTGGGTGTTTTGCACCACCGAGGCCGAAGAACGAGAACCGCCCCCCGCCTCCTCCACTCCCACTCCCGCTAGCAGTATCCCCGGCACCAGCAGCACCACCAGCAGCACTATGCTTGCCCCCCGCAGCGGAAGCAGCAAGTCTAGCGCGATTCCTCGCTACAGCGCCCTTCTCCCCGAACGCCGCCTGATCGAGCACGTTCGCCCGGGCCAGGAGCAACTCGCAGTACAGCTCGATCATCTCCATGGCCTCGACGGCGATGTCGGTGGCGATCACATTCTCGACGCGGATGCGGGCGCTCGAGTCGCGGCCTTCGGCGAGCAGACTCGAAAGATCGCGGCGCTGGATGACGCTGCTTGCTGTGTCTTTTTTTTGGAGGAGGCGGAGGCGGGGGATGAGGAGGTGAAGGGTGCTGGTTAGTTTCGTCTGGAAGGTGGATTAGTATGGGTTGGTGGGATCTAGGGCTTGGTTTGGGATTGGGTGTGGTGTTGGTGTTGGGTGCGGGGTTTCAGGTGCGGGGGTTGTGTTTGGGAGGGGTTGGGTTTGAGGTGGTGATTGAAGCTCATGGTCAAGAAAATGGCAGACGTACCGTTTGTGGGGAGGGAGGCATTTTGAGAGACTTCCAGACTTCCAGTTCTGTGGTGTGTACACGACAAGGAGAGTGCGATGGAAGACGGAGAAGCGGAGGAGCCTGGAGATACGGAGACGGAGGTGGATGACGCTATCGTCCTCCCTCCCGCTTGGCATTTCCCGAGGCCGGTTGTTTTGGTTGTCTTGGTTGCTTTCGGTTGCGATACTCATCTCTCCCTTCCTTCACTTTCATCCTGACTACCTACAACACATTCTACTCTTACTTACGTCGTACCCACGAGCAATTGCCAACCACTCTCGTCGAAGATTAATATTAACAATATTAACATAGAACTCATCAATCAATAAAATACAAGAACATCGTATCATAAGGGTATACAATAATATAAGGTAAAATGTTCCTGTCGAAGTGAAGTGAAGAAGAAACAGAAATTAATGTAGTAAATGAAGGTCAGACTTGCAGTCTAAACCATCAGCACGGCTCCAATCACCGCCAACACCAACCCCAGCGTCGACATCGTCTTGCTGCTGGCGCCTCCTTGAGCCGCCGCCATGACGGTCGGCGTCGCAGCCGTTTCGCTGGCACTCTCAGCAACCGCCTCCATCTGCACGTGGCCGGTTTCAACGAAAGCGTGCGGCGCGTACGTGTAGCTGGCGGATGCGACCGCGGCGGACGATGGGCTCACTTTGACGCTCGATGAGGGGCCTTGAATGGGAATCCGCGTGGGGTTGAAGATGATAGTGGTGGAGAAGATGGTGGTGGTTCTGCTGTCTGCGATGGAGGTGCTAGAAGCGGTACTGAAACTGGTGCTGGAAACAATGGATGAGCTGGTGGTGCTGGTGCTGGTAGGAGTAGCCGAGGTGCTGGTGCTGGTGCTGGTACTGCTGGTGGTGCTGGTGCTGGTGCGGGTGCTGGTCGAGGTACTCGAAGTGCTGGTGCTCTTGATGGTTGAACTGCTGCTGGCCACAACACTGCTGACAGTGCTGCTGCCCCCAGACGAGCCCGCCTTGTCAAACACAACAATGTTCGCCGATTCGCCCTTAGGAACAGTGACCACGCAGAACGCGGCCCCTCCGGCGCCGATCGAGCTGGAGCCCGTCATCTCGTTGACTCCGTTCACATCCGGATCGATCTTGCAGGGAAGTCCATTGCAGCTGTCGCCCTCGCACTCGATCTCCACGCCGAAGTCGGGCACCACGTCGCGGAAGGGCGTCGTCAACTCCAGGTAGATCGGGTTCCATCCGATCTTCACGTACGTGTTGCCCGAGGCGTCGGTGTTGGCCCCGGCAACAAAAGGCGACCAATTGCCGATGGGGTTCGACGAATCGCCCCAGACACAGGCTGTGTCGGTGCTATAACCGGGTGGGTTGATGTAAAAGCTACTCCCGTCAGTTCATGCATCATCTTCGCTCAGACGGAGACTTACTGCGCCGCAGTCTCGAGCCAGTACTCGACATCCGGCACGGCGAGGGTCTCCAGCTCCTGCACCAAGGTGGGGATGAGCATGGCCTCGTTACCCGGCAAGACGGTCTGACAGAACGAAACATGGCTGGAGCACTTGTTCTTCGCGTTCACGGCTCCGGTGCCGTCCTGGCAGTACGGCTTCTTCGGGAAGGGCTTCTGGATGTTGCCGTCCTCATCGCAGTACAGACCGCCGTTCTATCGTAGATCGTGATCAGTTGGGTGGTCCGTGCCACGGAGCTGGCGGGGACACCTACCATCGACAGCGGGTAAGTGTACGAGGTGGCCTCGGGGTCCCATTGCATGGAGACCTGCCCTGGCGGACAGGCGTACGGGCAGTATCCGCCGGGCGTACACTCCTGGTCTGGACTCATAGCCCAGCCTCCGTTCAGCTCGCCCGGGGTGACGGCCACCAGGCCGGCGTCCGAGGGAAACTGACAGCTGCCGGTCTGCTTGGTCGCCTGGACGGCTCTTTCGACGGCCGCGTGGTGTCCATGACGGTGGGCATGACTGGCGGCCTCGACCCCGGCAATGAGAAGCAATGCGGTTGCGCTAATGGACTTCATGGCGTTCTACGGTGTTTGAAAAGGTGGTAAAGGACTGGATATTGTGACGTGACTCAGGGGGGGGGAGATAGGTATGATTGCCGACTGGCGAGGGATCAGAAATCCTGATCCCGAAACGAAAGACTATGGTCAGTGGCGTGGAGTTTGAAGAAACGAGTGACTGAGGGATGAAACACCTGGCGAAGAGAAGAAAGAAGAAAGAGGAGGGAAAGAAGAGGAAGAAGAGGAAGATGGCCGGGGGGGGGGGCGAGGATGGAGACGTCTTAGACTAGGCAGAAGAACGAGCCCGGCGGGTCCAAGCTGCAAGCGCGGATCAACCATGGCAGGCACAGGCGATGAAGACAGTGCAGACAGTGCAGGCAAGGAAGGACTCGAGTCGGGGGAAAGCTGGAGGAGTGGAGCGGGCTCGAGGCTGGAAGGCTCAATTGGGATGCTGCATAGTCCATGATGCTGGAGGACATTACCCAAAACGGCAAATCTCCTGGTCATATCTCGGTTCGCCAAGCCGCCAGCGACAGGGTTGGTGTTTGTCTTTTTCTCGACTGAGTAAAGCGTCAGGGGGTCCATCCAATGACCACCACCAGCGCAACTTTTGGACTCTCCGGCAGTTCATGGCTTTATGGCTTTATGGTTGGCTTCTCCACTCGCCTTGTGGAGATTGGCCAGCACCCCCAGCAGGGTTCACTGCACTCTCCTTTCCATGTCGTATTCGTTTGTTCTGGCCGGTTGACTTTATCGGATATTGGCTATGGGATACTGGATATTGGATATCGAGTGATTGCTGCGCTGCCAGGGGAGTGAGTTTATGAGAATGAGGTAAAAGTTTACTTTCTGTCATCCTCTTTCCCATAACTACCTACTACCTACTACCTACTACCTACCGACAACCCCGCCCCCTTATCCTGCCTGCCCTCTCTACTCAGTATTCACTACCACCACCTAGATAACGATCATCAATCTAGACTCGATCAACACCTGACTCTGACTCTGACTTCGACAATCATGGATAAAACCTTATTCCTCCCGTCTCTACTTTGGCTAGCATGGCTGCAACTTAACCCGACTGGAAAAGGGGGACCAATGGCCAGCCCGTCACACAGTGGGTGGCCACCCGCTAGTTCGGACGGGTCAAGCAATAGTGCGTCTGTGCCCGCCCAGCCAGCCCATTGCCCAGCTTGGCTGCAATTAACCACCGCTTGCCGCCCACTGGGCATTCTCTTCTTGCGAGCCCGCACCCTTGAGCTTGGAGCTTGGAGATTGGAGCTTGGAGCTCGGGGCTCGGAGCCCGCCCGCCCCCCTCCGCGCCATGCACCCCGGTTTTACCGCGGAGCGTCATTATTGCTTTCATAATGGGATTCCTACGTCGTAGACGAACTACAAATTGATGCATTGATTGGCGCTTAAGTTCGAGAAACCGCGCTGGATAAATTGATTAGATGGCGAAACCTGGGAAAACGCCATGCCATTTGGAAAAATCTGTCCCCCGATGCGCCGTTGATGCTGAACTACGCTACACTGTAATCGACCCAACCTAATGTCTATCGAGTCATACGTCCGCAGACTAGACTGCCTGGGCTACCGCCGCCGAGGCACCGCCATCGGCTCGAACCCATCACTGTCGTCGTCGATTTCCTCGCTGGCCACGCGTGCGCCCCTCGTCCGCGTGCTTGGGGGAGCGCTGCTCTGAGAGCCCACGAAATTCAGCGTCGTCTGGGTTTGCTGACGGGTTCTCGTCTGGCGCGTGCTCGTCCCCCCCGTGGCTCGGGTTGAGGCTGCAGGCGGAGCGGCTGCGCGACGTTGGCTGGTGGTCGTAGTCTTTGTAGAGGTGGCAGGTGGAGGTGCCGCTGCTGTTGCTGCTGCTGCCCGCCGTGTCCGAGTTGCAGGTTGTTTGACAAAGAGAGCCTGGGAGTCATCGTCATCGTCATCTTCTTCGTGGATATCTGGCAGGCCGGATACCGCATCATCGTCGTCGTCGTCGTCGTCATCGTCGAGCATAATCACATCTTCCTCTTCGTCGTCCTCATCCTCCGACACCGCGCGACGACGGCGGCCTTTACCTGCAGTTGTCTTTGACGGTGTAGCGGCGGCCTTTTTCGTGGCCGTGGCTGTAGTTCTTGCGGTGGTGGTGGTCGTGGTGGCTTTCCGTGTACTCGTTCCCGTCGCTGCGGCCCTCCCGCCGCGTCCTCGCCCCCTGCCTCGCGTGGTCGAGGATGCGCGGGTTGTCGTAGCAGCTGCAGACCCAGTACCGTCCTCCGCGGCGACATCCTCGTTCGGATCCCCGCCCTCATTGTCCGAGTGGATCAGCGCGCCCGGCTGATCCTCCCACGAGCCATCGAACTCGCTGTCCCAGCTATCGGGCTTGGGCTTGTAGCGCCGCTTGCCGCCGCGGGCGTGGCGGCTGCGCTTGTTGACCCCGCGGGTGAACATATCCTCCATCTGCGTGCGATACCGCTCCATGGCCTTGTGCAACGAGCTCTGCGCCAGCTCCTCCGCCGCGTCGATCTCGTCGGTGTCGCGGTCCAGCGCCATGAGATGCTTGATCTGGCTCTCCAGGGACTCGTTGACAAACATCTCCAGCGCGTGCTTGTCATCTTTGTCGATGAATTGCGCCACCGCGTCCCCGAAGGAGTTCTGCGGCAGGATGGTCAACGACTGCGTGGACAGAAAATCACGGACCAGCTGCTCGACTTTGACGGTGTCGAGGGTCGCCAGGTGCGAGATGGCCGCCTCGTCGACTTCCGCTGTGCTGCCGTCCTTCCGCCGGCTGGTGCCGCCGGCCTGGTTCTTCTTCTTGCGGTGGAATTGCACCACATCGTTGACGTTGGCGACGCGGCCGACGAAGCGGTTCGAGAACCGCTGCGGGTTCTCGCAGTCGTAGCTGCCGCCCTCCGGGGTGGAGATCTCCACGCGCAAGCGCACCAGCGGTAAGGGGATCTCGCGGGGTTGCTCGTCGTCCTCGTCATCGGCGGTCGGCGGCGCCTCGTCCTGCATCTCGAGCCACTCTTCCTTGGCTTCTTCGATGAGCTCCTCGACGATGCCCATCAGGAACCGTGTGAGTTCGGTGCGGTTGTTCTCCTTGCGCGCGAGCTTCTGCGCCCCCTTCTCTTCCGACAGCACGATCTCGCGCATGGCGAAGGGCCGCACGGTCCGGAGGCGGATGGGCTCGCTCTTGAACTCGCGGCCCGTGATGCTCACGATGGAGACGTGTTTGGCGACGGCTTCGCCGGGGCACAGCGAGGTGGCGACGGACGAGCCCGGCTGCATAACGTGGAAGTAGGTTTCGGGGTTCCGGCGCGGGTTGATCAGACACTCGTGCTCGTGGCCCCAGATGACCAGATCCAAGAATTCCGGCAGGAAGTTTTCTGGGAGGTAGCCCGTTTCCGTGTAGGCGTGGTGGTTCTGGTGCACGCAGATCAGGTTGAACCAGTCCTCCTTCTGGATGGAGGGCTGGTAGAACTTCACCTTGCCGTCGCGGAAGGTGCGGAACAGCCGCTCGTCGCGCACGTTGCTGATCCCGTACAGCGCGAGCTTGGTTCGCCCCTTCTGCAGCAGCACCGGCTTGACCTGGATGTTATCGGATTCGGGCGTGCGGCCGTAGTAGTTGATTAGTCCAGAAACTTGAAGGATGTCCAGCGCCGCCAGGTGGCCCTCGCCCGACGGGTCGTCGTGGTTGCCGTGGATGGAGAAGATGGGGATGGCGACGTTGATGTCCAGGTCCTCGTAGTTGACGTGGTTGAAGGCCCCCTGGAAGTTCTCGCTCGCGTCGCTGAGCATCTCCAGCTCGCACGGCTTGTCGCCCAGGCAGTTCATGCGGATCGACCGCATTACTTGGTACATGGACTTCCGGGACGGCTTGTTCTCGTGGAAGAGATCCCCCGCTAGCAGCACCATGTCCACGTCGTGCTCCTTGGCCAGGCACATCACCTCGTGGAAGCTCTTCCAGCTGTCGTCGCCCCGGATGGGGTCCCGCTCGTTGTAGCCCACATGGTTGTCGGTGGCCACGAGGATGCGGATGGTTTCCGCGCCTGGTCGGCGTTTAGTCGAGGGACTTCCCAAGGTGGATGCAGTGACTTACCGCCAAGATTTGGCATCGTGGGTCTATCTTTATGGTGGAATAAGATAATGAAGTTGGGAAGTTCTGATGACCAAGAAGAGATGTAGACGCTAGAATGAACTCAATTATATGACTTTCATGTATCGCCTGGCTGCCTGGAATGGGCCAGTGCTGCCTACGCTGCCGGCTGGAAGGATAAGATGGGATTTCTCCTGCATAGAGCGTTGAAGACCCTTCGTTGCAGTTTGGACACAGTACCAGTACGTAGTTCGATTATTGGGCTGACAATGAAATAATCAATTAATTCCCTTTTCGAGAAAGTCGCGCCTCGCCGCGTGCTCACGTGACGGGAATCATGGGACGCGGGCGAGACCGGCTCGAGTCCGTCCGATCCCCTCCTTTCGTCACTTCCTATCTTTCTTTCCTTCCTACTCTTCTCTCTCCCCTCCCCTCTCCTCTCCTCTCCTCTCTCTCACCCTTCCCTCCTCCACTCTACAGTTTGTCTACTTGCTGTCCATACGCTCTGCCCATCCTGCCTGTCCGCGCGCTTTCCCTCCCTCTAATTTCCGCCCATCTTACCCTTTCGACTGACCCAGACTGTCTCCCTGGTTCAGTCGCCTCCGTTGTGCCACCTACCCCGCGAAACTCTTTTATGCAATCAGAGCCTTCCACAGTCTTCGACCGCTCGCCTCCGGTTAAACCCTTCCCGGAAGAACCTCTCGATCCTACCCAGCATGGACATGATTCGCATGGTGAGCAACGAGTCTCTGGGTTTCGCGATGGCGAGCCTGGAGACTGCATTCTCAGCCGTGACTCATCCGGCACAGAGCCACCCTTAAACGGGCGCTCTGCGACTCCACCACCCCTCCCGTCGTCTAATGACCCTGTCAGCCAGTACGAGCTTGCTGCGGCGGCGCATTTTTCCAAGAGCCCCGCCGACCGGGGCCTCAAGGTCACGCCCTCAACATCTACGTACTCGGGCTTGTCGCTGGAATCTTTCCCCAATGGTATGCTTGCACCTCGCCTGTTGTCCAAAGTAGGGATTAGCAGACTGACTTGCTGTGCTGGATAGAGGTACTCACGCACATTCTGTCGCATTTGCCGCCTCCGTCGTTGTCGTCGATTGCGCTGGTATCTCGCCGGCTTCACACTTTGGTCACCACGCCCCACGCGTGGCGAATTGCATTTTCCCGGTACTTTCCCGGCCCGTACACGGCAGAGGATGGGGTATGGCTGTCTGTTGGTGAAAACCTGGACCGTGTGACTTCTGACAAGCGCTACTTCTCGCGGTTGACTGCTCTGGCTTCGTGGCGGAGCGAGTACATCCTCCGCACGCGTCTGCTGCGGTCGCTCTCCCGGGGCAAGCCGGGCCAGTTCGAGCCGCCGAAGAGATCCGGCACCGTCCGCACTGCGAATGTCCGCAATGGCAGCGCTGTGGTCACTTATACCTCCCAGCTTCTGTACCCTGTCAGCCATCTGCACGGCTCTTTTGGGTCGGAGGCCACCAAGAAAGAACCGGTTTTCATTCATGGGGCCTCGGAGCAAGGCATCTCCTCCGCCAGCGACCCGTCTGCGGTCAAGGTCGGGACCTGGGGCCTTTCCGATCACCAAATGTTCCGGCATTTTGCCGATCTATTCCCTGGTGATGCCGAGTATGGGCTCGGGTCCGGAGACCTCGCTGGCATGCCGAATCGCATGGATGTCAGTCAGCCGTATGGTATGATATACGGCGAGGCTTGTCCGCAGGGCCGGGCCTACTTCATCTCCACGACGGAGCAACGCGGTAGATTCTTGGGTTTGTCGGACCTGGGATCTCAGCCTCATTTGGGTATTCCCGCACTCAACCACATCACTAGCGGTACTACTTCTGTGTGGATCGCCAAGTCCTCCAATATGCTCAAGATGACCGATGGTTTGATTGCGATGCTTTCAGGTTCATCCACTGGTATCCTGTCAGCGTACGCACTTGGCCCTCATCCTACCTATGAGAAACGGTACGAAAGAGGCCAGGTGACCGCGAGATGGGTACTATGTCCAGGTGTTCCCATCGTCGCGATTGCTGTCGATGAGAGTTTCTCACCAAGACGCTACGCGCGTCGTCGCATCTGGGCAGCTGTCCTCAATGCACTGGGCGAAGTCTTCTACCTGTCTGACATCCCACGACAGCCGGATGTGGCTTCCACGAAGCTGACTGCTGAGGAGTACGATCAGCTCGCGTGGAAGACTGGTAGAAGTGCCCGGTGGGAGTTGGTAGAACTGACTCGGCGAACCGCTCGGCCGGACCCGTTTAGTCGGGAACCTCTCGATGGCAGCTACAGCCCCAGATCATCGTCTGATGCCATGAAGCTCGACGAGAAGCAGATTATCGCAGAGACTCAAGAAATCGAGCGCTTCCTCTCGTTCAAGCCCAAGCACTTCAGGAAAGTCTGCGAGGGTTGGGATATGAGGCGTGAGCTGATTGTGGATTTTGCCGGAGACGATGGCCAGGGCGCGGGCGAGTCGCTCATAGTGATCTCCTGTGGCATGGGCGAGGATGAAACGGCGGCGATCCGACGTTACACCCGCAAAATCTCCAAGCTTGCCATGCCGCCGTTGAGTCTCGGCCCCCTCGCTGTGGATGGTGCTCCTGCACCGTCCCTCTTCGGAGGGCCCGTGAAGTCACCCATAACACCCTCATTAGCCGGCACGTCCGGTAGTTCTACTCCATCTCGAGCCTCAAGTGGCTTCGGCGAACGAGTTTGTACAGCTGCAAACACCGAATGGTGCATCTCGGATTTCAACTTCAGTGATCGGAAGCCGGTCCAGATCACGACCACCGCTTTGGACCGGTCAACTTATGCCTTGTTGACGGCGGATGAGGATCCGCTGATTGGCATGTCCGGTAGTTCCGCGTTCTCGTCTGCTATGTCGTCTCCATTACCACACCTCAAGCAGGCCTCATCAGACACCGATGTACCGGGTCAACGCGGAAGGTACATGGCTGTGGGAACCACTACGGGGATGGTGTTTGTCTGGGACGTCCGATCTCCGGCCTCGAGAAACCCCGAGATCATCAAGGACATCGGGCCTATCCGCGTCATCCAGACTGAGTCGCCGCAGGTGTCCAGCGTAGCATTGACGTCGCTATACTTGGTGCATGGAGGCAACGATGGTCTCGTTCAGGCCTGGGATCCTCTGGCATCCTCGACCCGGCCTATTCGGACCATCAACTCACGGTTCTCCTCGCGCGCTCGTCGCCGTCTCGTCCAAGCCGAGGCGTCCATGCATGGGATTGGCAACAACTATTACGCTACCGGCGCCATCTGCCTCGACACGGATCCTACTGTGCTGCGTGGCATGGTCGCGCTAGGCACTCATCTGCGCTACTGGTCTTATAGCGCCTCTGCTGCCGACCAGTACAAGTCCAGCAAACGACGACTACGTCGCGGACTACGAGGCAGCAACGGCGCTGCGGATGGTGGCCAGCGTTTCAACAACAGCGGCCGTGGCGCATTGAATGACTACATCCAGGACGAACGGGTGGAAATGGAGCGCCAGAGAATCGCCGATGAGAAGGAACGGGCGCATTTAAGCCAGCGCTTTGGCGTGGATCTCCTGGGGCCCGACGTGAGCGAAGACCAACTGCTCGCATACGCCCAGCTCCTCAGCGAAGAATCCTTCTCCAGTGAGGCGGTCAAGCGGGGTGGTAGCGATATCGCTTTTCCCGGCGCATTTCCCAGCGCCAGCTCCGCCGTCAGCACCTCCCCAAGCGATACCATCGGTCCAAACGACAGCTCCTTCGCGCCGGACGAGCTCTCCTCCGCCTCCTCCCCGTACGAAGACCCTCTGGACGACGACGAGAATCTTGACCCCGAGATCGCGGAGGCCATCCGTCTCAGTCTCCTCGACCAGCCTCCGCTCCCCAAGCCCGATCTCGGCCCGGCTGCGTTTGACCCAACCTCCTATTCCACTTCTCCGTCTCCTCAGCCAGCCTCGACCTCCCCGGTCCTGCCCGAGAGCAGTCGCCAGCAGGAGATCGACGACCTGGAATTCGCGATCCAGCTGAGTCTCGCCGAGGCGGAGAGCCAATCCCAGTCGCAGTCGCAGTCCCAGTCCCAGCGGGAGGAATTCCCCGCCCTCGCCCCGTGGACGGCTAACCCGCCGCCGCCTCCGCCCTCGTCCGGCAGGGATAAAGGCAAGGGGCGCGCCCTTTGATCCAAGTTTTCCGGATCTTTTATAGAAGTAATCCTGTGCTATGTTGCGTGCTGTGTATCTTTCTAAGGTGTTTGTTTCATATTTCTCTGGAATTATGTCTGCAGGGCGGTTTCCCCTTGTGTAGTAGTATTTGTGGTTGTTGTGGAGCTGTATCTACGATGCGCTTTCTGTGCCTTGTTTAAAACTCGCAGGGTTTGGTTTCTAGACGTGCTTTTGGGATTATTGTAACTTGTGATTCATATATTGAATGGATGGATCTACACGTGCATAATAGAAGAGGATTTGCACACAACAGTGGGGGGACTGAATATACTGTGCCTCAACTCTTGACTGAGACTCGCACATAGCAACACTTCACAGTAAGTGCCAGGTCCTTGTCAAACTACCGGTATCATACCTACCTTAACAAACATACACATAGTGATAAAAAGCAGAAGCAACCTAAGAATGCAGCCCGAAAGGGAAAAGTGTGGTATATACAGCAGATGGATTAGACGATATCGATATACTCGTAGCATAAAGCAGGGCAACCAAAGCAGGGCAACCAAGCGACCAAAGACCTCATATTCCCGTGTCTCCCTCCCCATTCATGCCAGGCCCATGGCCCCCGGCCACCGGGGCTTTCAAAGACGGGGGATGTGGAACAAAAACAGACCAGAGTTGTCATACTTTGTACATGAAATTCGTCTCCACGCCCACCGACCAATCCGGGGTCAGGGTGAGGGCCCCTGCGGGAATAAGAACACGTTCGCCGGGAACAAGAGAATCATCGTAGAAATCAATCAAAAGGATGAGCGAGCCGGATGCAATAAGAACATCGGCGCGCTGACGAAAAATATATAATCTAAGATTCTATATAATGTGTTGAGGATGTGTTCACAGCAAGAAAGCGGCGAACAGGGTGACTCCGCTCAGGAGACCGAGGACGGAGGCGGACATCTGAGCGGCGGCGGTGGTGGCACCGCTCTCGTGGGAGCTGGAGGAGCTCGAGCTGCTGGAGGAGCTGGAGGTGCTGGACGAGCTGGACGAGCTGGAGTTGCTGCTAGTCGTGGTGGAGGTCTCGTTGTTGGGGACGTTGGACGCGTCGTCGGCCAGGACGGTGTACTTGATGCTCGAGAGCTTGCCGCCGCTGGAAGAGTAGACGGTCTGGGGAATCGCGGTCGACGAGACGGTGACGAGCTTGCCGACGGTGGCGTTGGTGAAGCCGTTGCTAATCCAGTCGTCGACCTTGGTGGGGCGGCTGGGCAGGTCCCAGGAGTTGAGGAAGGTGCTGGTGCTGATCAGCGCCGAGTCGCAGGTAACGGCCTCCTGGGAGGTCTGGGTGGCGTTGGAGGACTCGATGCTGCTCATGTCCAGCTTGCCGTACTGGGTCTTCAGGTTGTCGTAGTCGGTCAGCAGGGAGATGGTGTCGCTGCTGTTGACGGCGACGAGACCGTAGTTGTTCGCTTCCTGCGTCCACTCGTAGACCAGACCGCCCGAGAAGACGGCGGACATCTCCTTGCCGTAGAGAGTCGCGACCTCGGAGAACGTGCGGGGCGTCACCAGGTTGCAGCCGTACTCGGAGAAGAAGACGGGCAGCGAAGAGTTGGAGAAATCCTCGACGAGCACGTCGTAGCCACTCTCCGTGTAAGTGGAGTCTCCGCACCAGGAGTAGGAGTTGAGACCGAACAGGTCGGCCTGGGAGCTGGTGGAGTTCTTGAGGTCGCAAGACAGGTAGTTGAGGGTGTCAACGAGGACGGGGCGCACGTCCGCAGCAGAGTAACCGACGGGGATGGTCCGGTTGACGTTCTTGGCGATGTAGTCCTTCATGTCGCGGGTGACAGCCTGGAAAAGCGTCGGATATTAGCTATGTTGACTGTTGGCATGAGCACAAGGCGAATAACGTACCCGAATGTAGGCCGGAGCCTCGTAGACACTGTCCTCGTTGATGACCTCGTTGCCCGCAAAGAAGGCAAGGGTGTTGGGGAAGTTCTTAAAGGCCTCGATGACACCGAAGACTTGCTCAAAGTACACGGCATTGTAGGTGCCAGATGGGTCGGTACGATCAAGAGAGCCGCCGGACAGCGGGGAGTTGACATCCAAGATCATGTAAATACCGGCACCGTTGAAGATGGAAGCACACTTGCTGTGATCGATGGTGGGCGACAAGTTGTAAACACGGATAGTGTTGACACCAAGGCTCTGCATCAGAGCGGCATCACGAAGACAGGCGTCGGGCTGGCTGAGAGGGTCCTCGGTCGTGCTGAAGCCAGAGGAACCACCAGGCTGGTAGCTGTGTACGGGGACATCGACAATCAGTGATTCTGTTTCTGTGGTAATGGCATGACCAGGGCGAACCGGACGGCGGGGGCTTGCTTACTCGACACCCAGGATCTGGAAGCGATCACCAGTCTTGCTGTTGACAAAATCGGTACCTTTGACAACAAGGGGAGTGACAGCGTTGGCGGTGGTAGCCAACGCGCACGCAGTGGCGAGCAGACGAGCGTAAGTCTAGGTAGGGTTAACTGTTGATCTTGGCTGGGATGATCATGATGATCACGATCATGAGGAAGTATAGGATGGTTTGTTGCCTGAAAAGGGGGGCACCCACGGGAACCATCTTTTCTTTTTCTTTTTGTTATCTCTCTTCCTTCCTTTTCTATAGAAGATGATGATGATGATAATATTAAATATGCGCAAATTGCAACAGCAACAACACAATTCTAGGTCGATGTCTAGCACCGAAAATGCAGCGAGCGATAATCTCAGAACGAGTGAACGAAGGACTTAACCAACGGAAAAGAAACGAATGACGAAGAAGGGGAAGGAAGAGGGAAGCAGCGAAGGGGATTCAGGCTAACGCTTGGAGAATCGGCTTAGGAGGGGAAAAAAAGCAGGGAAAGCGAGCATGATTAAGTACAACCGACCTTCCAAGGTCAGGGAAGGGAAGGGGGGGCCGGGCAGCCAGACATGACCCCATCCCTGGCCATTCTCTCCTCCACTAATAAGTACTGTTAACCAGTGGTTTCCGGTGGTTTAATCACGGTAAATCCATCGCGCAAATTGGCAGTGGACCTGGTCGACCTCGCGTTCCACCCTCATTGGCCTAACCGGCACTGGGGCGAGACAAGCGGCACCGACGATCGACCCTGGCACGAGCTGCGAATTATTGCGCTGCTTATCCATTACGCACTTCGAGGTCCGTGATTCATGAAACAAAGGATCATCGGCGGAGGGAGCGGCCCCCCCGTCATTCATTCATTCTTGCATTCATGCAACGGTCGCAGATAACTTAGACCTTTCATCCCTGAGTATACTTATACTTTTAATCATCTTTTATATCAACTATCACCCGTTTTCTTCCCGATGACCCCGTCTCACAGCAATAAAGAGAACCACTGCTCGCTTCTAAGAATACACGCCCCAGCAGAGAACAAATAGCCGGAGCAAGGAAATCACGGAAAAAGCAGAAAAAATCATCAGCATCAACCCACACAAGTCATGATGGCGCCGAGCATTACCAAGAGATGTCCGTCTCATCGACACTCGAGACCCAATGCAAATATACAGGGGGAAAGGATAAAAGGAATAAAAAAATAACGCAAGCAGAACACATGAACGACCTAGGAAATTACACGAGTAGCGGAGAGGGAAAGCGGGATCAAAAAGGATGTTCAAACAGATCCGTCAAGGAGGGTTTGCAGTCAGACCATGGCCCTGCATAGACTGGAGGTCACCACAGTAGCGGCGCCCGTTCCAGATCAGAGGTTCAGGTTCGAGGCAGAATGCGGACGGAGGGAGAAGGAAAGAGTTAAGGACGAAGAGAATCGATCACGGCGGACGAATTTACTCCACACCGTGGCTCTCCGGGCCGGAGCTCTCGGCCGTGAAGGAGCCGAGCTGGAGGCCGGCATCCATGGCGACCATCTCAGCCAGGATCTCCAGGACCTCCTTGGGAACCGTCTTGTCGTAGATGGAGATGAGGTCCTTAGGCTGGGGGTAGACCTTCAAGGCCTTGTAGAAGCACAAAGCGGCCTCAACGGGTTCTGCTCCAAGGTTGGTATCTATATCGCCGGAACATTGCGGAGCAAGGGCGCGGAGGTCGAATCACCGCGGAAGACACATACCTTCAGCACAGAGGGACTCGCCGCGAGCGACCTGACCCATGAAGTAGGCCTCCTTCTCCTCCAAGTCCGTAGGGAAGCCCTCGTCCTTGGCTTGCTGCACGGCGGCCTTGATGGACTCGCGCTGCATGGCGCCCTGGGCCTCGGCTTCCTCCTTCTCAACGCGGGCCATGCGGCGGTTGTTGCGCTTCAAAGCGCGACGGAACTCGGGGTCGGTCTGGCGCTTGTGATCGAAGTAGACAGCGTAGGCTAAACAGGTACGGAGAGCGAGTTAGCAACACGCACATCACGCAGGCCATAAATAGCACGGCGTAACTGAGCCTTACCCAAAAGACCGGTAATGATCGTGCCGGCGGTGGCGGCCACCAAAGTGGAGGTTCTCATGATGTAGGTGGGGATGAAAGAGACGGTGATGACCGGGGAGAGACAGCGAAAATGAAAACAGCAGCGGGAGATGGAGATGTAGCGAGTCGACTCGAGGGGAGAGAGTTGAAGATGACGACGAGATGCGAATGGCTCAATTGGGGAATGATTTTGTCAGGATCATCATTTCTCCGCCTCGGACTTACCCTCCCGCTTCGGCTTTCGTGCCTGGAGTTGATCATCATCATCATCGGCCGTCGTCGTCGTCGTCTCCTTCCCCTCTATTATTCTTCCCTCTCTCACACGACCCCCGGTCGATTGCAGGTTCAATCTTCTCCTCCTCCCCCTTTTCCCCCCCTCTCACCCTCCCTTCCTGCTACGTCACCATGGAAAGCCGTGGTTTGACCCTTCGCAGCAAATCTCGCCGCCCTCGACCCCAGATTAGTGCTCCAAAACCCATCTCCGGCCCTCTTCCGCCTAACACCACCAGCCCTAGTCCCAGCACTTCGACCAGCGCTTCCACTGTCAGTAAGCCCGCCGTCCCCGTGCATGGGACCACCGCCAACTCTGCCAACAAAGATGCGACCTCCGATCTCGTCAAGCGACGGTACTCGACCCGATTCAACCAAGTTCCTGACTTTGATGGTGTGCCGCCAGTGCCCGGCCTACCTCCGCTCCCGGCCACGTATGGAGGATTGAGCCCGCCCGAGACGAGTCGCCGACCCTCCCCCGAATCGTCGGGTCCGCCAAAGGTGGATTTGGATGCGCTGCGGGATCCCAGTTTGCCCGTCGATAAATGTGAGTTGGCGTGGTTTTATTTCCAACCCAGCCGGCTTCTTGGACGCTGACTTTGGATCTAGATGTGGCCAACCTGCTTGCGAACGCGTCGGAGGAAGAGATTGAGGAATACCAGCGCAGTCTACGAAAAGTCAAGAACCGAACATCCACCGACCTCCAGCAGAATGTATACCAGAACCGAACCCAATTCATCAAGATCAGTAAAGAAGCGGAAAAGCTCAAAGGGGAAATGCGCACCCTGCGCACCCTGATGGCGGAGCTGACTACCACACTCGGTCAAACCACAGTCGGCAGCACACCGAATCCCATGTCGCCCATGCCCGATGAACGGCTGTCCAAGCGTCACGCCAACCGCAGCTCGGTCGCAAATCTTGAGAGCATGTGGAACGTGCAGCTGCAGACGTTGTGGAAGACCGTCGAAGGATCGCAAAAGTTCTTGCCGGTGGTGCCGGGCCGGCACATTGTGATGGAGAGCGGACACTGGGTCGAACTGGATTCGGCAACGTGGAAGCCGCGGCGCCCGGTGCACATTGTGCTGCTGAACGATCACCTGCTGGTGGCGGCCAAGAAACGCAAGCGCGTGGATCAGAGTAGCCATCGTGGTCCCGTGCCTACGAAGTTGGTGGCAGAGGAATGTTGGCCCCTTCAGGATGTGGATATGATCGATCTCGGGGCCAATCTCGGCGCGGGGGTTGCGCGCGAGGATGCTGAAGACCGGGGCATCACGAACGCCATCAACGTGCGTGTCGGAGGCAAACCTTTCACCTACCGGCATGACAAGCGGGACAGCTCAGCTAAGAGCGATCTACTGGCCACCTTTCGAAAGACGGTCGAGGATCTCCGACGCAACCTCCGGTCGGAAACCGAGGCCGCCGGCAAAGCTGTCCCTGAGGTAATAGGCTATCGCCACGCCTCGTACTCTCCCCAGCCGGATCGGCCGGTTAGTCTGGACGGTGGGCGAGACAAGCCTGAGGTGCGCATTGATGTAGACGGCAAGCAACAGAACCTGCGGTGGGTGGAGGGCCAGATCGACGAGCTAGACATTGATATCGCTCTGCAGCGGTTCGAGGATGCTGTGGGCCACATCGAGCGGTTGCGCAAACTTGCCCGAGGATTAAAGGGCAATGCGGTCGCGCAGGACGTGATCACAACCAAGGTGGATGAGCGTGCGGCCGCCCTGGCCGAGGTATTGCTGCGTGCGCTGGTGGACACTCCCTCCTTCCCTCAAGCGACCAAGACCAAGTCCACGTGGCTGATGCGCTTGGGCTTCGAGGACCAAGCTAGGGAGGCTTATCTTAAGGCGCGAACTGATGTCATATCCAAGCGGATCAGGTGGGTTTCTTTCTGCTCCCATCGTAATGAGCTGAACTGACGTGCTACAGAGCCTGTGTCTTCGAGGGCGACCTCCCGATGTATATCTTCCAGATTTCCTACGTCTACTTCACCTTGATCAAAAACACCATCAGCATTTATCAGCAATGCTTCCCGCCGGCCATGTCTAGTGCCAGCATCCGCTGGGCCAAGCATCACCTCGATGGCTTCAATGCGCTCCTCACGCGGCAGCTGAGCAGTGTGCAGCGGGGGACCACCGTGTACCAGAAATGTCTTGATATCGTGCACGAACATGCCAACCTGCTGACCGAGGTTGGAGTCGACTTTACCGACCTGGTCGCCAAGGGGCTGGAGGTGGAGGATTCAGCCGAACGGCCGCAGATGACGCGCTCGGAGTCGTTGATCTCAGGATTGGCTGAAGCTGCGGCGGCCGCGTCGCCAGTCATTTGAAAACTGGGGATGTTTGATCTGTAGCGTTTTTGTTACTCTGCGAACGCTTGTCTATATTATTATTTTTACTACCCAGCCTCGGGATGCTCGTTATGTACAATTCAGCTCTGTGCAAGCTTGTTGCTTTGAAATGTAACTTTAGATGCATTTTATTATTATATGTCAGCCCAGATCTGCTTCATCCCTTAGTTTATACCTGACACTATGCGCTCTACATCTTACTGAATGACCACGTTGAGTGGCGGGATTGTCTTCACCCGGGCCGACTTCGGCCAGGGGAATAAGCCCGAGACTGGGAAGTGGACGGTCTTGCTCTTATCGGAGTGGGGACTGCGTCCTCAGGCACTGATCTGCCGTCACTGTCAGCCATATATACCCAGTCCTGTGCTATCTATTCAATTCAAGGTCACAAAACACAGTTCGGGTCAAGAATCGACATGGTATGAGCTGAAAAGCTACCGATCAGCCACCGTAGTGAATCTCAGCAATATGCATGCGACACTTTTTTCTCTCTATAAGAAGTGCAGTACGTAAGAGGAAAACACGCCCGGCTGCCGCCCGAAGCCGAGTAGGCCATCGGCGTCCAGAAGTAGTGCCGAGCAAGGGATGCAACCCCCCGAAGCGGCATGCAGTTGGCCGATCCATAACGAGCAATGGAGGAAACAAGCGGGGAAACAGTGGCTGCGTCGCTGATTCTTGTACGTTTTTTTCTTTTTGCTGTCTTTCTTTCTCTTCCATACACACGCGCGCGCTTGTTTGGATTCTAGACACTCTCTCTTCTTCTGTTCTCACTCCCCTTCGTTGTCCGTTGCCAAGATGGGTCTCACCGCAGAAGTAGTACAGGACCAGGCATCCTCATCGCAGTCGAGGTAAGATACAGACACATAATTCCCTCCACGGGCAACGCACCTATCCGGCTCACATCCCTTTAAAACAAAAAGCTCCTCCACATTGGCAGCGCTGCCTGAGCTGCCCCTCTTCTGCGCGGCCAAGGAGCATGCGCAGACTCGTCCCGACCACATCGCCGTCGACGATGCCACCAAGGGCCAACAGTTCACCTACCGCCAGCTGCTGGCCGATACGGCCGCATTGAAGCAGCGTCTGCTGGAGACCCTCACGCTCACGGAGACCGGGGATATGGCGGAGCGTCGGATCGCGTTCCTGGTGCCTAATGGCTATGATTACGTTGTGACACAATGGGCCGTCTGGGCGGCGGGGGGTGTGTGCGTGCCACTTTGTAGGTTCTTGTCCGGGGTATATGAACTAGACTTGTGGGTTGGGACTGCTAACCATTTTTGCGAAAAGGTACCTCCCACCCCGTGAAAGAGCTCCTGTACACGATCGGGGACTCGGACCCCTCTTTGATCATTCTGCATCCCACCTTTGCCGGAACCCAAGACGCTTTGCTGCAGGGGCTCAGCAGCAGTAGCAGCACGATCCCGTTCATGCACCTCACCCCATTCCAACAGAAACCGGAGCCCGAACTCGCCTCGCTCGCCATGCCCGCCTTCTTCCCTCGGCCGCCCGCACAATGGGCCCTGACACGCCGGGCATTGATGATCTACACCTCCGGCACGACCGCCAACCCGAAGGGGTGCGTGACCACGCACAAGAACATCACGTTCCAGGCGCGCAGCCTGGTGGAGGCGTGGGAGTACACGCCGGCGGACCGGCTCATCCACGTGCTGCCGCTGCACCACGTGCACGGGATCATCAACGGGCTGGCGGCATCGCTGCTGGCGGGCGTGACGGTGGAGATGCACCCCAAGTTCGACCCGGCGACGATCTGGCGGCGGTGGGCCGAGGGCGGGTCGACGATGTTCTTCGCCGTGCCGACCATCTACTCGCGGCTGGTGGACGACTTCGAGGCCCGCCTGCGCGGCACCCCGCAGGAGGCGGCGGCGCGCGCGGGCGCCCAGGCCCTGCGGCTGGTGGTCAGCGGGTCCGCGGCGCTGCCGACGCCCATCAAGAAGAAGTTCGCCGCGTGCACGGGCGGCCAGGTGCTGCTCGAGCGCTACGGCATGACGGAGATCGGCATGGGCATCAGCTGCGGCTTGCCGGTCGAGCAGCGCATCGACGGCAGCGTCGGCTGGCCCCTGCCCGGGGTGCGGGCGCGGCTGACGGAGAAGGAGACCGGGCGGATCATCGAGGGCGTGGACGAGGACGGGATGATCGAGATCAGCGGCGACAATGTGTTCCGCGAGTACTGGCGGCGGCCCGAGGCCACCGCCAAGGAGTTCACGGAGGACGGGTGGTTCAAGACGGGTGATGTGGCGCGCCGGGACGCGCAGGGCGCGTACTACATCCAGGGCCGGGCGTCGGTGGATCTGATCAAATCTGGCGGGTACAAGATCTCGGCGCTGGAGGTGGAGCGGAAGATGCTGGGGCTGGATGCGATTCAAGAAGTGGCCGTCGTGGGGCTGGCCGACGAGGAATGGGGCCAGCGGGTGGCGGCGGTAGTGAAGCAACGAGCCGGGGTGAGCTGTCCTTACTAGCATTGACCTATCCAGAAGTACAGGACCACTGACATCAATACACAGACCGAGCCGCTGGAACTGGGCAGTCTGCGCGCGCAGCTCAAGCAGGAGATGGCGGCGTACAAGGTGCCGACGGTGCTGAAGCTGGTGGATGCGATTGAGCGCAATGCCATGGGCAAGGTGAACAAGAAGACGATAGTGAAGAAGTATTGGCCGGAGTTGGCTGGGTGATTAGATAGACTGAAGATTAGAGTGAAAGCATGTGCGGTTGGCGATGCACAAATAAAGATACCTTGATCATGGATGATATTCTTGTCCGGGTTCCTTCGACAGCCGTCAGCTTGACAGCATCGAGTACAATCTGCATTTAGGATAAACTTGAATGTTGTCTATTGTCATTAGAGCCGCGTGACGCAGCCCGACGATAATCTCTTGTTCATCACAAGCAGCAAACTGCCTGATTTACAAAATAGAGCATTTCACTCAATGACATTTTCTGGGACAGTACACTCAACCAGGGACATCCCATATCCACAAAACGTCTTTGCCTGGTATGCGCATCCTTCCACTCAAGAACAGTACTTGCCCCTCTATGTGTATACGCAAATGCAGTTATACCTGAAGAAGAGGCTATTCATCCTCTCCCTCTTACCCTCCTTACGAGTAGACTACTATTCAAATCAACTTCAAAAGGAAAAACAAACTTCATCCATTTTCATAAACGAACTTCAAATTCCAAAAACAAGGACTCAGTTACAACTTACTGACCCCATCAGAAGCAAAAGAAAGGGAGCCGAGCTAATCAATCCACCCCCATCGCCGCCCTCTCCAAAAGCCTCCCCAAAGCCTCCCCCTCCACTTGCCCATCCTCCCGATCCTCCAACAAACCCAACCCCACCCACTCATTCACTTCCTCCTTCAACACAACCTGCCCCTCGACCCATTCCTCCCACGCCCCGTCCACAAAAAGCTCATACGGCTTCTCCGCTGCCCAGGGAACCGCCAACAACGCAAAGAACCTCAATTCGAGTTCCAGATGCACAAGCATCGCTCCCTCACCATCACTTTCCCCCTCAAACCGCCACAGGCAAATCGGACATGTATCCGGAACACTCGTATGCGGCACTCTATCCGTCGTAGGGGAGTGCGCGGCAGCTCCAGCCCCAGCCCCAGCCCCAGCAGCAATCTTTGTGGTTGATGCAGCATCAAAGAAGGAATCATACTCCTCGCCGATATTCCGGCCCGTCGCGAGGTGTTCCACCCAGCCTTGCACCGTGACAAACCCCTCGGTTTCTTGGGTGCCGCAGGCTGCGGTGAGACAGGTGAGGTGGCGGAGGTCGGAGGTGAGGTGGCTGCGCCAGGAGGATTTGTCTTCGAGTAAGGAGGTGGGGACGGGGGTGAGGCAGTAGGGGCATTGGGAGGTTATTGTTGCTGGGCCTTGGGGAGAGGTGGTGGTGGTGATGGTGGTGGAGGGCGGCGGCTCCGTCCAGTGCCCGTGAATCACGGCGTCAGCGTGCGGCGGAGCGGGGAAGTTCACGCCTCGCTCCTGGAAGGCGTGGAGCTGGGCGACGGTGTACACGTCCGAGGACTGCTGTTGTAGCGCGAGGATGTAGTGTCTTCGTTTGATGTTGAGGCGGATGAGACGGTGGTGGAGCGGGGTGAGGGCTGGTTTGAACTCCCCGCGAGGGGAGTAAAGGGAGTGAGGGGAGTTAGGGTTACCTTGCTGCTGCTGCCGCTGCCGCGCAGCAAACCACGCCTCCAACTGCGCCGCAAACCCCCGGTACTCCTCCGCGTGGAACCGCTTGTCCGCGATCTGCTGCCACAGCGGCAAGGGGACTTTCTCGTCCTCGAGCTCGTCGGTGATGACCGCCCCCAGGTCGTGCAGCCACCACCGCGCGGTGTCGAAGGTCCGCCGGATCTGGTCATGGAGGTGCCAGCGCGCAGTCTCAATGTTCTGGGAAGTTTGAATGGCGTCGAGGACGTCGGCGGTGGGGAGCGGGGTGGAAGTGCTCAGGGATTGTGTGACGGCCGCGGCGGAGGCGTCCAGCGCGGCCAGCTTCCCGCCGAGATCGAGGAGCTGGAGGGCGGCCTGGCGCAGGTGGCTGATGTGCAGGGTGTAGGTTGATGAGTCCTCGCAGGAGTTGCGGGCGACTTCTTCGAAGTGCAAGTAGCCCCGGCGGTCGTAGACCAGCTCCCGGAAGGTCTGGTACAGGTCCTGCGCGGTGGTGGAGTAGTCCATTAGGCCGCTATTCTGCGTTAGCTGGTGGAGGTACTGGCACATCCAGGCGGAGGTGAGGAGCGTACTCATTTTGCTGTTTTTAGGGAGGTTGAGTTAGGTTGCGGTTGCAGTTTGCGGACTGTACGGTAGGTGATGCACGTTGTAGTGTAGTCTGTTGAGTCTTTACGGACAGGTGATGCAGATGAGAATTGATACTATGAAGTTGAAAGACAGGAACTCGATATTTATACCGCAGCGAATTACGTCTATTCTGAGGCTGTACATGCCCAGCAAAGAACATATTCCATTCGGTTCTTGAACAAAGACCCAGGCCCATTGACTCCCCCCAAGCCCTTATTCTATACAAACTCAACAAAAGGTTCAAGGTGATTTCCTTCTGATAACAACTAACAATAACCTGAAAGCATATCCCAGCAGATCGGAGAAGTCCTTACCCGTGATGATGGCATGTTAGCTGATTGATGCAGCAGCAGCAGCAGTATACTAGGTACCCACCTTCACTCCCCACCAACATGACCACACCAGCCACAAAAACCAACCACAACAGCCAACGTGCACCAAGCAACGCACATTACAAATGAGCACAGTCCTCCTGACCCTGAAAGTAAAAGATACTAAAAATCAGGGTACAGATCGGCGCCTCCCGTGCCGCCACATGCCGTTATCTACCCAAATGATTGGGTGTGAGTCCCCGTCCCCGGGGCACCCGGGATCTCCGTCGGAAGTCCCTGAAGAAACATACACAGTCGAACCCTAATCAACCAGTGGTCTTCTTTACTTGGCCCATCCCCTGAAGATAATATCGACTGCAATGCACTGCAGCTGCAGCTCCAATGGCACCGATGTCACCTCACTCGGAGCTTCATGCATTATGCTTGATTGACATGTCGGTGATCGGAGGAGTCCGTTGACTTGCTGTCTGGGTAGATAGACTTCCAGGGGAAAGGGATAAATAGGCCTGATATTCTCGACTCAGCTCAGTCCAACCCAACCTCACCCAGCTCAAACCACCTCAGTCCATCCCCAACCCTATCCGATACAAAACACCAAAGCTACCAAAATGTCCGCTATCAAGGTAAGCCCCCATCACCCCCATCCCCCTCTCACCCAAACCACTAACAACAAACCCCGACAAAAGACAATCCTCCTCCCTCTCCTCCTCACCACCTCGCTGGTTCTGGCCGCCCCAGCCCCCGCCCCCGAACCCAAAGCCGAGGAATCCTGCGCCTACACCTGCGGCAGCACCTGCTACTGGGCAAGCGACGTCAGCGCCGCCCAAGCGAAGGGGTGGTCGCTGCACGAGTCCGGCGACACGATCGATGACTACCCGCACGTCTACCGCGACGACGAGGGGTTCGCGTTCGGCGTGTCCGGCACCTACTATGAGTACCCGATCCTGAGCAGCTTCAAGGTGTTCACGGGGGGCTCGCCGGGAACGGATCGGGTGATTTTCAACTCCAATGATCAGTTGGCCGGCGTGATTACACACACCGGGGCGAGTAGTTATGATGGGTTTGTGGAGTGTTCTTAGTTTTCTGTTCTTTGGGTTGGGGATTCTATGAGGGCTGGCTATAAATGGGGGTGGGGGGGGGGGGAACGTGTGTGTACTGGGTTCGTGTCCGACTGTTCCTGGTGATATTAGCAGCCTAAAAAGAAGAGTCTGATATCTCACTGCAGAGATAAATCAAAGAAAGAGTAAAGATGACTAGATAGGTAGCAACATGCTAATATATATATTACGGTATATAATCTATGCACATGGACCAACCACATCGAAATCCCTTGTGGTCTAAAATACAGCAAGGATACCTTACCGACATCCTTGTTAATCCTGCAGTTGTCCCGCACCTACAATCTTTTACAGTGGGGTGTATGGCAAGCCGCTGTACACGAAAAAAAGCTATTCTAGCGATTACTTGATAGATGGCGTCAGGCTTGAGACCGATGACCAGCAATTGCTCGCGGGTACTCACAGTATTCTTTTTCCTGTGCCGCTCAAGGTTGGTACCTATATGGACCCCAAGCTGGAATGGTAGAATCTCACCGCACATATGCAGATACCGAAGTACGGTACCTAGTGGTCTTGTAGGGTACCGTGGCAGTTGGATGGTCTATCGAGATGATAAACCGAGCAGAGGTGATATTACATACTGTATCTAGCGCGCTTCTCCTGAATCCTTCGTCTCCTTCCCGCTCATGCCCCACGCCTTTCCCAGCCGGCATGCAAAGAGTCACGGTTCTGAGGGGGCTGATCATCCATCGACTTGTCCCTACTATCTACGGGCGAGCAAGCTTTTTATTGATGGCCTCAGTCTGTGAAGCAAAACCCTACTGGCAGCTCAACCATGTCTGAAAGCAACTTGGAACCATTTGATTTTGTCCCATTTAGGTGCCGTTCAGTTCGGTGGGGTAGCTCTGTGCGGGGGAGTGGGGGGTGAGAGGATCGAACAGCCATTTCGCCATTCGGTCATCAAGCTCCACAGCTGAAGTGGTGGGAAGACTGTGTCTACACTCCTGGGATTCCTGTACAGCACCTGACAAGAAATCAATCTGCTTCCACTGGGACGATCATGAGTTGGCTAAATCGCCATCCTTGTCTTCTCTGGGCACTGCTTCGCAGGCCGGGTCGGATACTGACGACAAACCCAATAAATCTAGAGACCGCTCAGACACCGAGTCCACGTACAGCAACGAATGCGCGTCTAATCGTGGGTATGGCACGGATGATACGCTTGCCGTCACTCGGGTGTTGGAGCAGCATGGTATCCCTTGCTGTCTGGTGGGTGTAGCTGCCCTCGTTTTCTACGGCGCTGGCAGAGTTCGCGAGGTAAGTTCGCTCATTCGCTCAGAGAGCTCTATCTCCTTCGACAATTCTTATGCAGAGACCAACATTATCTGCCTCATCTCGCAGGATTGGGAAATCTGCGTTCCAACAGAGCTCGTGGACCAGGCAGCAGAGTTACTCCAATCAGAACCATACGCCACGCAGTATCGCCGGGTCAAACCGTGGCCCTACTACCATCCCTGCTCTCTAATCCACACATACCACCGGTTCAAAAGCAGCGGGATCGATCATTACTTCTTCCTTGTTCCCTCGATCGACATGCAGCTTGACTGTGACCCTTCCAACTTCACACGCAGTCCCCGAGGGTTGCCGTATCCCAAGCTGGATGTCTTTATCCAGAGCTGTTTAGACACCGGTGACATGCTCCAGCTTTGCGATGTGATAGACGGTACCAACGTTTCCGAGGAATGGGGCGAGAATCACCTGAACCTTAAGGGTACAAACGATGTAGAATGGGCCAAAGAGAAGAATAAGAGGGGGGAGGAGTTTGGCGGAAAGTGGGCTCATTCTCTCTTTGCCTGGGAAGGACGGAAAGACAAACGGGAGATGTGGCTGTCATTGGTGCGCACTAAGGAAAGCAGGCTGGACTGGACGAAGCCCAAGGATGTCTTGATCACTCAATATCGTGTTAGAGGCTCGCCGGAACCCTGGACAGAGCTATCGGACATGTCTTGATGGTCTTTCGGGGAGTTGGGGGTTCTCGTGGAATATCTCGGGAGGGTATATCAGAAGGTTGCCACTGGACCCTCAATGTCCAACTCTATGAAATAATGATAACTAGGTAGTACTAATGAGTCCACCATGATAGGCACATCCAAGGCTCAGCACTGACTCGACCTTTGACGGAGCGCGATGCACGTTGTAGTAGCCAGGGCCCGGACGCTTGGCTCTCCAACGCCGGACTCATCTCATTCTAGGGAGACCTCCTGCTGAGAAATCCGGCTCAAAACTCAGCGAGGGTGGTTTCAATCGCGTTCTTCTGGCCACTCTGGAAGACGATTTCAAGGCAATCGTCAAAATACCCTAGAAAAGATCAAGCGCGCGGAGACGTACGCCACCGTTGGTGAGGTCGCAACCCTTACATTTCTCCGCTCAAAGGGCCTCCCAGTTCTATGGATGGTCTTCAATCAGCGAAAATAACGTTGGAGTCGAGTATATTATCATGGAGCACGCACCGGGAATTGGTGCGGATACGCGCTGGTTTCAGACGACAAAATATCAGGAGAAGGATGGGCCAGTACCGAGAAATACGACCACGCTGTCAAGCGAAATGATTCACTCAAAGCGGAGTTCTCCGAAGGAGGCAGTCCGGACGAACTCGAGAAGACCAAGCGGGGTCGGCCCTTCCGGGATCACGAGGAATTCTTTTAGTGAAACGCTTACTTCTCAATATCTATGTGACTCGGCGACCCAGGCTTATGTACACCGACAGTTGGTACATATACCAAACAAATCCGACTACCGCCACTTATTATCCCAACCACCCTGTTCCACGGCAAAGGCGATCGCCAACTCGCTGAAGCGAGCCATGTGCTTTCCCCAAATATTAGTAATGTACACGACCAAGAACGGGGGAAACACTCACGTCAATCGAGAAATACCCCGTCTCATCGTCCACGTCCATCGTATCGTTGATGCCATGGATATACGGATCAAAGTTCCCCGGCATCTTCCCGCCGGCCAGGGGGTTGCCCTCCGACGCAAAGGCCGACGGGTAGTTGAGCTGCGTGAAGGACATGTAGTCCGACCCGGCACCGCTATCCCACAACACACCACAATTAGAACTGTAGGACACTGAAACCGAAGGGAAATACATACGCGCCCAAGTCATACACCTCCGTCGGAATCGAGATATACTCGCGACTCAGATTGACCGTCCAGTTCGTCAGCGCCGCATCCGCCTCCGTCGCAATGAACCCGATCTCCTCGGTCGAGTTGTGCGCGACGAACGCCGTCATGTCCTGCCAAGTCAGTCAGATCCAGATGAGTGACCAGAAGGGAGGGGTACATACAAACTCCAACATCGCCCCGATACGCGCCCCTTCCTCTTTCTTGTACCGCGCAACGGCCTGGCTCCCCAAAAGTCCACCCTCCTCCGCCGCGTACCAGTGGAACTCCACGGGCCCGTTCTTGGGCGTGTATCCGCTCGCAGCCAGCACGCGGAACGCCTCGAGGATGCTGACGGTGCCCGAGCAGTCGTCGTCGGCGCCGGGCGCGGGCAGCAGCGGGAACAGGTAGTTGGCCGAGTCTTGGTGGGCGCCGATGATGGTTAGCGGGAGTGAGAAGTTGCGGACCTTGGGCTCGAAGCGCGCGATGATTGAGGACTGGGGGAACGAGTGGGTGAAGTACTCCAGGGAGATGTGGGTGCGGAAGGGGGATTCGTCGATGATCTTGGAACAGGTTAGTTCGTCATCTACCTTCACGCCCCTAGTGCCGAGTCCTGTGGCAGGATACGAACCTTGGCGATGTGCTGGTAGAGCCACTGCGAGCTCATCTCGCCATGAATGCCCCCGTAGTACCGGTTGTAGTAGCTGGTCATGTGCCGGAGCACGTATTCCATGTGCGCTTTCTCGACCTGATCAAACAGGGGACGGACGTAGCGCTGGTGCGTCAAGTCCGGCAGGTCTGGTACCCCGCAAGTCAGAATGACCCTCCCACGAAGAAAGGTGAGACTCACTGGCCGAACCTGCAAGAGCATGCACCTGCTCCGCGTAGAAATCCTCATTCTCAGTGATGTCCATGAACTTCTTCCCCTTCTGCCGCAGCAGCAGCTTGTCGCCCTCGGTCATCCACTGCGGCTGGGACTCTCCGCGGACGTGCAGCAGCCGGGGCTGGGCGAGGAAGTCGGCGCTATCGGGGCTCAACGCCAGAAAGGCGGCGACCGGGTCGTCGGGGTGCTCGCGGAGGGCGGCGTGGACGCGGTCTTCGTCGAGGACGAAGATGGCGTCGTCATGGCTGTAGGGGGCTTGGTTGGTGGATTCGAGGATCTGCTGGCTGCTGCTGAAAGAGCTGGACGCACCGAGTGCGGACTGAGCGGTGCTCAGGAGCAGCGGGAGGGTCAATAGAGTGCTGCGCATGGTCGAAATGGGGTGGTGGAGTTGTGGAGTTGGGGAGGGAGGGAGGGATAAGCTGACGGGAGGGATGGAGTGGGTGCGATAAGAGGTATTTGTAATGTTGTACTGTATTTGTAGCCCGAGAAATCGGACCTCGGAGCTGCGGCACGGACCACGAATCTCGGATAAGATAAGCCTTGGTTGCACCGTTATCTCGGCCTTCTAATGTGATACACCGATTGTACCCTTCCAGAGAATTACTAAATATGGTTTAGCCTTGTCGTCTTGGCTAACGTATCCATCATACATTTTATATATTCAGATTATATATGATCAAGTCAGTAAGCACGCCAAGTTGCTTTTATAAAATTCTTGCTTGGCTTAGTTTATCCCCTTTTGTAGCCTCACACGGGGGCAGCAAGGCGATGGGATGTGCATTCCATTCCACCTTATACTTTAGTAGTACTTTCAAGTTTGTTCACATTGAGCTTGGTGTCTGGCGTTGGCTTGGATTTCTTATACGGGGGTTAGCGGGTTGCATCCCTGCGTGGTCAGGCTGATTGAAGAACAATACAAGGACCGCAGCCATATATGATCTCTTCATCAAGAGCTGAAATTAAATTAGACAACTGGAATTACAATCTCACATACGCCATCCTGGGAGATTGAAGTATTGTTCAATCCAAGAATCAACAGTCCGCCCTTCGTCGTCGAAGGAATTCTTTCCTGTGCCTATCGGCAAGTTGAGGGCTGAAAGCTCAACGAGACATTGTGCTCGAAGCAAGGAAAATCTATCCCTCGGGCACCGAGATCCTCGACATAACTACACATACACATACTAGCATTACCAAGTAAACCCCAACCGCTCCGCGACGGGCAACAGCCACACACACCAACCGTCGACCTCGGTGACAGCGACATCAACCTTATGGGACGAACTATTGTACCACAAGTCAGCCACAGTGGGCTGGTCATGCGGTTCGGAGGGGTTGAAATCAGGCCCGGCGACGGGATGCTTGGCGAACCCCGCCCATAATTCTTGCATGTAGACAGTCATGGCCAGCGTGTCCGCGGGCATGTCTGGCGGATACGTGCCGAAGATGGCGGGGATCTCCGCCCCGTGCACCGCCCCGTGATTGGGGATGATCGTCCCGGGGGGCGCCGCCTCCGTTGACCACCGATACCGCCAGACACCGGACCTGCGTTTGTTGCTGCTGCTGCTGCTGCTGCTGCTGGCGGTAGTCACATTGCAAGCTCGACTAGTCGGACAAGTAAAGACGATATCGCTAGCGAGACGAACAAGCGGGCCGTATTTATTCTTCGACAGCGACGAGGAGGAGGAGGAGGAGGAGGAGGAGAGGAGCTTCGCTGCTGCCTCGTCCGCCTGTTTCCGTATCTCCTCGGCTGTTGTCGCGAACGGAGGATCGTGCCGCAGCCCGGTACTGATCAGTCGGTCGTGCACGCGATGCCAGGTGGTGTGCACCGGGTCCGTGGCGTTGGAGGACAGGGCGTACACCATGCCACTGAGCTCGTCGCGCGTGGAGCCCAGTAGCAGCGGCACGTCCGCCAACCCCGGCCCGTTCAGGATGTGGTCCGTTACGTTAGTGATACACGTGTGGTGGTCCTCAACGGGGGCGAAGTCGAGTTCTGCTTGCGCGGCGTAGTCGCGTAGCTCGACTGCGTCGACGCGGCGCAGGCATGCGAGGACCTCCTCGTCTTTCTCTTTGGCTCTTGCATCCTTGCTGGGATGATCGTGATCAGACCGGGAATCGGGGCTACCGGTGCAGTTGAAGTGCTCCGCCGCGTTGAGGTAGTTGGCTGTCCCGTTGCCGCCGAACGCGCGCGCAAACGACTGCATGATCGCGGCGCGGAAGGGGGGTCGGTCTTTCGGGCCCGGGGGTGCAGCCAGCAGTTGTTGCACCGAGTAGCCGCCGGCGGACTGGCCGAAGATGGTCACTTTGGACGCGTTGCCGCCGAATTCGTGGATGTTGCGCTGTACCCAGTCTAGGGCGAGACGTTGGTCGAGGAAACCTGCGTTGCGGTGGGTGAGGGGAAGGGAGGGCGAGTGGGAGAAGCCAAAGACTAGAAGTGAAGTTGTTCTCGTTGGTATGAGGGTTCTTCTTTGCTATCAAGCATAAAGAGGGGGCACGGGTGATACGTACTACTTAGACGATAGTTGAAGCTCACGACGATGATGTTTTCACGGACGGCGAGGGCGGTGCCCGCTGTGAATGGGTCTGATGATGTGCCCCAGGCCAGATTCCCCTGGATTTGCATTCAGAAATAGACTCGGATACAGAAGACAGGAGTAGAAAGTGGGGGGGGAGGGGGGGCTTGGAACTCACGCCATAAATCCAGACCATCACCGCTAGGTCTGTGGCATTCGATCCCCCAGGAGTCCAGACATTCAGATACAGACAGTCCTCGTCCTCCGTCCCAGAGTTATCCTCTGTGGTTGTCATCGCGAGACCGTCGGCTTGCGGCATCTCTGCATGGTTGGTTGGCGGGATTCCAATACAAGGAGCACGGTATACGCACTGTTGAAGTCGGCAAAGACCTGCATACAGGAGGGTTTGAACTCCTGGGCATAGATGGGAGACGGCCATGGCGCTGGCTCTTCGGGAGGTGCGAATCGCACGGGGGGCGACTGGGCGTAGGGGATCCCCAGATACACATTGGCTGTTTCTGTACTGGAGGGGAGGGCCTGCGTGGTCCCGATGACAATCCCCGAGGCGACTGTCACGGTTGGGTTGGGAAAAGCCACTGGGCTGATTACTTGCTGGATCGGATACATTGCACGGGGTTTCACCAATTGTAAGGGCTGGAGAATCCCCATGGATGGACTTTCAAGCGACCTCTGCTGGCTTTATGGTGGATATATCCAGTGCTACGACGCCGACTCGTGAGGTCACGACATCGCAATCTCACCGTTCCACTAGCCTCGCTTCTTCATGATGACATGCTTGCCTCTGTTCCATGACGCGGTTGTTGACGCAGATGACTTTTACTGGGCTCTGGACAACGGGGATGTATTATGCGCACAGATGCTCAAGTACCGGACTTAGGACTTAGGTTTTCTAGTTTCGAGGAGACCCGTATGCCCCCCCCAGCCTTATGCTCGGTATCTGATCCTGACAGCCCACCGAATCCAGTTGATCGACTAATCTCATCCAAGCACTTTTCTATCGAGTCGAGCCTCAATTACAAGCTCTGAATCATACACTTGCCAGAAACTTGCCAGTAACTAACTCACCCACCCCGAGGTACCTCTTCAGAGTTAAGGGACCCAACCACCAACCACCTCACCGCATCGCAACCCTCACACCACCAGTCGACGACTTCCCCAGATCTAAATCCGCATCGAACTCCACCGTCATCCACACATCCATGTTCTCGCCTTTGCCCCCGCGCCAAGTATGCCACGGATACACGACGACGTTCTGCCAGCCACGGCTCGCCTGGCCGTCCTCATCCACCTCCCACACGCGGCCATGCTCTTCCAGCTCTTTGAGGGCAAGTCGCGTGAACTTTTCGGGATGGTTGGCCTGCAGCATGTTCAGCTCCGCCGCGGACCGTTTGCTGTCCGGTGCGCAGGGCACCCAGACGCCCCCTTCCTCGGTGCCGTTGGAGAGACAAATGCCTAGTTCTCGGAGGATGTCGTTGCTGTGGTTGTGGAAGTGGCTGTTTGTTTTGGTTCCTGGGAGCGATTAGATTAGATTAGGAGAAGATGGAGAAACAACCAATCGACAAAGACAACGAAAAAGAGGGCTCGTACCAGCCGCCCAGAACTGCAAATGTGCAATAGGACCCTTATCGTCGGCGAACTGAAAATTGAAGCCCCGAAGATTATGGTAATTGACTCCAGCGTAGGCGTCGCCTCCCCACCACAGCTCCTGGACCGGACGAAAGGCCAAATCCGGCAGGGTGAGGTGCGGGCTCACGGTCTTGAAGGTCACCTCCACGGGGACCTTGTCCACGCAGGGCCAGGGCCCGTCGTGCGTCTCGCGGTGCAGACGCAAGAAGACCGCGCCCTGGGTGGCGTCGGTGGTGAGCTCGACCTTCTCGAGCAGCACCGTCCAGTCGCCGGCTTCGGCCTCGGGGCCCTGGTCGGGCTCCTCGTCCTCGGTGCTCCCCACCGCGATGGACTGCTTGGCGGGAAAGGCCGGGCCGCCGATAGGTCTCCAGGTCTTTTGTTTCTGGTCGGCCAGCGAGCCGTACAGGGCCTTGACCCCGTCGCCGGGTATGGCCTCGACCGTCGCGTTGGGCGGGTGCACTTCGACGCTGATGGCGTAGTCGCCCACCTTGATCAGGGGGAGCGTCGAGGGGGCGTGGATTGCGGTGGGCTCCGGGATGTACACTAGCCCTTCCTCGTCCCAGACGGTGCCCCGGATTGAGCGGGCGATGTCGCGCGCCTGAGCGAGTTGCTGGGTCTCGTTGACGAGGAGCTGCACGCGCGGATTGGGCTCCACTCGGTATGACTTCATAGAGAAGTCGATGGAGGCGATGTCGATTTGCTTCGAGTTGGTGAAGTTTCTGTCGCGTGTTAGCTTGCTCTGCTCGTTGGTGTCATTTAGGGGCGGATCTTACCCCAGGGCGATTCTCCCTGAGGTTCGCTCGGAGATGCGCCATTTGGCGAAGACGCCGTTGGCGAGATCTACGGCTTTATAGTACATGATTCCCTGGAAGGAGGTCTGCGTCAGCAAAGGGCGGATCTCCGCTTGCAGTTCCTCGAGGCCGGGAAGAAGTCATCGATTCCATAACTAACCTTGAAAGGATGGTATCCTCCCACGCCCTGTGAGTGTTTTGTCTCGTTAACCCCGTGCTCAGGAATCGAGAATCAGCAGCAGCAGCAGCAGCAGCAGCAGCAGCAGCAGCAGTCACCTACCGGAGCCGAATTGCCACACGAATCACGATCAATCGGTCCAAACATCGACACCAGGAACTCGTCGTCTCCATCGCCTACGACGCCAATTCAAACATGGTCAGCGTCGGCCAAGGATGAACCTCCCAAAGCCACAGCAAGGTACCGGGGGGGATGAAGTGACAAACCATCGAAATCGCCACAAACAACATAATGAACCGGTCCCGCGCCCGTCTTGGTCTGCTGCGTCGGGGTGCCGTAGCTGTCCAAGACATGTCGCGTCCACGCTTGTTGCTGCTGCGGCCCTGCGTGGGCACCACCGTCCTTGACGTACACCGAGACCCGGAACCCGTGGAAGGGCTCCACCGAGGCAATGTAGGCGCATGGGTCGTCGGCGATGCGGCCTGTATCCGCGCCGCCCGTGCCCCAGAAATCGCCCATGCCGGGCGTCTCGCTGTTGGGGTCCTGCGAGGGATCCTTGGGCAGCCCGGCGCCGATCTTCTCGTGCTGCCACTTCTTGTCATCATCGTCGTAGTAGAGCCGCGAGAGGCCCTCGCGGGAGGCTACATAGAAGGAATCGCGGCCATCGGGACCGTCACCGCTGGATGTTGGGGTCTGTGTCAGGAGGGCGAGGCAACAAGCCCCCTTGGATGATGGGGCGGGGGTGGGGGGTTGGTGGCCGACCTCTTCGGAATCAATTCATGGATGACGGGGAAGTTCTTGTCGTCCACGATGGAACACTCCCATTTGTCTCTGAGGAGGGGAACCATTCAAGGGTTTGTCAGCTGAAGGTTCATGCATTGAATCAAGCTCGCATCAACTCACGCATTCTCCACATCGCCTGGGGGGCTGAACAACAAAATCGGCACCGCCTGCGCCTTATTGTGCGGCCCACAGACCACCGAGGCGGCAATCACTTCATCGTGATCCTTCTGCGTGAACCTCCCCATGGTCAACCGGTGCATCGCCGGCCACCTACCGATATAGTGCGCCTTCCACGGGTCCTGCTTGCCAAGCCCATCCCGGCCGGGGTTCTCCAGCCAGACGATGTGGCCGCCGTCGGGATCGCAGCCCAGCATGCTGGCACCCAGCTGGTATGAGACCACCAGGTCGGTCCACCCATTGCCGGTGATGTCCATGGAGACGATTGCCGTGGGCTTGGGCAGGGTCGCGACCACCTGCTTGGTCCATGCTGTTTTTTTTTCGCCTCTGAATTTAGGGTCTGGTGCGGGTTGCACAGCACGGCACTGGAAATCGGGCAAGCTTACCATCGCATACACTGGCCTTGGGGTTCGTGGCCAGGGGGTTGTCTAGGATGGCGACGTCGCCCGAGTCCATCCCGAACCTCCACCGACTTTTAGCATTGTTTTTTCGATGAAGTTGCAATTTGGGGGTGGCGGGAAAAGTGACTTACACGACAACGCCCGGGACCGCATCGTCCTTGGAAAAGTGAAAGGTGTGCACGAAGTATCCGTCCGTACGGTCGAGGTCGAGGTCGATGGCCCGGAAGGAGGGAACGGAGATCTCTGCCATATTATCTCGAATTTGTGTAAGAGGTGGAAACTTTTGAATGGTCTACACGGATGACGGGGGCCAGTTCATTCTGGGATAGAGTGTGAACTGGGGATGTGTTACGAGACTATGGGACTGAAAACTTATTATAGCTTATCGCCTCTTTCTACCATTATGCATGAGGGGCGGCATTGTTGTCATCCATTATGATCAACACCCTGTTTGTTAGTCTCAGGGGGGAAAAGACAGGCCGCATTCGCTACATGGTCAGCCGGACGGTCTGGACTTCTGCTGCCACTGCAAACATGACCGCGTGCGGACAGTTGCTTGTGTGAGCCCCGGGCACGGACTTTGAAGGTTAGTCAGTCGTGACGTCTGCTACTGGATGATGAGGATGATGAGATGATGATAAGAAGGGAATCTCGCGGTGAATTTCAACAGTCCTGGAGTATAAGACGTGCTCGGGTGTGGCGGTAATAATAGTCTCATGGAGAGTTGCATTAGGGCCCCACCCATCCATAGTGGAGATTTTTTTAGGTTGGATCCGAAAGTATGCTAAAACTTTCCCTGACTTCCGGTGGTGTTGGGCCCCAAAGCCAGTTCGGTACCGTTACAGTACCGTACGGTATGCTGTATGTAACAAGGTAGGGTTTCTTTTCAAGTACAGAGTAAGTAACTTAGTCGAGTCATAACTTATAACTCCCATCATTCTCGGGCTTCCGACTGCCGGTGTTCCACCCCAACCTCCTCCTCCTTCTGATCCTCCTCCTCTTCTCCTCACAATACTCCCGGAAAGAAGCCATCCAGCATGGAGCTTTTGACGTTGTTCGGGCTGATCGCTCTCCCCATCTTCCTCGTTGCCGGCTTTTTCCAGCGAGCGGCTACAGAGAATACGCTTCCCAACCGGCTCATCTCGTGGATTATCAATGTATGCATGCATCGCACTCCAGCCCTGTTGTTGTTGTTGTTGTTGAATAGCTTGAACTGCCTTCTGATACATCCGCCAGGTCTACCTCCGCGTGCGCTTCCCCATCAAGTCGGCCGACGGGCACACGACGATCCCCGGGTCCCGGTACGTGTACCCGAACGGACAAGGCAACATGGCCAAGTTCTACCAGGACCAATCGGTGCAGTGGCGCGAGCAGTTCGGGCCCATCTACCGCATCTGGAACGGGATGCGGCCCGAGGTGATCGTCGGGTGCCCGGAGGACATCAAGGCAATCTTCCACGACTCGGACCAGCACCTCAAGGCCCAGGACATGAACGCCGGGTGGCTGGCGGGCGAGCTGATGGGCCAGTGTCTGGGGCTGGTCAATCAGGACCGGTGGGCGCGCATGCGCGCCGCCATGGCCGAGCCGTTCCACCAGCGCACGGCCCCGTCGTACATCGGGCTGATGGAGAAGCGCGTGCAGCAGGCGCTGGACGCGATCGAGGCGCAGAAGTTGCCGCCGCAGCCCGACGGGACGACGCCGGCCGCCTCCTTCGTGGTGGACCCCGCGCAGGAGCTGCTGTACCTCCCCTTCTTCATCCTGGGCGACATCCTGTACGGCCCGATGGATGAGGCGATGGAGCGCGAACTGCGCGAGCTGGCCGAGCTGCGCGACGCGCTGTGGAAGCAGGCGATGAGCGGCGGGTTGGCGCGCTACGCCGTCGGGCGATACCTGCCGGCGACGCGGCGCCAGCGCCAGCTGCACGAGTTCCACGCGCGCTGGAAGGCGTTCAACGACGGGGCGGTCCACCGCGCGACAGCCACGCACCACCCGGACGCGCCGATCGTGGCGCTGTACCGGTCGGTGGCGGACGGGCAGCTCTCGGAAACCGAGCTGCTGCACACCCTGGACGAGCTGGTGTTTGTCAACCTGGACGTCACGGTCGGCAACTTCTCGTGGAACCCGGTGTTTCTGGCGGCGCACGCCGAGGTGCAGCGCGAGGTCTTGGCCGAGATCCGCCAGGCCCGCCGCGACGGAGATGGCGGGGCCCGCGGCGGCTGGAAGGGATACCTGGCCAGCTCGTCGACGCTGCTGAAGGCGGCGATCCTCGAGTCGGCGCGCCTCAAGCCCATGGCCTCGTTCGCGGTGCCCCAGGCCTGCCCGACGGACCGGCTGGTGGGCGGGTTTGTGATCCCCGCCCACACCGAGATTGTCGTCGACACCGAAGCCCTCAACGTCCACAACCCCGTCTGGGGCGCCGACCGCTACGACTACCGTCCGCGCCGCTTCCTGGACCAGAGCCCCGTCGCCTGGCGCTACCATTTCTGGCGCTTTGGCTTTGGGCCCCGCCAGTGTCTGGGCCGGCATGTTGTGGATCTGCTGTTGAAGATCCTGTTGGCCCAGATCGTCGAGCGCTACGAGCTGCTCCCGGCCTGGACGGAGCGTGAGAAGCCTGCCGGCGAAAAGCTGGAGTATCGCTCCTGGGAGAAGAATCCCGATGTCTGGATGAATCTGGCGATGCAGCCCATTGCGTGGAAGAAGCGGGCGGTGGCGAGCGAGCAGTGATGGCGGTTGTCTTAATTCTTTTCTTGCTTGATGATGCTTCATGATCACGCAGTCTGCTTGGATTTATGCTCTACAGAAATGAAAATAATAATCTGCTATCATTGATTCTGAAGCCAGTGCTCGAGTAAAGCTTTATTTATCATCGAACATCGGTCTAGAAATTTCCGACAACGCTAGGTAGAGTGGGCGCAACAGTGTACATGCGATGTTAGAGAAAACGCGAGTGGACCTCCCAACACACGGACTGCCTCACGTATACGCCTTCAGCTTCGAATATCGAGATGAGAATAATCTCACCAAAACAGGGGGACGTAGCGCGTCACTACAGGAACAAGCTACAGTTTACACTAACCACCCACTCACTCAACACAACACAAGACACCTCGACCCAGCGCCAACCCAGTCTAGACCCACCCATTCAGTCCACTCGACATTGACGTAACCGGTGATTTTCAACTCCAACCGTCGCCGTCCGATGTAGGGGTTGGAGCCCTGCGAGAAAGACATCTCATAATGTCCCATCATTGCGCGGAATGCGTTACGCAGCACCACCATCGGGGCCCCACGTGTTCGTTGCGAATTACAGAGTGTGTTGCATCCTGCCAAATGCAAATCCACCCGGTCGAAGATCTCGCCTTCTCTTCCTCGCTGCATTCGTCGTGGTCGATGGGTCGATGGACTGGAAAGTAATCTCTGCAAACACTTCACGTAGAGTCAATATTGTGGACCCCGGGCTTGCGTCACTGCGGGTTTGATGTAAACCCTCCGGGGGGGGGGGTGTTATGTCTCGGGGGTTGTTGGGGGAGGGGAATGGTTCGGGGAGTCTATTTTGTATACCGCCAAGGATCAATTAACATTTGCTCTCGGTAGAGGTAGAAGTAGACGTAGGGTCCACTGGGGGATTCTCCGGGGGGGGGGGGGGAGTGGAGGAAGGTTAGACGATCTGCAGCATTCCATGTACAGAGGGTCTAGTCCAGCATATACTCCGCTTTCATGTTCTCTTGGCTTGTCTTGTTCCCCTTCGGGCCCCTGTCAGACTAGCCACAGGCGAGAGCCTACCATCCCTACCGGGTAGGGCAGCAGGCCTTGTGTTCAGGTTTGCGGAACTGGGTGCTTGCTGGTTTCATTGGACCCGGTTACCACCTTCCTGCAGTGTGGTGTCTGGTTGCTATTGCTAAGTCGCTGGGCATGCGCGTCATGCGTTCTCCCACGGAGGACTTGAACCATGACACCATGACATTACCCTCAGATTCTCAACCCCGTCAGGTTCCTATGACTTCGAAAGCAAGGTCGCAACTTGGTGTCAGCTAGGCCTCCTAAGCTACGTGAATCTAGATAGAAACAAAGGTCAAATGGTGACTTGGGTCTTATCCTCTTATCGCGTCACGCGGACGATTAATCGAACAACAAAAGAATCCTAGATTATTTTACCCTCCAATAGCCAGAATCTCGAAACCATAAGTCTAGTATCTAACCAAGCCACTCACTCTCGATGAGGGTGAAGCCTCATTGGGTGTACTGTATGTAGCGAACAATACCACACGAACAGCAGAGCCAAGGTCGACCTCAAAAGAAAAGATTCAAATCCCCCGCCGCAACCTTGGCCTGCACCTCCGCAGCCACCCTTGCAGGGGTCTCGGCAAAAACATGCTCCCAGCAGTAGACGTCGATGTTGACCGGCCCGCCGCCGAGCTCGTTGACCTGCGCGGCGTAGCGGTCGCGCAGGGCCTCGATGGCGTGGCTCACGCGCGCGACCCCCTCCACGGTGCCGGGGTGCTGGTCCGGGCGCGGCGGCGCCTCGAACGGGAATTGCGTGTGATCGGCCAGGAGACACTTGGCCAGGAGGTCATGGTCGCTGGCCTGGAAGGCGCGGTCGTGCGCCGCCTGCATCGCGCAGAGGGGCTGGTCCTCATCGTCGGCGTGGTAGGGCACATCCTGGTGGTGGCCGTCCTCGCGGAAGGCCCGGCCCAGATAGTCGAGGTGCGAGCCGCCCTGCATGCTGTTGCCGAAGATGGTGATGTAGGGCTGGGTTCTGTACTGCGGGTCGGTGAGGAGGTCCTTGATGGCCACGCGCTGGAGCGGCCAGCTGGCTGGGTGGAGGAGGCCCGAGGTTGGGGTTTCTTCCTCGCTGCTGCAGCGGTCGTCGGGGGTGGTTTTGGCGCGCATGGCCATGGTGGTGTACGCCCGGAGGTGGTACCCTTGTTGGATGGTGGTGTCTGGTTAGCATTCCGATATTGTCCCAGTCCCTAGGGATACTCGGCAGACGTAAAACACTCACCATCTGCGCAGAAATGTCTTACGAGCAGCAGCAGTGGCCATTGCAGGTTGGCCCAGATCTCTCGGCAGATCAGGTACGTGGGAAAGGCGGCCGAGACGCTCACTTCGCGGGGGGACTTGTGAGTCGATTCGAGCATGAATCTGTGGCCAGTGCGCCAAGGGGGTTAGTCCGAGGGGGGGGAGGTTCGTCTTTATGCGGCAGGGTTTAAGTCAAGTCTTACCGTTGAAGATCGTCGGATAGTTGCAGTCTAGCCGCCCAGCTCTGCACCCACGAGCAGGATATCAGGGACAACCACTTCTGCAGGAAGCAGTGCCGGTCCTTGACGCGGTTGATCTTGAAATCCACGTAGTTGGTGTTCGAGCGGTCCCAGTACGGCTCGATGAGCTCATTGCCGTGGTCCAGGGCCTTCTGGGGCACGAAGCGGACGGTAATGCGGGAGCCCATCCGCGCGAATTCCTTGAAGTCGGCCAGCACCGCGGCGGCGGCCAGGAAGAGCACGGCCGTGTAGGAATCGTGCACGTCCCAGGTCGGGGCCGTGGCGTCGCGTTTGTACGCGCTGTGCGAGGGTGATGATGGTGACGACATGGGCGTGATGGACGAGGCCAGAGAGAGCGTAGACATGGACGAGTGAAGGGGCGTGGATGCCCCCGTCCCGGCGGAGGACGAGATGGATGAACGCGTCCCCGTTGAACCGGGCATGCTCTCGCCTCCGGGGCTGGTGGTTGTAGGAGACGTGTCTCCATAGGAGGGAAGGAAATCAAACGGTCCGCCACCACCACCTTTCTCATTCTCCCACCCGAGCACCTGCACGATGTGCAGGAGGGTGTCGCGCTTGCGCTCGAACCCGAGCTTCTCTGGGTCGGTGTTGTGCTTGGTGAGCTGGGTACAGGCGTGCTGGGCGCGGGACCGCACGGTTTCAAACTGGGTCATGTAGTAGTGGACGACGGGATTATCCAGGAACTCATGCCCGGTCTCCAGGAAATAGGCCCGATGCTTGTCGTAGAGCTCGTGCAGCATTCCGGCGCGGATGTGGCACGCCATGTCGCCGCCATGGGCGTCGAACTCCTTGAAGCCTGGAGAGTCCGGGGCGATGCCATCCTGGGCCGAGACAAGCTCGTTGAACAGGTTAAGCGCGTTGATGCTGTCGGTGCAGTCCCGGATGATGTCTTTGAGAAGGGCCGGATAGTGCTTCCTGACATAGACCGCGCCAGTGGCGCCAACAGGTAGCAGTGGATACGTCATTTCTGCTGGTCGTTCCTCGACTATGATCGTAGTATGCAAAGAGGGGGAAGGATGGCTGGAACGGGCGTCTAGCATGCGGATCTTCTCGGACAGAATCGACCACTCTTGTATATGCACCGCTGCAGGATTCAGACTGATGCGTATGCTTGCATCACCTACACTCGAGTGGTGGTGTAATTGACATTGGAGCTCCACCGCAGGTCTACTGTGTGATGAAGATGTAGTGGAGAGGGTCTACTCAAGTTTCCCGCAGCCATGGGTCTGTCAAGCTCGCGGTTCTATCCATAGCCTCTGCGAAATGCCGCCTTGACCCTCAGGGTCTGGAATACCTTTCTTCTTAACTAGATGATGTAAGCACTACGATGTGCTGTCAGCTCCGACACGGAGTTTTCAAATCGTCTGCTTGCGTGCAAGGTCTGACCGTACCGTTGCTGGTTGACACTCCTCCAGCCTCCGCCAATCATCTCGTCGTGAAGCAATTGTCACGCCTGGAGGTACCGAGTCGTTCGTCTTGCGTCAGTGCCAGCATGCTCTGTCGTTGTATTCTCGACGCAACCAGCAAGGCAGCAGGTTCCATGATCACAGCTGTTCCTCCCCACAGAGTTTCCGTGGCAGATGCAATGTTTCAGTCAAGTCGAATGGCTAGATCTAGGGAACGTGGGCAGTAATTCCGCGCAGCTGCAACAGAGAGTAGGAATGCTCCGTCGAGTCTGTTTGGTTTCTAGACCTGAGTCATGAATGCCGCTCATACCGGACCGCCTCGCATCATTAGCCCTAACCACGAAACATGACATTCCATCCCGCCTCCCCCGTCTACAAAGCTATGCTTGCTTTTTTTCTCTGTGCTGTTGAATTTCGGCAAATCCGCCTCTCGTTCTCTTCAATTCCCGATATAGGATTAGAGATAATCAAGAAATCTTTGTACTCCTGGGTTCCTTTGTGCTGGATACAACAATTGGCGGCTTTTACACCCGGCGGGCGAGGATCTGACGTGCGACCCTGACCCGGCCCGCAACAGCCTTTCCCGTAACTTAGTCTGAAAACGTCAATGTCATGCCAATGCCAGTAAGTCAGTGGATACCTTACACCACCGGTATGTTACATCGTTACATTACATGCTGTCTTACAGCATAATACAGTACAGTATAGTACGAGTTGGCAAATACAAAGTATCCCGACTCCAGAACAAATGGTTATGATCAATTTCTAGTTCACACCAGAGAAGTAGTTTAGTGCAATCTCAAAGCTCTCTATGGTGTGGATGCCGTCGTCCCCTGGGCTTGCCATGAGTCGCCCGGTGCAATATCTCGTACTTGTCAGGCTGGTAACGTGCCGCATGCGTTTCGCTAAACTGCGCCTCTGCAGTAAGCACGGTGACCTCCAGACCAGGAAAGTCACTCAGCTCAATCACTTGTCCGCCATTCTGTCATGGGAATAATATCGTGTTAGTCAAGTAAAGAGACGTAAAGGGTGAGAAGGAAAAAGGAAGCATCCGCTACATACCGTCGTCACCGTCCAGATCAGCGCCCCCTCGAGGAAATGCTGCATGTAATCCGGCCGCAAGCCCGGCTCGTCGTCAGGGGTGTAGTTCACCGCGCGAATAACCCCGCTGTGGCGACGCACGGCTTCGTGCAGGTGCAGCGTGATCGGCACCTGGGCTTTGGAGAGCACCCCTTCCTTCTTTTGAGTCTGGCAGTTTCCACAGTCGTAGTCTAGCGGGGTACTGAAGTTGTAGACCTCGCCGACGGGTAGGTGGGTTCTCTCGTCAACCAGGAGGGCGAAGCTAATTTTGTACGGGTATCCGTCCAATGCGTTGCTGGGACAAGTAGCATTAACCATCTGGGGAATCACGGGTCCAGCCCTGGAAGGACAGCAACTCACCGATCATAGATGATGTTGATGATGTAGTCCTGGAATTTCTCATGACTGATCCCGGGTAGCGAATGTTTCCCTTGCGCAGGCCGCAGTTGCTTTACAGCCGCGCCGTATTTGGCTTGGATGGCCTGGATGAGATCCTCCCGCTTGGGGTTGCCCACCAGCTCCGGATAATTGTAGCCATACTGTTCCCACGGCCTGGCTAGGACGGAGTTCCAAGGAGTTCTCTTCTGATCCGTGGAAAAGGGTTCCAGGTTTTTTGACAACCCATCAGCTTCATTCACCCATTTATCGGGGTTGAGGTACTGCCAGATCGCTAGGAGGCGATCCACGTTGCTGGAAGAAGATCAGACAACTTGATCCTGGCTCCAGAATGAAAGGAGGAGAATCATACCAGTGATGCATCCAGAAGACCGGATCAAATGAGGACACCGGGACATTCGCCATGTGCCCTTGGGTGGGTACACCAGCGTCATCCCGCTGCGATCCTCCCGACCACTCGTGGATGTTGTTATGCACCATCTCCAGGGACAAATGCTCCGTTGGCAACATGTTCTTGACGTGTTCGACGGGATGCGTCTGGGAATATCTGGTCGAAGCAAATGGCTCGTACTCTTGAAAATATGAGTCACTCAGTAAACGCGAGACCACCGCCTGTATCGTCGTAGTGCTGGGATCCTCGCCCATCCACTTGTGCTTGACGATCGCCTCCCCAACCCTCTCGTTGAGGTCGTGGCCTGGCACCCATTGCTGTTTGTTGGTGCTATCCGCATAGCGGCTAGTGCCGGCTGCTTCGCCAAACTATATGACGACGCATTAGCAGAGTGTTGGATGTCTCGGGTATGTATGACCTTAAATAGAAAGGAATCCCAATGCTCACCTTGACTGGAATATCCCCAAGCTTAGTTCCCTCAAATTTGATCGCATACTTTCCCATCACCGGATCTCCCATGGGGGTGGACACCAGTTTGTTCTGCGAATTCCTTACCCGGTTCACGAATTTGAACATCGGATTATCACCGAAATTCGGATCAGGCACGGTGCTCGATCCCAGCTCCAGAATCTCAAAAGTCTCGTCAGACAAGATTTTAGGGAGGCCGTATTCGTTGGTGTCGGGCTGTTTGATCGCCCAGTCCCAGTAAGGGAGACGCCAGCGGTTCGCAGCCTTGGTCCACTGATCCTTGGCAGCGGCATCTGTGATTCCTGGGATCACTTCGTGGATCATGATATCGTGCAAACATTGCTGATTTAGGGTGATTCAATCATCAGTGACACTTTGCGTCGATCGTTGCCGGGTAAGCTAAGCAAATACCTCATAGAGCAGCATGTACGGACGATGCCAGGTGGGAAACAAATAATCATTGTGATGGCAGTAGCCGATGGTCCCCTTAAAGTCTTGCTCGGGATCCGGAGCATGGTCCCAGGCCTGGCTGGGCGCACCATGAATTCCTAAATGTCCAGTTCATTAACCCGGGTGTTACTCTGCCCTGAATGGAGGGAGGAAGTACCGGCAAGTCGAAAATAGGAGAGCTGATCATTCACGGGGTCTCTCTTCTGGAGCTTGTCCAGCGCCCGGAGGAAGAGGGAAACTTGTACCTTACTCTCTACATTGGTGGAGCTGGACCAAGCAGCCAAGTCCTGCCTTGGCTGGACATCGCTTTTGTCGGATATTCCCTTGATGGGGAAGCTCGGCAATTTATTGGTCATAGTGGTCTTCACTGAGTGTGATGATTTGTCAATAAAGAAATGTAGTAGTCAATGGGAAGATTTAGTTCCTACTGTGCCTTGTGTGCTTGCATCGAAATGCTGCACGTTATATATCGCCTATCTTTCATTTTGGTTGACTCGGCGTCATTCAAAGATCGCGTCGAGTTTGGTTGAGTCTATGAATAATTAGCATAAGCTGAACAAATTGTCAGAATGATCAGATGAGTCGTGTTTGTCCAATTACTCGTCGTAGTTTGCAATCGTGATGATGACAGGTGTCTGTCAAGCGGAGTGCCTACTGCAACCTCGACAACATCGGGGCTGAAAGCGGTAACCCTCACTCGACCGTGGTTGCTGACTCCGCGGTAGAATCAATACAGGTTCGATGACCGACGTCGAAAAGTGGTTCACTACAGCGCACCGCATTCAGAGATTCCCCCCCATTCTGGGCCCTGACTGAAGGGTCGAAAAAAGGGGGGGGGAGGGGGGGGACAGCCCCCGAAGAGCTTCTCTCCCTTGCATACCATTCAAGTGGGCCTTGCGTGTTGATCTGCTTTTCACTTGGTCCACCATCTGGTGCAAATCACATTTGACTTGATCGTGTTCAGTAAACCTTTCCCAAAATCCTTCGTTCAAGGCATGGTTCTCTATACCCCTTAAATCTACCCACGGTTGCCCTCGAACAACGACGATGGAGGGAGACGCGACAGCGCCGATGGGGATCTTCCCGGCGCTGAACTCGGTTTGTGCGCCTCGTGACGATGAAGCGACGACCTGGCATGAGGTCCCTGTGGACTCGCCAAAAACCACAATGAGCCGAGTGTCGACCATGGAGAGAGAGGCGATCCAAATAGAAACAATTCTACGAAGCGCCTGGCCCATCGTGCTCCAGCACTTTGTCGATTCCGACACGGTGTGCTTTGCCTTTGGGCAAGGGGAGGATTGCGAGATGCATACCTACCAGACCACGCTATCCAAGGATGAGACCGTCAGTGACTTCACGCGACGAATGGCCAGGGAGACACCATTACCTTCCGGTAATGACCGCAAGTTGAACACCTGCGTATGGCTGGGTGCGACGGCTGCGACGTGCCAGAGCTTGCAGAGAAATGGCTCTTTCCAGCTCCTTCTAGTGGTAAAAGAAGCCGCCAGTTCAGTAGCCTCTTCACAGGTGTTGTTGTTTTCTCAGAGCTCGCTGTTGTCCGAAGGCCAAGCTTGGCATCTCGCCTCTACTGTTAGTCAAGCCATCTCGAATATACTTGCACACCCCGACCGGAGAGTAGACGACTTGAACCTGCTTAGTGCGGAAAATGAGTCGGCCATTGTGCGGTGGAACAACAATCGGAATTGGCCACCACTGCCAAGATTGAAGCCCATCCTGGACATCATTCATGAGCGGGCTGCGGAACACCCCGACAAGATCGCCATCTGCGCGTGGGATGGGAATTTGACGTATAGAGAGCTGGTGCAGCAGGCTGCTCGAATGGCTAGCTACCTGCGTCAGGTCACCGGACTTCGCCCGAGAGATTTGATTCCGCTTTTCACAGAGAAGAGCATGTGGACGACTGTCGCCCAGCTTGCGATTTGGATGGTTGGGGCTGCATTCGTGCCTCTCGAGTCCTCGCATCCAGATGACCGCCTGCGGTCAATTCTGGGCATTATCAAGACCAGATTCATTCTCTCGTCTGAAGCCCTTTCCGGACGGGCTTCTACTCTGATCAAGAAAGTGGTCACTATACCCAGCACACTGACCGGGGACTCCGTCACAGTGGACTCCGGTCACCCCGACACCGATCCTGAAGCACCGGCATATATTCTCTTCACGTCCGGCACAACTGGGTTGCCCAAGGGCGTGGTGATGGAGCAACAGGCCCTAATGTACCTTTCTCGGCAGGCTTCATCGTGGGACATCCGTTCCAACTCACGGGTCCTGCAATTTGCCGCCTACAGCTTCAATCTTTCTGTGGTTGAAACCTACTACACTCTGAGTAATGGTGCGACCCTTTGCGTGATCTCGGAGTTCGACCGGACGAACAACCTGCCCGAAGCAATGCAGAAGATGCAGGTGAGCTGGGCCGCGTTAACGCCGTCGCTTCTGAGCCGCATGGATGCCAGTGCCCCGCCCTCGAGCCTTAGGTCTCTGGTTCTGGGTGGTGAAAGCATGAGTGATCAGGACTTCCAGCGCTGGACGGCCACAAGTCAGGTCCAGCTGATTCAGGCCTATGGGATGAGTGAACATGCCGGCCTCCCGTGTCCCAGTCCTCTATCTATGATCCCACGATGCGACCTCAAAGCCTTTCCCCCATCGCTAATCGTACGCCAGTGGCTGGTCAACCCTACAAACCACCAAAAACTGGCCTCCATTGGGGTAGTGGCCGAACTACTTCTTGAAGGGCCCAGCTTGGCGCGAGGGTATCTGGATAACGCTGATGCAACCGCCTCGGCGTTCATCGAGGCTCCAGAGTGGCGTCACCACCTGCAAGCAAAGCTCGACGGGACCACTCCTGCACGCATGTATAAAACAGGCGATTTGTTCCGCTACAAGGCAGACGGTAGCATTCAGTATGTCGGTCGGAAAGGAACAATGGTCAAGATACGCGGCCAGCGACTGGACCTCGGCGAGATCGAGGCGCATGCGCGGACGGTCTGTCGCGATGGGGTCCAAACTATCGCCGAGTCAGCCATTCCTGCCAATGGCAAGGATATTCCAATCGTGGCGCTATTCCTCCACTCGTCGGATTATAAACCGAAGAGGGAAGCGGCGGATAGCGCAGGCGCCCCCCTGTTGCTCGCGACTGCGAGCCCGGACTTCTTCTCGGACGTCAAACGTATCCGAGCACGCCTGGAATCCCTTCTTCCCAGCTACATGCTTCCTAGTGTCTATCTACCATTGGCCCGGGTACCCTCCACTTTGACGGGCAAAGTCGCGAGACGGAGTTTGTGTGAGGCGGTGCAGCAGCATTCTCGCGAAGCACTAGAAGCTTACCAAGGGGAGGGGGCCAGATTGGTCATGCCGGTCTCTGAAACAGAGAGGAAGCTTCATTCGTTATTTGGAGAGGCTCTAAACCTGGACCCGACGAATTTAGGGGTCGAGCATGATTTCCTGAGACTGGGAGGAGACTCTTTAGCGGCTATGCGAGTGGTGAACCTCTCCAGACCGTACCAGTACGCCCTCACAGTCGCAGATATCTTGCAGCAGAGAACAATCGCAAATTTGTCTCAGCTTCTAGCAAGGCGCCAGTCAGATGACTCTGGCAGCGAGAAGGAGCCCACTCCGGACCCCCACGTCGAAGTCATCCAGCCTTTGCTCGCAAAGATCAAACTGCATAGTGCAGATGTGGAAGACGTGTGTTGGTGCTCCCCTGTCCAGGAAGGCATGTTGTACAGTCATGCTCGCTTTGCCAAGATGTACCACACGCGTGCGATCTGGGAAGTAGCTGCAACACAACCACACCATCCTGTCGATATAGGACGCTTGAAACGCACCTGGTCCAGGCTATCCGCCCAGCACCCAACGCTCCGGACTGTCCTTTTTGAGGTTGCCTCAGAGGGAAAGCTGGCCTTGCAGGTGGTTCTCAAGCCAACCGTGCTGGGCGTGGGAGTCGCAGATGATGTAGTCATGCTCTCTTCGCCAAATTCACTGCCAGATGAACCGCCTGTGCCACCGCGCGGAGGGATGGATTGGATCCCAAAGTTCCAGGTCTATCAGACCCCCAACGACGACACAATCTACTGTGTTCTCGACATCCACCATACGCTGATGGATGCGTCCTCCATAGCAAATCTTGGACGAGCGTTTACCCGATTGTACAACAACGATGGAGCGAAAGAGCGTGCCTTATTGGAGCCTGCAGCCTCGTACACAAGATTCGCCCGTTATCTCTCCCGCCACCTGAGAGAGTCCACGCTTGCATACTGGAAGTCCTACCTACAAGGGATCCCACCCTGTATCTTCCCCCGGCTTCGACCCGAAGGCGCCGAAGAGCCAGTTGGCGGGCGAAGGGCGTCGGTATGTCTTGCGGCGATTCAGCATAAATATCAGCAATTTTGCCACGAAACCGGCCTGACCGTGGCGAGTTTATTCAAGCTGGCATGGGCGCTCGTGTTGCGCAGCTTCACGCAATCCAACGACGTGGCCTTCACCTACCTGACCATTGGGCGTGACGTGCCGCTGGACGGGGTGGAGGAGGCGGTTGGCCCCTATCTCAACACCCTTATCTGCCGTGTGCAGTTTGATCAGCAGACTTCCTTGCAGCAGACGGCGCAAGATATGCAAGCTGAGTTCATTCGGGGACTCTCCTATCAGCAGGTCAACCTGCCTGCTCTGTTTGATGCGTTGAACCTTGTCGGGGACTGTGGCTTCAACACGGCCATCAACTTCTTGCCAAACTTCGACCAGGAGGAAGACACAGAGCACAAAGGCTCTGATTCCATTAGAATGAAACTACATGGCATCAAGGGCCCAAGTGAGGTAAGCTACGTCCCTTCTTTGCTTCAATGGCTAGTACTTGCTGACTGGGGGTGGGGCGCGCAGCATGACATGATTGTTCTCGTCTCTTCAGCCCAGCCCGTCCTCGAATGCTTCCTCGGATATTGGGCACGCTATATGACCGAAGAGCAAGCTGCCAGTGTGGCGGCTGCGCTGAGTGTGGCGGTGACAAGCATTGTCCAGACGCCTAGCCAGACTATCGGTGGTGTTGAGCTCTTCAGCGATCACTTTGCGCCGGAGGTCGAACGCTGGAATCAGTGTACTGCCTTGAGCGAGCCCGATCGTCTTTACGAAACGATGCAACAGCAATGTCAGCTCCACGCTGACAAACCGGCGGTGGATGCCTGGAACGGCTCCCTCACTTTTGGTGAGCTGGACTGCTTCTCGTCCCTCCTCGCCGCGCGACTGAAGGCAAACGGCATAGGACCGGGTGACTTTGTACCATGCTGTTTTGATCGGGGAAAATGGACGCCGGTGGCCATGCTGGCTATTATCAAGACTGGGGCCGCATTTTGCCTGCTTAGTCGAGAGCACTTAACATATCTGGCGGAAGTGTGCCAGACATTAATGGCCCAGGTCGCGTTAACGAGCCGTGACGATGCTAATATAGCCTTTCAATCGGCTGACGTGAAAGCCTTGACTATCGAAGAAATTGAAGATGAACCCCCGATAGCAGCTGCCCCGACGTGGTCGGCTGTGACTAACCTCTCATGCGCCATCTTCATCCCTCCCGGCTCGACGAGCAAGAGCTTCAATATAACCAGCAAAGACCTCCGCACTCTCTGTCCTACCATGGTAGAGTCCTCATCTGGCTTGGGCCTGCACCCGCACGATCGAGCAATACACTTGGCTTCCGCTGCGGAGGATACCAGCGTGATGGAAGTGCTGGGCTCTCTGGCCGTCGGCGCTTGTCTCTGTATCCCACGCGAACGAGACATTAGGGTCGAGCAGCTCTCGCACATTTTCGCCACTTTTGAGCCGACGTGGGCTATCCTGACACCAACCATTGCTCGTCTACTCCTGCCTCGCGGCGCTCCATCGCTCAATACCCTACTGCTTGCCGGCGAGGCCATTCGCCCGTCAGATCATGACACGTGGGGGGCGCAAAACACGACTCTCATGCACCTCTACCGCCCGGCTGCCGGCGCAGGTACTCTTCTGGGCATATCCAAGGTGATTGAACGCTCCGACCCCAATCTCCTCGGAAACGCGCCAGGGTCGCCGGTCAGGGCCTGGATTGTGGAACCTCACAACGCCAACAACCTAGCACCGCTCAACGCAGTTGGGGAGCTGGTATTCAGCATCCCTCAACATGATGATGGTGCATTCGAAGCATTGGCCACCCGGCCACCCTGGCTGCCTCGATTCCCGGCCAGCAGTAACCAGACCCATGTATTCCGCTCGGGCCATTTGGCCGAATATACCAGCACCGGCAGTATCCGGCTCCTTGGTTTCAACGAGAACCCAATCCCCAAAGTCCTCGGTCGCCGCGTGAATCACGCGGAGACGGAAGCCCACGTCCTCGCCGCGTTACCACCCGGTACCGCACGGATGGTCAGCGTCGAAACTATCAGGCAGGACAATGGGGAGGTTGTGCTCGCCGCCTTCATCTTCGCCACGGGGAGCACAGTGAGCTCCAGCACGTTGGCTGACCCTAACGAATTGCTATACGACGACAAGGATGGCACCGTCGGCTCATCTTCAGACTTCATCACCGCAGCCCGTACCCTCCAGCAGACCCTCCCCCGCTGGAAGATCCCCACGCTCTTCCTCCCGCTCCAACGCATCCCCTTAACCGGCCGCTGCGGCGCCATCGACCGCGCATGCCTCCGGCAGCTCATGGCTGCCCTGCCACTGGTCAAGTTACAGCAGAGTCAATCTCTGGCCCCAGCTACTGAACTCCAGCACCAACTCCAACAAGCGTTTGCCCAGGTCCTCGGCATTCCTGTGGGCCGCGTGGGCCAAGGCTCGGACTTCTTTGGGCTGGGAGGCACCTCTGTTAAGGCGATGGAGTTGGTGGCGGCGGTACGAAAGGCGTCAGGAATTCAATTGCGTGTCGCGGATGTGTTTGCAGGCCCCGTCCTGCGAGATTTAGCGGCGCGGGTCGGGGGGCTTGAGAATTGAGAATTGAGGGGGCTGATTGGACTTTTCTTTTGTGTTTGATGTTGATCTCTGAGGCACTTTCTGGGGGGGGGTGTTTTCGTGGGCAGGTTGCTTGCTTTCTTGGAGGTAGGACGAGAAATTGATGAGAAATCGATTACAGGAGTTGTGGATGGCTATGGTGAATTGGACCGAGTCAGGTGACTGGGGCATATATCTCAGTATGCCTGACTGGCTTGTTCTCGTCAGATCCTTGTCATAAGCGTGCTTACTGTGAAAGCTCGAAGGGATGAGTAAATAATTTTCATTTAATCAAATGATTTCACGCTATCCGCACAGTATATACAAGTACACTGGCTTGCTAGTCGTAGACTACCGTGCCCCAAGAAGACCCTCCCTCAACTCCGCCCGCGCTTGTTCCAAGAGCTCAGGATTCGTGATCATGTCCCACCCAAGCAAAGCCAGGGCCTTGCCTACCCGGATAGCCTCCTGGTGGGCGATGTCGGTGCCCGCCGCTTCCGTGTACGAGGGATGGTGCGGGACGCACCCGGGGGGCGCGTTGATGGAGAAGAAGCTGTGCAGCGTGGGCAAAACATAGCTGACATTTCCTGTGATGAAAGACATACGAGTCAGCATAACTGTATCGCCCCTTATGAGCCTGCCACAGCAACCTCTAGAAGGAGACAGAATGTGAGACTTTTAACGTAGGGAAAGCGTACCGGCATCCGTCGATCCTGTCAGAACCTCATCCGCTTTCACCACCACCTCCCGCCCATAGCGCTTCATATGCGCCTGGTACCGCCGACACAGCGTCTCATTCAGCAGCACATCCGTGTACGCCTCCCCATCTTCCTCTTCGACGGCCACCGCCTCACACCCCGCCGCCAGGGCTCCGGCCTCCACACACCGCCGGACCTTACTCACCAGCGCGCGCAGGCCCGCCATTGACGGACTCCGCACCTGCCAGCACGCTTTGGTTGCTGCGGGAATCACATTCGCGACTTTGGGCGTCTCCAGGATCGCGCAGTGGATCCGCTCCTCCGGCCGCAGCTGCTGCCGCAGCAGGCTCACGTTGTTGTAGGCGCTGACCAACGCGTCGAGCGCGTTGCGCCCCTCCCACGGCGTGGCGCCCGCGTGCGTCTCCGCCCCGCGGAACTCGATGGTGAGTTGTTGTCGCGCTGTCATGGGCATTCCTGCTACTCCGTCGGAGGGCAGGGAGGCGGGGCCTCCGTGTCTGTTTCGTAGGGTTAGTGTCTGTCGCTCCGCATGGTTCCAAGGAAAACCCCTCCCCAATGAAGAAAGAAAGGGAAGAAAGGAAGAGAGAACGAGGCCTGGGAGAGGAACGGGGATAAGGAATACACACCCCATCAACGAAACCGCGACCCCGTCATACGCCCCCGCCCGGAGAAGCTTTACCTTCCCTCCCCCGTTCTCCTCGGCGGGTGTGCCGAGTAACTGTGCCCGGCCTCGGATGTTTCGGTGACGCAGCAGGGAAGAAAGCGCCAGGAAGGCGGCTACGCTGCTCGTCGCGATGAGGTTGTGGCCGCACGCGTGGCCGATTCCGGGGAGGGCGTCGTACTCTGCGTTGAAATTGATCGTGGTCGGTGGCTCGTCATGACTAGCACCATCTTGGGTCGAGGCTGTTTCCGATACCGCTTCAAACGCCGTGGCCAGCCCGTAGGCCTGCCGGGTGACCACAAATGGGTGTGGCTGGGTTTCGAGAAAGGTGCAGAGAATGTCATGGGCGGGGTGCTCGGTGAATGCGGCTTCGGGGTGAGACCAGATCTGTTCCTTGGATGTCAGTGCCGTTGACTGAGGGGGGTGGGCAAGGAGACAACGAAGGAGTTGGTTGACTTGCCTGGTGGTTTAAATCGCGGAGTTGCTGGGAGACGCTGTCGAGCGTGGCATCGACAATCTGGGCTGCTTCTGTTATTGACAGTGCGGGAGATGTGGAGCCCATGGTTGGTGGCTTGGTTAGCTTGGTCAATCGAAGAGTTGGGACACTGGCCTCGAGGAGAGGAAGGGTTGGGCGTATCTGATTGATAAAAGAATTTCTGGATGTTCTTGGCCGAATTGGGCGGAGATGTGCTCCGAATGCAAACATTCCGTTTCCCAGCGTCTCATTCCGCCCGACGCAGCGTTACAGAGGGTCGATGTGGGGCTCATAGTTCTGGGTCTTCGCTATCGTTCTTGTTTAGACTGGTTTCTCGTACCCCAGACCCGGTCTAGACCTCTTTTTAGATTAGGATTAAACTGAAGCTTCGATCATCTCGGGCTGTATCTCACCGTGTAAAATCCTTTCGCCTCGCTTCTATAGATTGATATGAATCAGTTAGAGGGATGTACTCTTTCGATTGATTATCCAATTTACCAACTGTGTCGTCGCATCGCGTCTCAAAGGAGTCATCTTGCCATTTTGATCTCAACCTCCAAATTAGATACATCAGAAAGGGACCAAAGTCTCCACTTCATTTTGAAACTACCAGAACTACAAGCCACCCTCAATCGCTGAGGTATATGTGCGATAAGCTTCATGTGCAAACAAAACACTGTCGAAATCATACCACATTCATCTGGTCAACTGGTTTGCACTCATGACAACAACAACCAACACCGGGAAGCCCCTTCCGAGGGAGGTCCGACCATGTGCGCCCTTGCCCAATCTGTCCCATTGCCGACGTATACTGGAGGATAACGAGAGACAGAAACTCTTCTCCAACAACCTCTCATCAGCCATATCTCTCCAACCATATAGCTGCTCTTATTAGGCAGACTTAATTACCACTATCCTTCCGCCGGTATTGCCACTCCTTCACAACCCGAAATCAGCATGTCCGGCTCAACGTCTCGAGACTCCTCTCAATACTTCTTTGCCGGCTCAATCCCAACGTACAACAAAGTGACGAGAAAGTCCACCAATCACTTAGGCATCTACAGCGGCCTACCCGTCGACGTCGGTTGATCTCCGAGGGTCGAATACATTGTGGATGACCCTCACGTCTCGCGAAGACACCTCCAGATCTACACTGTCGTCTACGACCCGGATGAACCCAGAGACGTGCTCCCGCTCGTCTACGCCAAGGATCTCTCTTTGAACGTCACCAGGTGGAATGGCTCCCGCATGGGCCTTTCAGGAGGTAGCTTCCTGCTTACCGACGGCGATATACTCGATTTCAGCCACGAGACTCAGCTCGTGTTCAACCATCCCGGCCACAGCGCCCAGGATACTGGCCCTGATGTGGAACAAATGGCGGCGATGTCGCTTATGAGCTGCGAGTTAAAGTTCACCAGCCGGAAGCTGGGGCCTGGGGGGTACGGCACAATCTACATGGTCTACCGACGAGACAACGGACGCCAACTTGCATGCAAGGTACAAGGCATCCGGCCGATGAGGAAAGGAATTACCATGACAATAAAAGAGGAATTCGAGAGCAAACAGTGCCTTGCGCTAGAAGATTGCGATTCTGCCGTTCAACAAACGTTTCAAGATGAGGTTAAGAAGAGACTGGATCAGAAATTGGAGGTCATGCGGCAGGAGGCTTTGATTTTGAAGGATCTTTGCCATGTAGGCTCATACCCCCTTTTGAGAAAACTTTGGGGCAGAACGACTGACTCGTTCATAAGCCCAGTATTATCAGCCTTCAAAAGTTCGCGTATTCAAACAATAACTTGTGAGTAGCGATGCCCTTAAACCTCCGCCACCCCCCCCCCCAGTCAAGCATTAACGACAATGACTTACAAATTCCGGGAACGATAAATAAAAAGCTATCTCTTCCAAGATCTCGTCAGGGGAGGTGACCTCTATTCCTATATTCGGCAAAATCGCGGAACACTTGAGAAAATGGAGGCTGCGGGAATTGTACGCCAGGTTCTCAGGGCAATCGATTACCTCCATGACCATAACATTGTCCACCGCGATGTGAAACCTGATAATATATTAATGACCACTATGGGCCCTGGAGACCGGGTCGTTCTCGGTGATTTTGACTGCGCCGTTCGCGTGGAGCCAGGAGACACGATATCAGGAATAGCGGGTACAATGGCGTATCAGGCTCCGTAAGCCAACCCCTTTCAGGGACTCAGTTACTATAAATGAGGGATAACCGAGAAGGAAAGTGAATTGGCCAAGGGACGCTGCACCAAAGCCATCGATATGTGGTCCCTCGGTTGTGTGGCAGCCATTCTCCTCACGGGGCAAATCACATTCGATGCGTCTTCATTACCGGCTCTCTCCGATGCACATGAAGTCCGAGACCGTGCTCGGGAGTTTCTCAGTGGCCTTCTCGAGCTGAACCCAGAGACTCGCATGACCGCCAAGCAGGCTTTGCAGCATGAATGGTACACTAATCGGTCGCACAACACTGGTTTGAAAAACTGTATGTTCGGGCAACCAAGAAATAGACCCCTCAGATCCCGGCCAACCAGATTGTTCCCCTTTCCTACTACACCTCGACGATATCCGAAGACGACGAGTAAAGCGTGGCCGAGGATGACATCGCTACGATTTCTGACTCGGGTTCTGAGGAAGCCGAGAAGGCGGAAAGTATACGGCAGATTACGACCATTAAGAATCACCACATAATACAGTGGGCTTCTCGTGCCAATTTGCAATAACCCCAACTCTGCCGGTATTTAGATGCCATCTTTCTAAGCACCGGATACATGAATCCTTTTTACTCGATTCTTTTTTAAAAGCCATCTAACTATAAGATATATTAGGATTATTAGGGCTATTAGGACTATTAGAGTCTTAAAATTCAGACCGAAGATATTATTATATTAGGGTTCTTTATTAGAAAATATTGTGAAGAATTTTTAATATCAGGGTCATGTTGGGTACCTAGTAGTTACGCGGTCTATTGAACATAAAGCTTTTAAGAACAGCAAAGTTACTAGGGAAATGGGTATTGCAAATTGGCACGAGTCGCTTGCCGTACATAAGATAGATTGTGCAACTAGACTATAGAACTACTAGTATACCCCCCCCCCCCAACACAGCTTATGTAGCCAGGCTTCCATAGCTATCTAGGGGTGGGCCGATATGCAAGGCAGCCGCCGCCATAGAGGTGCAGAATATTCAGAGGGTGAATATTCTTTACCCGGCGTTCACAGACACAATATATCCTACATACGCGGTCTTATAAGCTAGGACTCTAATAGTTAATACGGGAGAATCAGCCGCGCGGCTGTCTCCACCAGTCTCCCCTTCTCGCCTATCCAAATGCGGTATCTCTTGCGGTATCTGGTCCTTGCGTGAAGGTACTGTTGAAAAAAAAGATATAAAGTACGTAGAAAATGTCCTGTCAATTATTCCCCCGACCAAAACAGATCTACTTCTTCGCTTTCTTCCTTTTTCTCACATATCTCCAACATGCAGCTTCTTTGTCTGCTCGCCAGCTGCATCGCAGCAACCAATACTGTTTTCGCCTGGGACATGAACGCCTGGCACGGCACGGAGTGTGGCGCGGCAGGGGGTGCCGAAGGATACGAGGTTGCCGACTACACTTCCACGGGCTGCTTCAACTTCGACATGGAGGACGGATACCGCATCCACTCGGTCAAAGCCGTCTTCAGTGATAGCAAATACAAGATCACCATCTACCCCAAATCCGACTGCGAAGCCGAAACGTTGTGGCCTGGCATTGAGCTGACCACCGAGACTTGTACGGTCTTCAAAGAATGGACGACAGATGAGGTCATCTATTCGTACAAAGTCACTGCGGTCTAGATGAGCACACACCTCGCAGGGGGTTTCCTCTGGCTTCCGACCTACGGATGAATCTTCAATTCCGGCAAGAATTTTTCCTGCATCGATTCTCAGCAAGGATCACGCAGAGACCTATTTGCTTGTCTTTATGCCATCTTAGTGTTGGAGAGGGGCCGCTTGTCATTTGCTTTTGTTTCCTATGGTTTCTGATTATTGATTTTCATTTTGTTTTCTCCTACAAGAGTTCCGCACCTTTCCCTGTTACTGGTCAGTCATTGAGGCATCTGTGGGGCGATTCATCACACTCTCGCCGTGGAAGTGGCTGTTCTGACATGATACAGGCCGCCGTATGGTATACACCTCCTAAGCGCGAGGTCATTTGGCTCGGTTTGATCGCGTCAAGACTTGGTATTGCAGGGTCTGCCTTACATGACGATCCAAGGCGGCATTGGATTGCATTGGCACTTTGCCTGGCTCTAGAGGTAGGTCACGCGCCCCGCTGACCATGTCTCCGCAAATTCAACCGCTTCACTGGCTGATTGATAATGTGAGCTGAGCAGCTCAGATGCAGCTACAACAGGCATCACGAAACACACAATTGCTTCAGCACATTCGATGACACAAATGTGCGCCTCATGTCGAAAAAGAGCATGCGTGATACGCTGGTGCCGCGGACAGGGTTGCACGAGGAAGATGCGGTGGGTGCAAGTATGGCTGCTATGCTGAAAAAAAAGTCGCTGGCACTTGGGAAAACTACATTTTTGTGAGCAGGGGGATAACACACATGCAATGTGATTGATGTTCACTGCGCTTTCCTGGGAATGATACGATTATCCAAGATAAGGAGATGCTCACTCCCTAAGTCGAGTTCTACACATCTTAGGTGGAAACGCCATTTGGCATAATCTATCCACTTTCAGCTTAAATTATTGTCTCTTTCACCTGATTCACCACATCACTTAAGTATAGCATCGTCGTCGAGGAAGCTCAGTACTTGACTACTACTATAATTTTCTCTACATATATGACAATAAGTAATCACTAACTCTAAACGGCTTGATTCTCTCACTATATCAGATCTTAAAAGCCCTCCCTCTTAGCAGATAAGTTGAGGATGGAGTGGGTGTGATACGAGGTATTTGCTGCTCCAGGAACCGGAGCCGCGGCTCGGACCCCGAATTATTTTGTACGGATAAGATAAGCCTCGGTTGTACTGGAATCCTGCCGATTGGTTGGCGGGTGGTCTTTTCCTCTAGGCAGCACTCGTCCTACCTTTATTATTAAAAGTAAGATGCACAAGGTAGGTTTATGATGGCGAATATGAATCCTGACATGTTGACAGAAGCTAGCTCATTGGCATACATACCAAGTAATAACAACGTCTGTTCTTTCGCTTCGGTTGTCATTCAAGTGGAGATGCAGATCTTGCTTCCTCAAGAACCCCACCCGTTGACCCAACGCGGTGGAAAATGGACCCTTGGTACCTTGGCGCAAGAACAAGATCTATGCCTACACCTGGACTTCAGTTGTTGCAGTATGAAATAAGCCCAAGCATCAAGAATAATGCGTGTCCACGTGCCTTGCGCATTGACCTTTTTGTGGCTTGTATTCAGTGTAACCCTGTGACAGTTTGATTTCTCTACTTGTGTATACCTCGGCCTGGCAACCCCATCAACCAACTGTTTATGTTGAACTATGTACACTGCCTTCCCACATGGCATAATTGATCAATTCTGGAGAAGTATATACTGACAAAAGGAAGTCAGAAAACCAAAATCATGCTCAATCTTTCCAGGCTGGATGCACTACTGGACATAAGTATATAACCTCCCCCTCTCGGCCGAATACTCGCCATAGTGGACCCTGGATTGCTCATTTCCCAGCTCGATGCTTGGATCTCCCATCCCGCCCACAACACCCTCCGCCAAGCACAACTTCCCAGTTTCTTACTGCAACAACCCCCTTCAAGTTACCCATAATATATCCCTCTCCCTCCTCGCCGCGGAGAATCAAGCCTCCAATTAGCGGGGCGGATATGCAATCACGCCAACTGTGCCAACGATGGTGTAGAGGCATACATCATGTATGCACCAGGGTATATCATCACCCACACCAGGTTGCAACTCTCCTCAGTGAACCGGGGTTCCAGACTGCTTCCTCAGAGACACCACAATCTGCACCATGACAGAGCCCGCCGGGGAGAAAGCCGTGGACGTTCATCCGACCACGCAACCCCAAGCCCCCGAGAACCCCAGCAGCGACAGCAGCATCGCCGAACATGCAGGCGTCAACGAAAAGGCGCTGCTCCGCAAACTGGACTACCGACTTTTGCCCCCGTTGACAATTTTGTATCTGCTGTCGTTTCTCGATCGGAGCAATGGTAAGCTATTATCTGACGATTGCACGCCTGTGTGATATGGCTAATGGTCTGACTCGGAATAGTGGGAAATGCCCGGCTGGAAGGCATGGGCACCGATCTCGACATGTGTAGGCTACCCAACCCTCTTCAATTGACTCTACTCGAACCCTAGGGCTGCGTACTGACTCTCGCGCAGCAGGAGACCAGTATCTCACCGGCCTGACGCTCTACTTCATCGGCTACGTGCTGTTCGAAGTGCCGTGTAACATCATCCTGAAGAAGACCACCCCTCGGACCTGGCTGCCGACGCTCACGCTGGTCTGGGGCGTTGTCGCGACGCTCTGCGGCGTGGTGCAGAACTACGCCGGGTTTTTGGTGTCGCGATTGGGTAGGCACTGCCTCTGTTGACAGACCTAAAAACAGATCCTCAGGCTAATCCAACTCTATACAGCCCTCGGAATCGCCGAGAGCGGCCTCTTTCCCGGCGTAGTCTTCTATCTGAGCATGTGGTACAAGCGCAACGAGCAACACTACCGCGTCGCGCTGTTCTTCAGCGCCGCCTCGCTGGCGGGCGCCTTTGGGGGGATCCTCGCCTGGGTAGGTCATCACCACCTTGCCTTCACCCTTCACCCATAGGCCCCCAGAACTAATCGAAACCAGGGAATCGCCCACATGCGCGGCGTAGGAGGCTACAACGGCTGGCGATGGATCTTCATCCTCGTGCGCACCCCCCCTTTCCCCTTCCCCCTTCAACTTGACTTACTCCTGATAAATGTACAGGAAGGCTTCCTGACCATCCTAACGTCCCTGGCCGCCTACTTCTGGGTCTTCAACTACCCGTCGAGCGCCGAGTTCCTCACCGACCAGGAACGGAGCTACATCCAGCACCGGCTCAAACACGACAGCGACGCCACGCGCCACGAGACCTTCAGCTGGAACGCCGTGGGCCACGCCTTCCGCGACCCGAAAGTGTGGTTATACGGACTAGCCTTCCATACCCTGTCGCTGCCGCTGTACACGCTGTCTTTGTTTATGGTAGCCCGCCCCTTAAACCTTTCCTCTTCCCGCCCTTCACTCAACCCAACCCTGATATCACTTATAACTAACACCCGCAAAAAGCCAACAATAATCCAAACTCTAGGCTACACCGCCGCGCAAGCCCAGCTCCTGACCGTCCCGCCCTACGCCGTCGCCTTCTGCCTAACAGTCACCACCGCCGTCCTCAGCGAACGCACGCGCCGCCGCGCCCCCTTCATTCTGGGGAGTACGGCCCTCGCGTGCCTGGGCTATATTCTACTGTTGACCGACCCCCGCCCCAGCGTGTCCTACGTGGGGACCATCTTCGCCGCGGCGGGCATCTACCCGGCCGTGGCGATCGTGTTGGCCTGGCCGGCTAATAACGTCTCGGGCCAGACGAAGCGCGCCATCGCCAATGCGCTGCAGATCTCCATCGGGAACCTCGGGGCCGTGCTGGGCACGCAGCTGTATCGGACGGAGACGAAACCGAGGTATTTTTTGGGGCATGGGTTTGCGTTAGGGTATTTGGTGGGCAACTTGGGGGTTGTCGGGGGGTTGTGGTGGGTTTTGAGGCGGGAGAATTTGCGGAAAGAGGGGGTGAGGGGGCAGGGGGGTGGTGGTGGGGTTGAAGGTGGGGATGGGTTTGAGGGGGCGGAGTTCCGCGGGGATGAGGATCCGCGGTGGGTGTTTCAGACTTGATTTCTACATAGTATGTTCGGGTTATGTTATGGGGGAGGATGTGTATGACTATAGGCTGGGCTTATACGTAATAAGTTTGTAGGGCAATGTGCGCGAGATACCCTAAACACCAACACCACCACCACCACCACCACCACCATCATCACCACCCTGCATCGTGATTTTCCTGGGATCACCCACATCAACCACCCGCCCGCGCTCCAGCACAACAACCCGGTCATAATCCCTGATACTCTCCACCCGATGCGCCACCGCCAGCACCGAGCACGACCGGAACGGCTCCTCCCGTAGCAGCGTCTGCACCCGCGTCTCCGTCTCCCGATCAACATGGCTCGTCGCTTCATCCAACAACAAAACCTTGGCGCCGCTGCGCTGCAGCTTGAGAATCGCCCGCGCGATCCCGAGCAACTGCGTCTGGCCGCGAGAGAGCGTGTCGGCGCTGAGCTCGGCGTCCAAGCCCCCGCTGCGTTCGGCGAGCACGCCATGCCAGAGGCCCACGCGGTCCAGGGCGGCGATGATCTCTGCATCGGGATGGCAGTTGCCGGGGGTTGGGTCGGCGTTGAGCCGGACGGTGCATCCGGCTAGAATGAGGGGTTCTTGGGCGATGGTGACGAGGTGTTCGCGGACGGTCTCGCGCGAGATTTGGGATAAGTCGACGTCGTCGATTAGGATTGAGCCGCTCGTTAGGTCGAGCATGCCGAGGATTGCGCCTAGGAGGGAGGTTTTGCCGCTGTTGGTTGAAGGGGGTTTGTGAGAAATGGACGCTGTGGGGTCGAGAGCTGGATGGGATAGATAGTGAATGCACTAGAAGGATAGGACTGACCTGCCGGTGCGACCACAGATTCCGATCTTTTGTCCGGGTCGTATTTTGAAAGACACGTCTTTTAGAGTGGTGGTTGTTGGACTGCATAGGATGTCCATCAGTAACCCTTGCCCTAGTCAAAACCTTGGGTGTTCGTACTTGTACTGCGCTGTTACCGCCTTGAACTCGATCGCGCCGCGGTCGGGCCAGGAAGCTGGAACGGTGTCGTTGTGATGGGTGTCTTCAAGCTGAGTTTCCCGTTCGAAGTCTTTGATGCGGGCAATAGAACCGAGCGAGATCTCAAGCTGCGTCCAGCCCGTGATCAATGACGAGAGGCTCTGGTTGAATGCTTCACAGCGCAGGTATTAACTGCTGGACTTGAAGTAGACATAGGGGAACAAGAAGGTAGACATACAGAGAATGTTGTTGAGCGAGACACCCAAAAGTCCAATGCTAGTCGCTGCCCTCAGGTTGACGGCCAGACTCACAAGGAGAACCGCTTCGGCAGCAACAATCAGGTCTAAGACCAGAGCGAGCCACCTTTGAATGCAGTACAGCAAATAATACGGCCGCTGAGATACATCTAAAAGCTTAGAGCTCTTCTCAGAGAACCTCTTCTGCCAGCCGAAAGCCTGGATTGTACTGAGGCCATTCATAGTATCCATATAATGAGAATATAGCGGGCTCCTGCTTTCTAGATCGAGAAGTCGAAGCTGTCGCGATGTCTTCAGGTAGTAATGCTGCACAACAAACACTGCCGCAATGAGGAACGGTACAGTGATAGCCATCCAGCTCGAGCCGGTCGCAATGAGTGCAGCAGCAGCGATCGCGGTGAAAAGGTCTATACGTTGTCAGTATGCTATCCTGGCAGTTATAGTTTTCTTTCCGCCCGCTGGGGGTTGCCTGCATAACGGTGACGGCTTACTTGAAACCGTGACCAGAAGGCCAACGGGTAGTTGACTCTCAATTAAAGTCATGTCTTGGCTAAATCGATTCAGAAGTGCGCCACTATCCATGGTTGCAAGCGTAGTTGAAGACGCTCTGACGCCAGTTAGCGAGGGATAACCTGGAACAAGGCATCGAAGCACATGTACATACCCCATGACAGTCTTTAGGACAACATAGTGAAGCTTGCGTGCGGTGGATGGCGATATGAGTATCAAGATTGCCCTAGCTTCAGGTGAGCTCACACACCATAGAAACCGTGGTGCAGCTGACTTACCAGACATAACCACCCATACATATGACTTCTAGTATCGCCAACATAACGTAGACTGTCACGTATAGTGCTCTCTGTTCTCCCCCTCGGCTGGTCCATCTCTCCAGCCATATCTCTAGAAGCAAAGATTAGCGGATAAGGTGGTAGGACTGGAGGTAACGTACGGCTGAAGGTACTGCAGAAAACATTAAGAATCACGAAAAGAATGAAGAGCAGAGAACTCGAGCAGCCAATTGAACGCAGATAATATTTATACACTTGACAGTCACCTGTTGACCGCTTCAAGTCACTGAGCTGATTATCCTTGGCTATCTGCGCCGCATCCTCCTCAGGCATGAGGATATTGTTTTCTCTGCCACCCCTAGGCGTGCCTATCGTATCATGATCAGACGGCTCGGGAGAAACATTATCTCCACAGTCATCCTCTTCAAGTGAGCCATTAGAAATGACTAGGGTCTTGTCGGCATAAGCAAGAGATGCAGCTAGAGAAGCGTCAACCACAAAGCCAGCGAAGTCAACGGTTGCCATACTGCACTTACTGTCATGCGTGATGAGAATCACTGTCGAATTGAGCTTCCGAAAAACACCCCTTTTCCCAAACAACCGTTCTAGTATCAGACTCTTGGTATCTGTGTCCAATGCACTGAGAACGTCATCCAAGAGAACAAGATCCTTTCGAGCATATACTGCCCGAGCCAGAGCGATACGATCCATTTGTCCGCCGCTCAATCTAGCACCCAAGCCACTGCCGATCTGCATGTCATCTCCTTCGAAGATAAGGTCTAGGTCCTCGTCGAGAGCACAGGCGTGAAGCACAGCTCTGTACCACTCGTGATCGATACTCTGCGAGTTTTCCTTCTCTGTTGTAACTAACCCACATATTGCGTTGCGTATGGTGGTGTTTGGCAACCACGTTCTCTGCGCACAATAAGCTATGCAACGAGTGGTCAAACTCACCGACCCCGTCTCGCAAATAACCTGGCCAAGAATAGCTCTGAGAAGAGTAGATTTCCCTGATCCCACCGGTCCGCGGATAGTGAGCATCGCACCCCGAAGTACCTCAAGGTTGATTTGGTTCAACAAAATTTTGCCCTCAGGAGCCGGGCGGATGCTAGCATTTTTAAAAGCCACAACCACAACTAGAGAGTCTGTGGTAGTAGGATTGACAGTGAGCGATGGGGTCTGTTCCGCAGCCTCAGGTATCGATTCGGTACAGGCATGGTCAATCGTCATATTGTCTTGACTGTCGTGCAATAGGTGATTTTCGGCAGGAATCAGAAGAAAGCTTTGAATCCTATCGAAACAACCCAATGAGGCTGCCGTAGAGGGGATGGCGCTCAGAAGCTTTGCGGCCGGGTTAGTTAGAAGGGTGATTATAGACAGACTGGTGAATGTTTTGCTGAAATTGAGCGAGTGGCCTTGCACAGCAAAAACTGCAAATGTCAGCGCAGGAGCCAATGCCCAGGGTAGGTTCTGGATCATGTTCTGCCACACGATATGCCATCGATAAGAAGACATTTGCTGCGTCTCGCTGACCCGTTTCATCTGGATGATGTCCGTAAAAGCCCTGCTTAACCCCATTCGCTTCACGACTTGGATGTCGGTAAGCATTGCAGTGATGATTGCAAGGCGCTGTTGCACCGCATCCACCCAGGTCTTTTGGCGGTTCCCAATATTCTTTGATATGTAGGTGCAGGCAAGACTAGAGACTGTTATCCATCAGGATTAGTCGACCCCCTTGTCTGCTTGTATTGTGGGAATTACCTACTCATGACGATTATGACAGGAATCGCACTTACCCACCCTAGGCGGAGCGTGAGGAGGGCAATTCCAATGGCTACCTCGAAGATGCGTGCCCAGCATTCATGCAGCTGGACTAAGCACGCAGATATCCGATCAATATCGGTGGTCATTCGAGTGATCGCGGCTGACCGGTCCTCTAGCTTTCCATCTGGAATGTACAGCATATGCTCGTACACCAGCGAGGAGGCTGCTCCGCGGAACATAGTAATGAAGCGATACAGAAGGTGATTGGAGTGAAGGGTGGAGATCGCTAGACCTAGATACACCAGGACTGTGGCGGCAATGAGACCGTGGCCCCCTTCGGTGCTTTGTCCACTGCCAAGCCAATCAAGAAGCCCGGCGATCAGGAAAGGCTGCGCAAAGGTGAAGCCGATCAGACACATCCGTGGAAACACTGCCATTAGCAAAGGCTTCCACAGCGCCTGACATAATTTCCACGGGAATTCAAAACGCCGTGCTGGGATCCTGCGCTGGGCCCAAACACGCTGGGCCCTTTCGCTGACAGTTGCCGAGTTCAGCGCCTGGTCAAGACCATACATATCATCGATTGTTAGTAGCCGTCGTGATCCAACAGTAAACATGTGATTAAGCCACCACATGAATGACCGATTAATGATCCCACTGGTAGATTCAGGGGGTAGATCTCGATACTGTTCTGTCAGGTGCTGTCGCTTCTCAAGACTCTCAAGCAGGAGCATTGCCAACTTCGATCCTACGCTTACTGTGAAGAGCGCAGGAAGTAGAATTGTCTTCGGGGGACGTAGCCATAGAGTGCGGGCCTGGACTATGTCGAGTAGCAAGGTAAGGAGGAGGTATGCAGTGAGAAGTGAAGAAGGTCTGGCCGATCGGCCATCTTCTAACCAGCATAGCACAAGAAGCTCTATTGCGACTATGAAATTGATCGAGGCTGACGGTACCGAGGCTTTGGTCCGAGGTAAATCATGACGAGTCCAGCACACAAGGAGCGCGAGTTGGATTAGAGCAAAAGTCAGGGTCGCGGTCTATCCTTCGTATGAACTTCAAGTGAAGTTGTCTTGGGGATGGAATGGCTTACTAGCTTGACAAACCGTAGCGAGTTGCGCTGGGTTCGTGCATCTTTCTTGATGAGATAGACAGCTCGTAGCGGAGAGGCCAGCAAGAAGGCAACCGCAGGAAGAATCCCGAGGATGCTCTGTTCGAAGAGAAGCGTGAAATCAAAGCCATTGCGACAGCCCAGGGCCACTACAGGCCCAAAGACATTATCTGCATCGAGCGAGCAATTTGATGGAACTGATATTCGATGATCCAACATCGGATTTTGGGGGGGGAGAAGATGGGAAAGACGAAAGGAACAAAGCAGAAAGGAGGGGAAGCCACCTGCCTTGACACCGACTTATTGTATGCAGCATCGCCCGGCTCTTATCGTCGGAGTCCGCAAAGGGTAATTAGCCAGTAATTTAATATCCCTCGAATCACGAGCAACACAGCAGAAGATGCCACAACAACCGCGATTTCTGCTTATGTCTCGACAATGAAATAATTGTGAAGGTGCAACAAGCAAGTCTAGCAAGTCTAGCAAGTAGAATTAATTCGGGAAAAATAATGATTATATTGATTGAGTGATTGCTGCTAGCAGCAGGGCCATCAGGGACCACAAATTGTAATAGTTGTTGTAGTTGTTGTGGTAGTAGTCGTCGTAGTTGTGGTTGTAGTTGTGGTTGTAGTTGTGGTTGTAGTCGTAGCCAAGTTGTCGTTCCAGGGGTATAAAGTTTTGGGGAATCCAGTCCCGCCCAAAGATAGCCGTCCAGCCGATCTTTCATCAACGCCAATTTTCCTTCCCAATCCCAAGTCCCAAATCCCAATGTCCTTCCAATCCCAATAACTCCCAAGAAAAAGAAAGAGAAAGAGAAGACAAGAAAAACAGAAAAGAAGTCAAAAACAGAGAAAACACGCCAGGAACACGCCAAACACATAAAACACACAAAACGCAATGAACGCAACGAACACCACACACACATCACACACATCACACACATCACACACAACACACACACCACACGCAAAACACAACACAAACACAGAATACAATCCATACACATAACGGGATCGTATAATTGGAAATAGGGAAAATTAAATCTAATCTAACACGCGAGCATCTCTATATGCCTCGCAAATAGCCTACGCCGTGTATGTAATGACATTGAACAACTTTTCAAAAGCAAAGCCAATGCCGAAGCGGAAAAAACAAATAGGAAACACAAGATAATCGAGGTCGCCAGTCAGATCTGTGGAATCACAGATATCCTGTGGTTTGCCCGCATATCGTACATCATCCCAGAAATGACCTAGGGTGCCATGACCAAGGCAAGCAGAGCCATGCGGCAGTAGAGGCCATATCTCATCTGTGTTCCAAGTTAGCGGATATTCAAACATATTAGACGGCCAAGCAACACTAACCTGGCGGAAGTAAGCAGCCCGCTGGTCGAAGTCAACTTCCTCCGAGATCTCAGCATTGCGAGGCAAGGGGTGCATGACAACCATGTGGCTCTTGGCGTGCTTGAGAAGAGCGTTGTCAATGACGAAGGTGTTCTTCAGGCGCTCGTACTGCTCGAGATCGGCGAAGCGCTCCTTCTGAACACGGGTCGAGTACAGAACGTCGGAGCGAGCGACAATCTCAGGGGTCAACTCCTCGGACTCCACGACAAGCTGGCCAGAGGCAACAATCTGCTGGCGGACATCCTCGGGCAGAGACAGCTCCTTGGGGGCAACAAGCTGCACCCGGACGTCGTAGAACTGGAGCAACTTGAGCAGAGAGTGGACAGTGCGGCCGTATCTCAGATCGCCGGTGAAGGTGATGGTGAGACCTCCAACAGTTCCAAGCTCCTCACGGATGGTGAAGAGGTCCAAGAAGGCTTGAGTGGGGTGCTCAACGCTGCCGTTTCCGCCGTTGATGACAGGAACGGGGGAGAACTTGGCCGCAATCTCAGTGCTGTTAGCATCAGGGTGACGCAGGACAACAGCGTCTCCGTAGCAAGCAAGAGTGCGCAGAGTATCCTGAAGGGTCTCGCCCTTCTTGGTGGAAGAGTGCTCAGTAGAGATGGCAATCGTCCGTCCACCAAGGCGCTGCATGGCAGCGTCGAAAGAGGCGGATGTTCTGGTGGAAGGCTCGTAGAACAGGGTGGTCAGCAGACGACCCTTGAGAATGTCAAGCACACCCTGGCGCTGAACACCCAGTCGCATCTCCTGGGCCACGGTGAAGAGCAAGTGCAGATCGGCGCGAGTGAACTGGTTCACCGAAAGCACATGCTTCTGCTTGAAGGGAGAGCGAGAAAGCATGTCCATCAAGGAAGAGGAGACCTGAGGGACGGGGGTGTACAGAGGAGGGCCGAGTTCACCAACCACGGGGGCAGCCTGTTCGGCAGCGCGACGGGCTTGGCGCAGAGGAGTGCCGGAGATGGAGAGTCTCCGGTCAAACGAACTCTCCGGGCGAGCGCGAACCATAGGAGACATAGCCTTCACAGACGGGGAAGCAGGGGCAATCCGGTGAGTAGACATGTCAACTCCCTTGGGGGCGTCGGAGGTGAGCGCGCCATCGAGGCAAGAGGTCTTGCCTTGGAACGTCACACGCTGCACAGCACCACGGACGTTCTTGCCATTGAGGGGGGACCAGCCATGAGGACTCTGGAAAGTGTAAGGGCGGTCAATCTCGATTTCAACCGAGCTGTCGGCCTGATCGTGGATCTCGAAGATCTTCTTAGGGTTCTCGTAAAGGCGAGCGATGATGTCCTCGATAGTCAGGCGGCCCTCAGCAACGGCGGTGAACAGCAGAGGCAAGGACTCGGCGACACCAACGACAGCAGAGCCCTTATCACCAGCCATCTGGTAGGGAATGCTACCGATGGAGAAGACATCAATGGTGCTCAAGTGCTCCCACAAGGCCTTCTGGTCCTCGGCGGAGGGCAAGAAGGACTCGGGGTAGTCATCCTTGGAGAAGAAGAGGGAGAAGATAGACACATCGCAGGTCACCTTGAGACCCTTCTCCTTGCTCAGAGCGATCAGGGTAATGTCCTCCTTCGAAGTCACGTTCATCACATGGATGTTGCGGCTGTGGAGACTAGCCAGGAGCAGCACAGAGGCCAAGTCCGTAGACTTAGCATCGGTGATTATGGGCTTGCTAGAAGGCCAAGCAGCAAAGTGGCTAGTGACAGCAGCGACCTTGCTGATGTTACCGGACAGGTGGTTGAAGGGGATGAAGAGAGAACCAACATCTCCAGTCAACTGACCGATCTGGTCAGCGTTGGTCGAAGTCGCCGAAACAGAGAAGTTGAAGTCACAGAAGGCACCCTTCTGGGCATTCTTCTGGACAACCTTGAGCGCGGCCGCTTCGGTAACCGAGGCATCAACACCCACGGGCATGACGCGCACCATGCTGAAACCGGAGGCAATGGAAGCCTTGGTCATGAGCTCGAAATCGGCGGAGCCGGGAGTGACCAGGCCGGGAACAAAAGCAGCGACGTTGATCAAACCGGGAAGGATGATAGTGCGGTGGCTAGTCTGGTAATCCAGAGTACGGACAGCGAGATCGTAGTGGCGAGCAATGGCCTCGATCAGAATCTTGGCGTTCTTGACGTTGGTGACGAGAGGAGTCTGGTAGTCAACGGCCATACGACGAGTACGGTAACCCTTACTCATGTAGTTGGCAGGGCGTCTGAAGCGGTTGTTGGACGGCAAGTTGATGTACAGATCGATGAGGTTGTTGGCCAAGTGCTGAGTGAGAGAGTACTCGGACTTGATGTCTTCCTCTTCACCAGGCAAGATTTCAAGGAACTTGCAGGGAATGCCGTTTTCCTTGAGGAAATCAGCGGTACCAGCGGTGGCAAACAGGTTGTACTGCAGCTGGTGAAGCTTGCGAATGGATGGGAGCATCTCCATCTTCTCCTTGTAGGATCCAATGGAGAAGAGAATGTTGCGCTTGGGAAGACGGAAACCAGTGGAGATCAAGCCCTTGAGGTAGGCCTCGTACTTGTCACGTCCGAAAGAAGCGACTTCACCGGTCGAAGCCATCTCAACACCTAGAACAGGATCGGCACCCGAGAGGCGAGAGAAGGAGAATTGCGGAACCTTCACACCGACGTAGTCCTTAGGAATGGAGACAGGAGGATATTCGGCGAAGGGCACTCCGATCATGGCCTTGGTAGCCATCTCGATGAGGTCGACACCCATAGTCTTGGACACGAAGGGGAAAGAGCGGGAAGCTCTCACGTTGCACTCGATAACCTTGATATCGTTGTCCTTGGCAATAAACTGGATGTTGTAAGGACCGGTGACATTGAGAGCATTACCGATCTTTCTGGTGGCCTCTTCAATGCGGCGGACGGTTTCAGGGTCCAAGTCCTGAGGAGGCAGGATCAAGGTAGCGTCACCAGAGTGGACACCAGCGTTCTCAACGTGCTCGGAGATGAAGTGTCCGACCATAACACCGTTACGAGCGACAGCATCCATCTCGATCTCCTTTGCGTTCTCAATGTACTTGGTGATGACAACGGGGTGCTCACGCGAGACATCGGCAGCCTGGTTGAGGTAGCTGGCCAGATCATGCTCAGAGTAGACAGTGTTCATAGCCGCACCCGACAGGACGTAAGAGGGACGCACAAGCACGGGGTAGCCGACCTTGTTACAGAACTCAGTAGCCTCATCGATGCTAGTCAGTTCCTTCCAGGCGGGCTGATCGACGCCGATACGGTCCAGCATGCGAGAGAACTTGTAACGGTTCTCAGCGCCATCAATCATCTCAGGAGAAGTACCGAGGATCTTGACGTTCAAGCGGTGGAGAGGCAGAGCGATGTTGTTCGGGGTCTGGCCACCCATGGAGATGATGACACCGCTGGAGGATTCCAACTGGTAGATATCCAGAACGGTCTCAAGGTTGATGTTCTCGAAGTACAGGCGATCGGCCTCATCATAATCGGTACTGACAGTTTCGGGGTTGTAGTTGACCATAACAGTCTTGTGGCCCTGTTCGCGCAAAGTGCGAATGGTACGCACAGAGCACCAATCGAACTCGACAGAGGAACCAATACGGTAGACACCCGAGCCAAGAACCATGATACCATTGTCGTTGAAGTTCACATCGTGCTCAGAAGCATTGTAGGTGAGGTATAGATAGTTGGTGAAAGAGGGGAACTCGGCAGCGACGGTATCGATCTGCTTGACGATCGGAACGATGCCAGACTCCACACGCAGACGTCTGACAGCGAGCTCGTTGGAGCTCAAAAACTTAGCCAGCTGACGATCGGAGAAACCAAGCTGCTTGGCGCGCTTGATCAGAGGTCTGGGC